CCAGGTGGAGCTTCTCCAAGTCTCCCGTACAGACAGAGTCCATAATGAAGCACTACAACAGCAGCACAGAATCCCATTCCCTCCATTCCCTACAGCTCTCCAGCCCTGGCTAGTGCTAGGACCAGAGCATGCTAACACGCTAAGTAAGGCCCTGGAGTCATCTGGACAGAGGTGAACACAATGACATGCATCTGCAGGCAGAAGGAAGGAGAACAAACTTCCACCCAGCCATTCTACAGTAAACTCATTTGGTCTGTTTTTACTGAATTACAGAAAGACAACAGCCAAGGATTATGTCTGTCTATCCTGAAATTAATTCAGAATGGAGGGGCTGTTTGTATTTGGATTGAGTAGTCTTTAGTTGCCATGCTCTCACTGTCCTTGATATGTCCTTCATATGCTTTCTCTGGCATTTCACAACACATCAACCTTCCCATGTTGGATGGATGATAAAAGGGAAATGTAATGGAAATAGCTCTACTGTATATGTAGAATTCAAACACGGTTCACTGTTTTGTAGAATTAAGTCTATTTATAGTCTGCTATAGATGGTCTTTATGGATGAGCTCTGAAATCTCCAAGGACATAAACTTGCTATGCCTCTTTTGCCTCTGTTCCCCACTGACATTCTTAAAGACAATCTATAGAAGACTAGAAATGGATCAGCAGCAATTAATCAAGGGCCGTGTCTAGACTTGACAGTTCATGCAGCTTTTGTATTCTGATCATGGAATTCCGAACACGTCATGCGTCTACACCTAAATGTGTCTACCGTGTCCACAGTGTGTTTGGATTCCCTTTTCCCGTGCTCTATTCAAATGCAGTATGCATTCTGCAAATGGTGGAACAGGCTAAATCTGATAATAACAAAACAACTTGATGGCAGTAGCCAACTACTGTAGCTAACTAGCCAGCTAGCCTCTAACTAGCCAGCAAGCTAGCTAGCAAAGCTAAAGGGATTGCAAACGGGTTAGCATAACTCTAGCCAAACAAAACATTTATTTGTATTTTTATATTAGCTAGCTGGCTAGCATTTATGAAGCCAGCAAACACGTTCCTCACATGCTAGGTATGTATTTCCTCCAACATTATTAAGAAAAGGTGCCTCTCGCACCCAAAATACATGTTTTCTGGAGACTTGTGGGCAGAGTGCTGATGACGTCGCTCACTGTATGCACTTTCGGTAGCCTGATTGTGTCCAGACTGAGGAGAAATCTGCAGATAATGCATACCGCATTTGAATATAGCACGGGCCTCCCTAGTGGCGCAGTGGTCTAAGGCACTGCATTGCAGTGCTAACTGTGCCACTAGAGATCCTGGTTCGAATCCAGGCTCTGTCGTAGCCGGCCGCGACCGGGAGACCTATGGGGCGGCGCACAATTGGCCCAGCTAATTGTATAAAAACAAATAATGTATGCACTCACTAACTGTAAGTCGCTCTGGATAAGAGCGTCTGCTAAATGACTAAAATGTAAAAAAAATCACTGACCACCTCCTGAAGTGGTCAGCCAGACCTGACCACAATGGGACTTTTGTGCATCTAGACCAGTCTTTTCAATGCGATCTTCATATTCTGATAGCAGAAGTCGCATGTTAGTGTCAAGTGTAGACACGGCCAAAGACAACACAATCCACTTTAAGAATAAATAGCATCAAAGGAAGACCAGACAGTTCACTGTCAGGGAGGTGTGGCCTAGGTGAGAGACAGAGTCATGTACATTCAGACGTGACACTGACAGCTCCCTGAATGACAGCGGCAGACTGGAATGATTGATACACTATATGCACCTCCTTATCTGTGATAATGGCCCAGGTCTTCCAGGTCAGGTCCAGACCCAGCTAATCAATCACTGTCTTGTGTCTATCTCTCTTTAAGCCATGACCTGTGCCTCCCCTGACCATCCATCTTCAGACACCGACCACTCCCAGACATCGACCCTGGCACTGGGTTGAGCACGCTGGGCTAAGATCTCTCCCACAGACATGTACAAACGCACAGGCACACACATCGTTACCTCAGCAACACCCAAAAGCTGCCTCAAATCCCCACAAATCAATATCCTCCTCCCTCCCACGAACCTCCACTAGCGCTCAGGAACAATCATCAGGCAGGGGTGACATGCCTTCAACGTCCCCCAGAAAACAAGCAGCTCGTCAGCTTGAGGACGCCATGGGGTGCCTGTCTACCTGTCAGCGCCCTGACCGTCTGTCCAACCACATCATTCCTTCAATATATTAGTGTCTCCTCACATTTACTCCTCTGTCTCAACCACTAGCTCCCTCAACCCCGATCCAAAGTAGTCACATTTCCCAACTCTTAGACTAAATAAGGTCATATTGTGGAAAATAAACAAACCGGTTGAGGTTCTAGTTGTTTTTTGTTCAGATGTGAAACAGCCACGGCAGTCTATTAGCTCCAGCAGTCACAGGCTTTAACGATTGCACTGTACACACTACAGACATCAATATTCCTCCACTGGAGCTGATCACTTCCCTGTTCCCTCCCCGTGTACTGCCAGTCATGCTGCCGAGTGTTCAATCTGAGAGAATAAATGCCCCTCCCTCCCTCCCTCCCTGTCTGTCATAGGTGATGTCTGTGGGTTTCCCACTGTCAGCCGGCCTGTCAGGGAGGCAGGTGCCACATGTCAGACAGACACCGATAGTGAATAAATATTTCAGAGCTTTCTAGATAGATAGCGCCTCGCTGCAGACGAAGACCAGGTGTAAAACAACAACAACAACAACAACAACAAACAGAGGGAAGTAGAGAAAGCCGTTTTAAAACCGATACTTTAGATCTGCAAGCACTCCAATAGGAGAAAAAACTAATTTTAAAAGCCCTTTTATCAATAGAAATCTTACTGTGTCCAGTTCAAATTAATTCAATTCAGCACTGCAATTTGCACTGGGAGACTGCCATGGCTTGTATGTGTGTATGCATGTGTATGAGTGTGTGCATGTCCGTGTGCATGTGCGTGCGTTCCTGTGTGTGTGTGTGTGTGTGTGTGTGTGTGTGTGTGGTTAGCCCTTGTTACAGGCCTGCTGAGGGAGGTAGTAATGCGGGACTAGAGTGTGGTCACTGTGCACTTCTGTCAACTAGCCCAGGCTGGCTACAGGGGGTCAGAGGTCAGCGGCTGTGTTGTTAAAAAAGAGTGTTGTGGCTGAGTGGTGTGACTGAGATAGAGATGGACCCAGCTGTCTGAACCCAGGGTAACATGCTGCTCCTTATGATGGGCAGGAGAGCGGGAGAGGGATGGGCTGTGGAGAGAGGCAGAGGTGATTACTGCTACCTATCTATACAGAACATACAGCCAGGCAAAGCTGGTTGGTTGAAATTATGTAATGTTATCTGGTTGAAATGACGTCATGTTATCTGGTTGAAATGAAGTCATGTTATCTGGTTGGAATGACGTCATGTTATTCGGTTGAAATTACGTCATGTTATCTGGCTGGAATGACGTAATTTCAACCATTCTTGTCCTCTGGGATTAAGCTCAACATACAGTACTATGAAATTGTCCACAACTACCATTTATATTCTGTCATGACCCGTCTTTCTGTCTGTACCTCCTTGATGTAAAACTGCATAACCCATATTTATTCTAAACAAAAATAAAGGAAATGTGCATACATTCAACATGTTCAACTCAACACTGGCATTCAATGTGGGAGAATGTCTATGTTGACCTTATAGCAGCTGTGGGTAGTAATGTGGAGTGGTAAGATATTTTCTATCAAGCAGCACTTCAACAGGTATCTGACATCATTACAATAATAAACGTAATTGCTTATGTGCAACTTGTCTATTTCCTGTGTGTTTGCTACATTATCTGACTGTGAAGTATGTGTGATTGACAGCTCTGGGAGCACTAGTGAGTATAGTCTTTTCTAGCATTGAGAGATTGAAGGGTCCTGGAGGTACACAAGTCTACACACAAGCTGGGATGGTAGTCCTAGTTTTGTGAAAAGGCAAAACCCCTCTTGGTTAGTCCAGCAAGATCTTGCCTTGCATCAGACTACTCTCTCTCTCTTTCTCTCTCTCTCTTAAACACACTCACACACACTCACACTCAGTAACTATCACACTCACATAAATGCACACACTCTGTCCAATAGCACACAGATTGCAGGGCTCAACTTGTCCTTGTCCATCCAAAACATTTGCGGCATGATGAGCTTGGAAGACAAAGTGAATTTGTTAGGACAGGGTTGAGGACAGCAGGAAGCCTATCACTAACACATCATACTTGATGTCTGTCTTACTACTGGGATGGAGGGCCTGTAGCCCACTCAACACCCCCCAATATTACCACAATACAACAATGACACACAGGCCAAAGAGGAGGCAGATTGATCACTCCAGAGGAAAGTCTTTTTGGTCTCCTAAAATCTCTTCTCCACCTCGGAAGGTTTCGTAAAGTCTATACAGTGGATAAATAAGTAATCTAATCGATAATAGATCAACAATATGTGATCCTGTACGGGATGACAAAATAAGTCAGTCTGCTCTTATTGAAGCATGTATTTTCTGCTAAAAAGTTTGATTCTGTTCTTTTGAAACACAAAAAAGCATCTATACATGCAGGTATTAGTGCATAGGTTCCTGCAAAAAAGTACTATTGTGTTGTCCATTTAACCATCAAACCAAACCCCATCATATGAATTTGGCATAGTTAGAAATAAATAAGTTACCATCGCTTAAATGGATATAATTTTTTGTTCACACCCTCCTGTCCCTTGATTAACATATATTTTAAATATATTTCTATGCATATACGTAGGAATAAAGAAAGGAAGAGGACAAAACAAAAACAAATAAAGAGTAGTAGTCTAGGGAGCTCTAAGTTACCTGGTTAAGCATCTTTTAAATCACAGTAATATTAAGATCTTGGAAATGATAAAGATTAAAACACAGTGAAGCCTAAAAGAGAATGACATCATACAGGAAGATCGTTTGTGTACTAGTCCAGGGATGGTGCACAGGAGGGTGTGATCAAACCTCACAAATTGGAGGTTAGTTTGGAGCGGACAGGTTCTAGTTCAGAGTGGGCTGCCGAGCCTTTCCGTGGCGGCAGGGCCGGGGAGGCCACGGGGGACTGAGTCTGGTGCTGCAGGTGTCCTGGAGACATCTGGGCAGGGACAGGAGGAGGCATGTGCCCTGGCACCGAGCTACAGGGTTTGGGCACTAGGATGGGGGAGGAGTAGGGCGAGGAGAGGCAGTATCCTGCCTCCATGGAGGAGCGTGGGGGTGAGGAGTGTGGGGGTGAGGAGCGTGGGGGCGAGGTGCGAGAGGGTGAGGAACGCGGGAGTGAAGAGTATCCCATGGCCTGGGCCACCTCCTGGGGCAGGGAGGGGTTAGAACTGGATAATAGTTTCATATCCTCAGAGAAGCTGCCCAGCCCCAGCAGAGACTCACTACCGGCTGCGTGCTGCTGGCTGGGGAGTTGGCTGGGGAGGGAGGTCTGGGGCATGAGCAGAGAGCTGTGGGACCCCGTGGCACTGGAGGAGTTGCTGTAGTGGAAAGTCCTTCCTGTGACTGGGCTTTGGACCGTGGGGCTGGGCCCCAGGGGGGTGTAGCAGGGCGAGCCGTTAGCTGAGCCGTACTGGGCCAACGAGGCCAGGGCAGACCTCTCCAGGGACAGCTGAGGGACCAGGCCAGACTGGAGGCCAGACTGAAGTCCAGACTTTAAGCCTGCCAGGCTGAACTGGGCCAGGGAAGATGGGGAGCACTCTGGGGCCTGCTGGGTGGAGGTGGAGGATGGGGAGCCTGGAGGGGGGGTTTGGTAGAACCCACCTGGAGTCCTGCCCCCGCCTGCAAACTGCTGCAGGGAGCCCACCTGTGGAGGCTTGGGGGGCAGCTGGCTGTGGAGCAGCTGACAGGGCTGAATGTGGCCGGATGAACCAGTGGACTGGGGGCTGATATTACAACCAGAACTAGAGGTACCCAGAACTCCAATTGTCATTCCACCTGTAGCCCCTACCATTGCCCCTCCCATATGCCCTCCAGTTGCCCCTCCCATTGATCCACCAGTAGCTCCTATATGGCCTCCACTAGTTCCTCTAATGTGCCCACCACTAGGTTCTCCTGAGTATCCTCCAGTGGCTCCTCCTATATGCCCTCCAGTATTATACCCTTCTATGGACCCACGTCTACCCCAACCAGTGGCCCTTCTTATTGTCCCACCCATGGCCCCCTCAGCAGCCCCTCCTATTGCTCCTCCTATTTCACCTCCGGTAGCACCTCCTGAAGACCAACCTGTAGCCCCCCCAGTAGCTCCACCTGTTGCTCCACCCATCCCTGCCCCCATGGCTCCCTGCTGGAAGAGGGCAGCGAGAGGCGGGGTGGTGCAGCGGAATGGCTGCTGCGTCTGGGGCTGTGAGTGGAGCTGGGCCGTGCTCTGTGCCGTGCTGTGGGAGGGAGAGCCACCAGAGGAGGAGAAAGGCCCAAAGGGGAAGGCGGAGGCCCCGCTAGGCCCAGGCTGGGTTCCACTGCTGCTGGACGCCTGCTGACTGGAGCTGGCTGCCCCTGACCCCTGAGTTGTGTGGTGGGCCCGGAAGGAGGCCAGCAGGGCTGTGTCCATCCCAGAGCAGTGCAGTTTAGACGGGGTGCTGGAGGGGGAGTCAGGCCCGGCGGAACCAGGCCCCATGGAGGAGGTGGGCGCCACCGTGTGGAACTTCTTCAGCCGGCCGGGGGGAGGGTCCTGGAGGTTCCTGGACCCCAGGACCGTGACCGGCGGGCGGAAGAGCGCAGCGGGGAGATGGGGGAGGTGGGGGTGGTGTGTCAAGGCGATGGCCACAGAGGTGGTGGCGGCAGCAGCCTGCAGGGGTGCCTGGATGAGAGGAGCCCAGATGACGGGGGTGTGCCCCGGAGAGGGGGGCTGAGGCGGAGGAATGTTCTGGAGGAGGTGGGCGCAGGTGGCCATGTCTCTGTCATGTTGCACGATCTGCTGGATGATCTCGTTCTCCTGGTAGTTGAGAACGCCGGATTTCAGGTCGTGCTGCACCTTGTGCTGCAGGATGGAGTTCTTCTTCCCTGTGAGACAGACAGACAGACAGAAACAGTACAATCAGCCTGGATCGTCCAGTTAGTTAGTTAAATACTCTGGAATTGCATCTGATTTATTACTTGTGCAGAGATTCCTTTTTCACTATACAGTTAGCTACACACTGCCTGGCCTGGCCTGGCCCTACTGCACAATATCCAGCTACTTCATAATCACCCCTGATCCTGTGAACAAGCAACACATTTGCCAACAAAGGCCACTGAGTGTTACTGTGTTTTAGCCCCTAGGCTGCACATTGACTATTAAAGGGCGTCAGAATGGCTGTGATCAGCCTACTCCCAGACTCCTCTTTGATTCCTATTTCACACGGTCGCTTAATTCTGAAGCACTGCTCCCTAACAGCACCGAGCACAAGGACAGAGTGAAAAGAGAAACCTTGGCTGAAATTTGGAGGAGAGAGAGAGAGGGGGAGGGAGGGAGGGAACGTAGCCTACCAAGGGGAATAACACAGAGGAAGCATGATAGCTTCCTCTGTGATGATAGTGTGTGTGTGTGTGTGGTTGTTTGACTAGCTCTTACTGTGGAGCTGTAGATAAGAGGCAAAGTGAACGCAGATCAAACATGGCTCCGAACGGGGACATGGCTGACTGATATGGAAAGAATGTGTGAGCTGAGCAGAGCGACTGGTCAGTGTTCACACTAATGTCAGTGATTTCACAGTGTAAGGGCAGTGCTCCTCTGCTGTCATTGGATGGCCAGAGCTCTATGGGGAGTGGCGGAGGGGTCAGGGGTCAGCCACTCACCAGATTACAGAGACAGGATGGGGATGGCCTGAGATGGCTCACTATGACAGGCTAAGTAACAAATAGCCTTTCTTCTGGAAAAGGTGAACTCAACTCTGGCCCTATGGCCCATTCATCCCTCTTGGGTGGATGTGCCAGAAGTAACAGGGATAATTTAAGTCGCTTTGTATAAAAGCGTCTGCTAAATGGCATATTAAATTTAAATTTAAATTATATTACATGGCCGTTTGTTCTAGAGCACTAATCCTGAAAGGCTGGTGCTAGGTGGTGGGATTGAAAATGTACAGTACCCGCACGCTAGTATCAGCTCGCTACTGTCAATGCAATTAGGCCCAGATCAATCTCTCTCCATTTCAGATATGAGAGGCTGGCGATTAGGGGGGAGCAGTGCTGGGGGCTGTCTCTCGGTCTGCCCTGACCCGTAGCAGGCCTAGCTCTGATCCGATTGCACAGGGTCCATTTAGACAGTAATTAATTAGTAGGGCATCGCTGTGTGAATGACTTCATTATGCAGGAGGGCTGGGGAAAGGTGAACACCATCTATTTACAACATGCAGACACAAAGGCATCAGGCATCAGGCCCAGGAGAGGTTGATATCAGAGGCAGGAGGAGGAGGAGGCTTTCCCTCAGTGGACCTCATCGCTTCAAAGCAGCCATTTTCAACAAAGAAAGAGCCCCCCTGCCTGCAGACATTTTTCAACATCTCATTACGGACATACCCTGGGCCATAATGAAGCATGAAGAGATAGTTTAGTTATGATAGAGGCATGCTGACGTTCAATGTGAATCTTTTATTTGTCTGGGCTGGCTGGCTGAGGTTAAGAACTGAATGAAGCGTCATATCAGTACACACACTGTACACGTCACTGAAGTAGTGCTGGAATTAAAATAACCATAACTTAACCATAACTACTGCATTACAAACACCTCACCTGTTCTTCAGGGCCAATTCAACAGATGTGAATTGATCCATTCTCCTACTGTAGGTAGAGGACATACTTTTTTTTCTGTCACTGTCTGTTATATAATTTGTATCTAACTAACCAAACTAAATACACTACTTTTCACTAGGTCAACTGGGTGAGCTAGATATAGAGAGTTCTTCACCACCAGCATGGGATTTTCCTCTCTTTTTTTAACTTATATCACTGTCCCTTCCTGCTGAGATTATCACATAAAATGATAAAACAATATACTGTAGAATAGAGAGAGTTGTCTCCTCTCCTCTCTCTGTGGTGCCCATCCGTTCCTCCTCCCTGGTAGCCAGGGCCCACGGTACCAGATGTGTGGGGGCCAGCGTGGGAGGGATGGAGACATCTGAGCTAATATGACACATCTGTTTACTTGGCCTACTGGCTCAAGTGGCCCTGAGCAGGTCACTAACATACACAAACACTGACTGCATGGCCTCCTCTCCTCTTCGCTGGCTGCTCACTTAGCTGGAAACAGCTCCCCTCCAGAGGATTCCTCAGTTTTGGCACATCTGTGTTTGATTCCCAGACCGACACCTCCATGTACTGTACAGTGACTGGCAGCTGACTCCACTTTGTAATTTACTCAGCCAATCCATATCCATTTACTACAACATCATGTTTCATTTGTTCCATCTGGGATTTTAACCGGTGGCAATCTAGTACAGAGTGCTGCCTGGGGACTGTAACACGTCTTTGAATACATTCATACTTCACAATACTTGACAATGGAGAGGCAGATGATTGGCTGTAACGATCAACTCAATTACAATAATACAGATGGAGTTGATAGTCATGTTCTACTATGATGTAGTCTCTTACCTATGCGGTCCAGCCGGTCCAGAGCCACGGTCTCGAAGGCCCGTCTCATCATGGGGTACTCCTCCAGGACCTCGTTGAAGTTGTCCACAGACAGAGAGTACAGACGGCAGTAGGTGTCTGCTTTGACGCTGGCTGTTCTTCTGCCCCGTGTCAACAGACAGATCTCTGCACAGGACACAGAAAGAGAGGAACGTCAACACTATGACGTCATGATGACATGTTCACTACGGTCAAGGTAGAGACACTGTTGTCAAGTAGGGCTGATGTTATGCCAACGTTGCTCCACTTCTTAGCAAACATCAGGGAAATCTTTGTGAAGGCTGACAGAAATATTAAGACTTAATGTTGCCTATGACATGTATCACCCCGACTGAATTCTCTCATGTGTGAACTTGACCTGAAGGGATTACGCACGCTGCTGTGAAAAATAGATAAATATCACTATTGTACCACTTACCGTTTATGATGGCTCAGCGGTTCACTAACTGGTTCAGCGGTTCACTAACAAAAAAGTGAACCGCTGAACCAGGGTTAGGCAATTGTGTTCCTGGAGTGCTGCAGGTACTGCAGGATTTTGTTCCAACTAGGCACCACACCCGACCAACTGAGCTAATTGGTCAGTTCAATGATTGCCTAAATTCAACACACCTGGTCTTCCAGGTCAAAAACATGAAGTGCCTGTGGCCCTCCAGGACCAGGGTTTGCCTACCCCTGCGCTGAACTGTATGTTTTTTCCTTTTTAGCATTAAACATTAGAATTTTCTGTAATCCACAGCTGAAGCACTTAATGCCATTCTGAAAGCTTAGAGGTCTGCTAGACCTCCTCTGTCATGCCAGATCAGGAGAATAATGTTCCATTTAACAGGCAGCAGTGCTGTGGAGCTCTGGCACCAACAGCAACCCCTATGCCTTATGCATGCCGCGGGTGTGTGTGTGTTGTTTGTTTGTGTGTTTGTGTCAATTTACAGTATGCGTGCCATGTGCTTTTATGTCACAATCACACCCATCCCACTTGTGGGCCACTCTCCAACTCTCACTCTCAATCCCACTATAACACTTAGTCTTTCTCAGAAAAAGCCATTTTCCAACTCCACTCTCTCTTTCAATTCTCTCACTTGCTACAAAATTAACTGCCTTTCTCCTACTCCCTACGTAACATTTACTAGGAATCCCTCTTCCATCATATCACTTTGAAACTCACTTCTCACTAATCTGTTTTTCTCTCTCGCTCTCGCTCTCTCCTTTCCCCTCTCACACTGCCTCTCGGTGTATTGTACAGTGCATGGTGGGTTAGAGGAGAGGATGAGGGCTTCTGCCTTCTCTCTAGTACAGCCAGATACCCAGCCAGCCAAAGCCTCCTTGTCCCTGACCATGTCTGCCCTAATGAAAAACAACATGTGCAGCTCATCCTCTGTGTGTGCGTGTGTGTGTGAGGAAGTTGTGTGTGTCTGCGCTGCTTGGTAACCCCATTTGTGTGTTTGTGTGTGTGTGCGTGCTCCCAGGTCAGCCCTGGCTCTGCCTGCGTTGGGGGTCCGTTTTCTGCAGGCCTGCTCTGCTCCCAGTAATCCCCTCTGAAGAGGAGCTGTTAAATCCTTTTACCTCTTTCTGGCTGAAGCCAGCACTGCTGAGATGAGACACTGAGCTGCACAGAGCCTTTCTTCTGGCCTTATCTGCCTGTCTTTAGAGAAGAGGATGTGAAGCCCAGACTCTTAGTACTGGTATCTGAACTCTGACTGTAGAAGACTCAGTATGAGTAGCAGTTAGAGCTCAATGCTAAACAATGAGAGATTAACACTCAATCATGGAGAACCAGGGATAAATGGAGGGACAAACCCTATGACCCTGACAGAGGAACACTGAGTTGGACCCATGTCAGAACTAAAGATGATAGACATTATACATGGACGCCTGGTCATATTTGAGGAAATGTGTCATTCCCTATCCATAGATGTTATTGCTAATAAGCTAATAAGGTTCTTTCTGTGTTTAAACATTGCTGCTATGCTATACTCGTTTTTGACTAATTGATTTTGCTTGCTAACATTGATTTGATGGTGCATCTGAAGACACTGTGACCTCTATTCTATCCTGCTCAACCTCAAACTTCTCTTGCTAGTACATCATTAACAGTCAAATTATGTATGAATGGTTTAATCTCTATGATGACTCACTTTTACAGTCTGATGCAATAGTACAAACATCCTGCATGAAATCACTGAACAGGCTTACTTTGTCCAGCTCTGTGTATATTTTGTAGTGGTGTGTTTTCTTCTCTTATCTGTCGTAGCTACTCCTACTGCTCTTTGTGGTAATCGTGTTGGAACACTTGTACCGCAACTTCAAGGAAGAAAATGGATTTCATAATTGGAGTGAAACGCATACAGAAAACAACTGACTACTACACTGCTTGGAGTACAGCATGAACACATTTAATTACAATGTGGTCATTAAAATGTAATTGCTCCAATTAAAATCGGATACCTTGTGAAATGGGAGAAACAGGAACGATGCTGTTCACGAGTCCAACACCATTATTAAGTTTGCCGACGACGTGACGGTGGTAGGCCTGATCACCGACGACGATGAGACAGCCTATAGGGAGGAGGTCAGAGATCTGGCAGTGTGGTGCCAGGACAACAACTTCTCCCTCAATGTGGGCAATACAAAGGAGCTTATTGTGGACTACATCGATGGGGCTGTAGTGGTGCGGGTCGAGAGCTTCAAGTTCCTCGGTGTCCACATTACTAAGGACCTATCACGGTCCAAACACACCAACACAGTTGTGAAGAGGGCACAACAACACCTCTTCCCCCTAAGGAGGCTGAAAAGATTTGGCATGGGCCCTTAGATCCTCAAAAAGTTATACAGCTGCACCATTGAGAGCATCTTGACTGGCTGCATCACTGCTTATGGCAACTGCTCGGCATCCGACCGCAAGGTGCTACAGAGGGTAGTGCGTACGGCCCAGTACATCACTGGGGCCGAACTCCCTGCCATCCAGGCAGTGTCAGTGGAAGGCCCTAAAAATTGTCAAAGACACCAGCCACCCAAGTCATAGACTGTTCTCTCTGCTACCACACGGCAAGCGGTACCGGAGCGCCATGTCTGGGACCAAAAGGCTCCTGAACAGTTTCTACCCCCAAGCCATAAGACTGCTGAACAGTTAATCAAATGGCTACCCAGACTACTTACATTGACCACTTTATTAGAAATGTTTTGTATCTTCATTTTTTGTACTGACTCTTGTAATTTGATTTGCTGTTGTACAGTACAGTATGACCTTGGTTACACAACACACATGACTGGCTGGCTCACGTTGGAAGGGTTTGGGAAATGACTGGGAAATGATAGGGGTTGGTCTTGGGAAGACTCTGTGTGTGTGTCTGTCTGTGTGTGTGTGTGTGTGTTTATGTGTGTGTATGAGCTGGGTCTCCCATGGTGAGGTATCAATGTCCTCCGGCCTGGTCTGGGGGGCCTCACCTGGACTCTGGTTCTCTCCTGTCAGCTCCCATCTCCATCGCCCCTGGCAGCCCACGGGCCCTCTGAGAGGACACTCTCTAACCTTTGAAACATCTGCACTGGGCAGCCTGATTCCCCATGACACACCACGTTCGCTCGCTCGCTCCCTCCCAGCATTAGCATAGGGAAATACACACTGGCCTATGATGAGGAGAGGGGTTGGGGAGTGTCTGGTTTAGCCTCCACCATAGCTGGTGTCGTGTCATTTCTCATCGGCTCTCCTTCTTCCTCCAATGCTAGCAGCAGTAATTGACTGTTATACACTGCTGCTGTTAGATCTGTTAGATTCTGCATGGGGGAACTGCTAGCTTAATTCAAAGGTTAACCGTGTAGCTCAGTGACTATAATACAGTCTTACAGAATAGATTCACTCAGTCTCTGACTCTTTTCCCTTCCCCGTTCCACCTTCTCTAGGAGGAGTGGTGCGGCTGTGTTAAAATGGGTTAAGGGGCGAGAGGATTACCTGCGACTCCACTGCCAACCCCCCTCAATGACTTACTCAGTCAGGGCAGCCATTTGGCAGCTCTACAGTCTGCTTTTCCACAGAGACTGAGACTGAGACAGGGACAGGGTCAGGGACAGAGACAGGGACAGAAACAGGGACAGAGTCAGAGACAAGAGACGGCGACAGAGGCCGAGACAGGGACTGAGACAGGAATGGGGACAGAGGCAGAGACAGGGAATGAGACAGGAATGGGAACAGAGGTAGAGACAGGGCTCAGAGCAGACACCTGGGTACCAGAAAGCTTTTCTCTCCAGCCTGAACTTTAAGGGCCTAGAGATTAAGAGCAGCTGGCTCAGAGTGGACTAGCCTGAGCCCAGTCCAGGCACAAGATGACACGAGAGATTTCCCCATTCCTGTCTCAGTCCCTGTCTCTGCCACAGTCCCCATTCCTGTCTCAGTCCCTGTCTCTGCCTCTGTCTCCATCTCTTGTCTCTGACTCTGTCCCTGTCCCTGTTTCTGTCTCTGTCTCTGTCCCTGTCCAGTTGATTCTTTCCTCCTACCCCACCCCTGCCCCCCTCCCTCAACCCCGCCACAGCTCACTTGAAGGAAAAGTGAACCATCTAAGAGGTACGATCAAAGCTGCCTCTTGATAAGCACCAGGGTCTGAAGGACATCTCCAGCCACTGTAAGGTCATTCTACTAACTGTGCTGCACTATCCAGGAGAGCTGCAGTTCAACCAGTCACACAGTAATTACACAAGGCAACAAAGGATGACCTATACTAACACAATAACACACCCAATCTGGGGAGGGAGGGGGTCTTCTAGATGCTGTCCAGACAGGAGAGTCTGAATGCAGCCCCACAGTAGCTGGGTGGTGTGTGTGTGTGAGCCCAGAGGAGAGTCCAGTGAGTGGGCCTGGCTATGCTCCATGTGTCCTTTGGCTTGAATACTGCAGTCACATTATATGTCCCCTTACCCTGGATTGCTGTATTTCTGCCCAGCACTCACATCCACAACATGTCACACGCATTCCCTATATTAGGCTCTCCAGAGCAAGCTGATCCACAGTTAGTTAACAGGAGCAGACTTCTGAGTGTATATTAATGTGAATAATGCATAGTGTTACTGATGACAAGCATGTACTGTACAGGACGTTAATGAGCTTACACACATACATTTCATTTACAGTGCAGTCATCAATACAGAAAATGCACACCCACACATGGTGGAGCATTCTATCATTCTATCTGAGAGTGTCCACCCCCCTCTGCCCCTTGGTGTTTGTTTCTTGGAAATGCTCACTCTCTCTCACTTCCTGTTTGGTGAGAGAGAGAGAAAGAGAGTGAGAGCGGGTGAGAGAGAGAGAGAGAGAGAGAGAGAGAGAGAGAGAGAGAGAGAGAGAGAGAGAGAGAGAGAGAGAGAGAGAGAGAGAGAGAGTGCCATATCCCTGGTGCTCCTCTTACATCAATTAATTTCATGAATGACTAACTCATGTTTGGTAACAAACTCCCTATGGCTGCATGGTGGGCTTGGTTTGGTTGGCCTTGCCTCCCCCCTGGAGCAGCCAGCCTGGCCCTGGATGCCAGGAATAGCTGCCGGATAATGGAGTCAAAACCTGCAAAGCCCAGCGCATCTAACGTGTTTGGGAGAAATAATTGCAGATCCAGGGCTTAAATATTTAATGCGAGGCAACCAGTTCCGTTCCAAAAACTGTGCATTTGCAGTGGCAGTGGTGCTTTGGGTTGATCCATGCAATTCATGTGTAAGTACAAATACATGTTTAAATAGAGGGAAAACAACAACAAAGAAAGATGACGCTTCACTCCTCCCTCACCCAGGGAGACACACACACACACACACACACACAGAGATAGATTGCTTCCCATTTTTCTATTATTTGCGGCGCCCCCCAGGGAGAGGGCACGGAGACGGTCCAGCGAAGGGAGCGGCGTAATTAAACTTCAGCAGGCAGGTCATGTGCTGTTAAATGCTTCACTGCGGTTTCTCATTACTTAAACAGTGTCTTCTCAGTGATACACTGTCACTGTCACTGTCCAAATTAATTGGTATTTGGTAAGAGGACTATGGCTAGAGTGAAGTCAAACACGTCATACACTCCCAGACACCATGAGAAGAGTACAAACTGTCTGACCCTGTTGGGGGAAAGAACAGCTAGCACATGCTTGTTCTGTAATACCTTGGAAATGCAGGACTGAAAAGCCTGAAAGCATTTTAGCCTTAAAGTATTTTGTCATATATACTGTACTGTATATCAGGGGTTGGAACCGGTTCAGGGAACAGAACCGCAAACCGGGAAATAATGAAAAGGAACAGAAATGGAACCAGGAACGAAAGTGATCCATAATGTTACGTTATTTTAAAAGCATGGGAACTGGTTAATAACGTAATTTTTTCCTAGTCCCATAAAAAAACGCAACAAAGCACCTATGTAAATCCCTCACTCTGTCACTCAGAAACTTATTCCAGTGTCTGCCTGCAAGCTGAAAATCTTTGCCAGTGTGTGTGTGTTTAGGCTACCTGCCCCCCCCCTCAGAAGCATAGGCTACTGTACTGACGTTACAAGCGTGATTCAAAAGATAGGGAGAGAGATTTTTTTAATCAGTTTTACAGTTTAGTCATTTAGCAGACACTCTTATCCAGAGCGACATACAGGAGCAAATAGGGTTAACAGATTTTTCACCTAGTCGGCTCGGGGAAGCGAACAAGCAACCTTTTGGTTACTAGCTCAACGCTCTTAACCGCTAGGCTACCTGCCACCCATTTTCTTAGCTAGAGAAGAATGGGTTAACTTTTTCAATGCTAGTAGTTAAGGATACTATAGGCCTAGTGATCACGTTGGATTTATTAACTACAAAATGTTTTTAATTCTGGTGCCACTCTGCACACACAAGCTTGTTAGCTAGCTAGCTCAAAGGACATTCAAAGTTCCTCCATAGAAGCCACTCCTCCTAGGTATAATTCTGTGGACCTAATTCAGATAATGCATGTCATAACAAGATGCCCAGCGCTTCAAGCCTCCTCCTCACCCCTCTCTAGCTCTCTCCCCACCCGCAAAAATTCAGTTGCATCTTGCGCTATAGGCTACACTTGTCTGTCCATCACTCATGTAAAGAACTAGCTTGCCTGCTCTATCCGCACTGATTGGTGAAGTAATTGAATGAGCTAAATGTAAAAACGGTTGATTTCACGAGTTGAAAAAGGAACAGAAAGGAACGAAAAACTGTACTTTTTTGGAACTGAACAAAAAAATAGTGGTTCTGTTCAGAACGAAACGATTAGAAAATAATTTTGGTTCCAACCCCTACTGTATATGTCAACTATGTTCTTCTTTGTCATTTGGCATGTTCGTACAATTAAAATACAGCTTGTGTTGATCATTGGAAGAGTAAACAGCCTCACATAAAACATATACAATCAGCAGGTACCATACACTGTAGAATGACAGACAGAATAATGAGTAGTGCTTTAGACAACCCTGTCGTCAGGGCCAGCTCGTGAGAGACAAGAACAGAACATTTACACTCATGCAGTTCTGCAGTGTGTCTGAAAGCAGACCTAGGCTGACCTCTTAAGAAGCTAATTTGTGCTGCTGTGTTTTTCCACGCCACCATTATGAATATTAAAGCTGAAGAGGTTTAAGCTCTGCAGCATAATGTGTGTGTGTGACCTTTTGTCTGGATCTGAGTCTGTCCTATTTCTCTTACCCCCGAAGTAGGATCCGTCTGAGAGCTTGGTTTCCTTGTTGCCCTTGGTGAGCACGCTGACCACTCCGTGCTGGATGAAGTACATCTTCTTGCCGATGGTGCCCTCTCTGATGATGTAGTCTCCGGGCTGGAACACCTCGAAGCGCAGCTTGGTCAGCATGGAGGTCACAAAGTTGGGGTCCGCGTTGGCGAACAGCGGCATGGAAGCCACCAGCTTTCGACAGTTAAAGTTGATGATTTCCTGCAAACAGGAACACACACAAACAGAGGAAGATGGATGCTTTAGTAACAGCCCCTCAGAGAGACAGAAAGTGCTCAGAGAATAATTAGTCCCACATCGAAACAGTGATTATCACCACAATAATTTCCCTTTGCGATGAATAAGTATTCTATTTAATACACACACACCCGCACACAGCCCCCAGCCCTCTCCCACCTCTCTGAGTGGCTCGTTGAGTTCTCCCAGGATGCTCTCCTCATCAAACATCTTGCCCTGGTAGCGATGCTCGTAATAGTCATGGATCCTCTGCCTCATATCAGCCGGCAGCTTGTGGAAGGACATGTACTGCTCCACCTGTTTGTACTGCAGGCCAGGAAGAGAGAGACACAGATAGAGAGACACACAGAGAGAGAGAGAGAGAGAGAGAGAGAGAGAGAGGAAACACAATAAGGTCAGTCCAAGGTCACCATCCCCACAGCACTGTGACTGAGTCATACCCTACAGGTTACTAAAGGCTTAGAGGTCAAGCACTCCATTACACACAACACATCAGATATACACACAGCACACAAGACTGCTTGTACATTTTGCCCCACACAAAAGAAAAGCTGAAAATAGCAGACTGGTGTTTATAGTACGGTATATTTCCACTCTGAATCTATGCACTGGCTGGCAGCACAGAAGAGGAGGGGGGAGAAAGAGAGAGAGAGATAGAGAGAGAGAGAGAGAGAGAGAGAGAGAGAGAGAGAGAGAGAGAGAGAGCAAACAAGAGAGAGAGAGATAGAGAGAGAGGCACTGATTGGGAACACATTTCCCTAAGTACTGTACTGTATCTGATTGCAACCAGAATTCATTGATGAGAAAAGGTAGAAGGTTGAGGGGGAAATCACACAGGAACCTCCTACTCACGCACGTACGCACACACACACACAACAATCACATGTGGAACATGAAACACCACAGAGTCACAAGACCAACTCAGCAGAGACAGTTGAGATCTTGTTAATCAGTGACACCCCTATGTCTGAGGGGTGGTTGGGTATACAGGCGGCACAGGTTTATGTGTGGCATGAGAAGTGGCGCGGGCGGGGTAGTAGGAGTAATCACAGTTGGGTAATTAGCAGAGTTACTATGGAGCTGCAGACCACACACAGAAAGAGATTGTGATAGCTCCATTTAGTTACAGACACTGGCTTCATTCTGATTTAGATTCTCAGTGCACCGACTTCTGAGGTGGATGAACAGAGCACACTTCTGAGGTGGATGAACAGAGCAGACTTCTGAGGTGGATGAACAGAGCAGACTTCTGAGGTGGATGAACAGAGCAGACTTCAGAGGTGGATGAACAGAGCAGACTTTTGAGGTGGATGAACAGATCAGACTTCTGAGGTGGATGAACAGAGCAGACTTCTGAGGTGGATGAACAGAGCAGACTTTTGAGGTGGATGAACAGAGCAGACTTTTGAGGTGGATGAACAGAGCAGACTTCTGAGGTGGATGAACAGAGCAGACTTCTGTGGTGGATGAACAGAGCAGGGGGAAAAAGATGGTGGATGGAAAGAAAAGAAAGAGCAATGAATATAAGAAAGAGGGAAAGAAAGAGAACGTTTCTTAATATGAGATTCACAAAAGTTTTAATGAAGGACTCCACTGAGGGAGCTGTGATGAGAGAGCATTCAGAGCACGCCTCCAAAACCACTGTCTGCAAACAGAGGAAGAGAGAACAGAAGGAGAGAGAGAGCAGTTCAAACAATGGAACAACAGAGCAATGACATGAATTTCAAAAATGTCAATACAAGACGCTGGCTGATGGTGTGTGTGTGTGAGTGTGTGTGTGTGTGTGTGTGTGTGTGTGTGTGTGTGTGTCTGTGTGTGTGTCTGTGTCTGTGTCTGTGTGTCTGTGTGTGTCCATTTGTGTGTCCCTCCCTGAGTGTGCGTGTCCCTATGTATCTGTGTAAGGTGTTACAATTGGTATCAACAAAAGCCCTGTGGCACCTGAGCTAATATCTACTATTGCACGATTTGACAGAGGAGGAGAGGAGGCTGGTTTTACAGTGAGGACGTGTGTGTGAGGAGAATGAGATCTCTCTTGGACCAGGAGAGAGATCAAAGCACACAGTAAATAAGAAACAACAGCAGGTAGAGGAACATCACTGACCTTTACTACACTAAACCCTGCCTGAATGGAAAGTCGCTCTGTCTATTCTACTGTTAAGGCTAGGTTATACTTTCATCATCCCTGATATGCTGCATACATGCATAATACTGTTACAACAGATTAATGTACAGTCAGAGTGGACAGCCATTTCATCCTCTGAGAATGTTCTACTAAAAAATAGATAGCTCTGCGTCGGAATTACTTACAAATCAGAGAAGAGGAGAGAGGCTGTGTAGAAATGATAGACACTACCGTACGGCACTCTTGTTTCTGTGGCCACAGACCTCATATTAACCACACCCTCCCTCTCTCCTTCCCCCTCTCTCCAGGAGAGAAACCTGTTCCCTCCAGCCACAGACCTCTACCACACACTCCCTCTATCTCCCTCCATCCCACCTCTCACCCTCCCTCTCCAGGAGAGAGAGAAACCTGTTACCTCCAGGGAGACATCAGAGAACCAGACCCCTGTGATGAGGTGCCCGCAGCAGTGCCTGAAGAAAAACATTAGTGCTGCTTCCAAAATGGCACCCTATCCCTATATGGTGCCCTGGGCACTGGTCAAAAGTATTGCACTATATAGGGAATAGGGTGCCATTTCGGAGGCAACCAGGGCCTGTCCAGTCGGAGGGAGCAGGTCACGCAACGTGAGCGCACAATGCACAACGTGCTCACTGCTGACGCACACACACACACACACACACACACACACACACACACACGTCAAGGCAGAAAAGGGGAGGGAGCCAGCTAATGAAATAATGCTCGCTCTCACTTCAAGGAAGAGCAACAACTGCACGTCTCTCTCTCTCTCTCTCTCTCTCTCTCTCTCTCTCGCTCTCTCTCTCGCTCTCTCTCTCCCCTCCTCTTCTAGCGCTGTCTCTAAATCTATCTTTTCAATCCCCTCTTTGCTCTCCTTCAACACTCTCCTTTCTGACTGACGTCTTTCTAAGAAAGGTCTATAATTCTGACCTCCACTCAGCTTTCACTTCTGTCTTTCACCTTATCCTCAGATGTAGACAAGTCTCTGTCCATCTGGATCTAACCAGAGGCTCTTGAGCCTGCCTTCCGAATCACATTTCTCCTCCTCCATCTCCTCGCCCTCCTCTCCTCTACAGAATGAAGGAGCGGTCTGGAGCCCGAGTGTGAGCCTGTGCGTGCCGATGACAGCAGGCGGAGGAGCAGAAGCACGGTTGCTTTTTAACGTGTTGCATACCGTGATCACGTTCAAGGCATACACACACACACAAGCATATATACGGCTGTATGCACATATACGGACACACACAACACTACAATAGACACAGGAGTTCAAGGGTAGACCATCTGAAAGGTTGCAGCTGAAATTGAAAGGTGGAGTTTGAGAGCAAACACAAAGATATAGACACAAAATGCACCTAAGATAAAAGACCTCAAAACAACATGGTCAGAACTAGAGTATCATATTCCTTTAATCCTGGTTATACTCTGATATTGCATAATTCATATATAAAATGGCAACATTAACAATGTAGAGTGCTATGAAAATCGATGAAGAACGTGAATCTGGAAAACTAAATGAAAGGACTACAAAAGAAGAAAGAGGCAGAAAAAAACATTAAGATATTCATTCCCGGGGCATCTGAGAGAATAATTCTAAGCCCTGCCATGAGCTAAGCATTTGAATCTATCTCTTATCAGGAAGTCAATTCAAATGAAATCCCTTGGCATAAATTGGAACATTTACTGATCTGACGATGAACCAGAATGATTCTAGAAAAAGAGCCACATTCTTCCTCTCCTTCAGAGAACTAGGCCTCCTGTCCAATCCTGTCCAACACAATGAGAAAGTACTCATGTGGTACTCCTAAGCTTCAGCCTCATTGGGTTGTGAAGCCAAAATGTGAGCTAAACAAGCTTGTTTGAGATCCTCTACTGAAGATGACATGTGTAACCTGTCTGTCTGTCTTTCTCTGTAACCTGTCTGTCTTTCTCTGTAACTTGTATGTCTGTCTGTCTGTCTTTCTCTGCCCTGTTGATATCTCACTGTGGGAACTGGGAAGCATCAGATTTGTCACAGACATTTGCTCCGTTTCAACGATTTAGGTTTTCTTGTTGTCCTCTAACCTCCTGTATTCCCATAAAACACTGTCATTGCGGAAATCATCCATTTATCCTTGGCTTTGTAATGCATTACAATTTGATTCCCCTCAGCATGAAAGGGCATTAGCCAAGTGAAAAAAACAGGGTCTTTAAATATAATGCCCTGTTTGTGTTGTGAATATTAGCACATACACTCTTAGAAAAAAAAGGTGCTATCTAAAAGGGTTCTTCGGCACGTATAAACCGTTTGGTTCCAGGTAGAACCGTTTTGGGAAGGGTTCTATATGGAAACCAAAAGGGTTTTACCTGGAACCAAAAAGGGTTCTCCTATGGGGACAGCTGAAGAACACTTTTTAATAAGAGTCTCTCTCTCTCTCTCTTTCTCGCTGCTTTATTAATCAGAGCTGCTGGAGCCCAGCGGAGGAGACACCATGGAGTAGGGAACACGCCACTAGGGGATATATCTCTCTAGAGGAAGTAATGTCGCTGATAACGCCCAGCGTGACAGGAAATGATGTTATATCCTCATAGCCATCACTTCACTAACAGAAGGAACCTTGCTCCTCTTCTTCTGCTACTTGGATAAATCCAATCATTGTCCTGAATTGAGAAGCTAATCAGGTCTCCAGGGCATCCACTTTCTAACCGTAAACCTCTGCTGTCCGGATGTGTCAGTCAATTCAATCCAACACTCTGTTCCCATGAGAGAAAGGGATTTAGAGCGCTTGATGCTGTTTTACTGCACAATCCCTCCCTCACTCTCTCATCTTTCTCTCCCCACTCTCTACCCTCTCTCTCTCCATATGGCCATACTGTGCTCTCTCTGTTTCGCTCTCTTCCTCCTATCGCTCTCTCTCTCTATGTCTCTGTCTCTCTGCACTCTTAGAAAAAAAGGTGATATCTAGAACCAAAAAGGGTTCTTCGGCTGTCCCCATAGGATAACCCTTTGAAGAACCCCTTTTGGTTCCAGGTAGAACCTTTTTGGTTCCAGGTAGAACCCTTTTTGGTTCCATGTAGAACCCTTTCCACAAAGGGTTCTACATGGAACCCAAAAGAGTTCTACCTGGAACCAAAAAGGGTTCTTCAAAGGGTTCTCCCATGGGGACAGCCGCAGAACCCTTTTGGAACCCTTTTTTTTAAAGAGTATGTCTCTGTCTATCTCTCCCCAGTCCCCTCATGTACCTCCCTTCTCACTCTCTCCTCCTGGATGCAAATCCTTACCAAATAATTGATGATGTCAGCCACTTAATTATAATTTCTAAACATTTATTTGTCTCCCCTTCTTCGCTTTCTCTCTTTCTCTCCATCCTTGCCTTCCATATGAGTAAGGTACACACAGTGTTAATTGAAGCCTTGAACATCTGCACCCTCACACCCCCATTCAGAGCTCTCTACAAGGCAACATAAAATAAAGAACCGTATAACACTCGCTACACTTCTGATGTCGATCTGAAAGTTCTGTAAATGTTAAAGGAGAGCTCTAAGTGCGCCATGAAATTTCAATTCAGGACTTTCATGCCATTGTCATGTGGAGGTAGTCTAGATGTAATTGAATTCATGGCTGTGAGAGCAGAGCAGTCAATGGCAGCAGCAGCAGCAGAAGTTAATCCAGCAGCCTGTGACTGTGAGACAACCTGTGAAGGAGGATAAGTGATAATGGTGGGGTGACTCCTAGACATTTGAGTGTTTCTGGACTCTACAGAGGTATGTTCTCTGTGTCCTCTTCAGTGGTGTAACTCATATTCTCGGCATGCCTGTGATATGGTAGCTTCACTCTCGTAATTGGCTATTCTCATAACCAGGGAGGGGGGGCTCAGGGACGTTTGGGAATCAATTTAAGAGCCTTAACTCAGCAGTAAGAAGTTTCTCTGAGGAGAGGAAGAGAAGGGACTCTAACCCCCTTCAGATTAACACCACCAGCCAGGCCCAGGCTAATGACAACAGCTCCTCCTGCAAGACACAAAAAGTCGATCAACTTGTCCACGGCTATACTCTTAGAAAAAAAGGTGCTATCTAGAACCTAAAAGGATTCTTCGGCTGACCCCATAGGATAACCCTTTGAAGAATCATTTTTGGTTCCAAGTAGAACCCTTTTGGGTTCTATGTAGAACCCTTTCCACAGAGAGTTCTACATGGAACCCAAAATGGTTCTCCTATGGGGACAGCTTAAAAACCCTTTTTTCTAAGAGTGTAGGCTACTGCATGTCCTTGGCTTGATTGTCTTTCATTAAATAGCAGAAAACAAATCATTCAGTCGACATTCATACCGGTTATAGACTATGGGGATATTGTCTATATGAATGCAGCTGCCACTGTTCTGAAGCCATTGGACACAGTTAATCATAGCACAATACACATTATTACGGCCGATAGGTTCAGTACACATCACTGCATTCTGTATCAGAAAGTAGGCTGGCCCTCTATTAAATCTCGTAGATTAACGCATTGCACTCTTTTTGTTTGAAAAAGCCCTCCTGCATACATTTCCACCTTACCTTCCTTCATTGTACGAGATACCAGACCCGGCCTCAGGGAGGGCTAACTCTGGAGATCCCTTCGATCTACACTGAGTTAGGTAAATCTGCTTTTAGTTTTTTTGCACCTGAGTTGTGGAATAATCTCCAAGGCTCTCTAAAATTGGATGAATTGGTGCCTCTAGGCTAGGGCAATTCAAAAGGCTGATTGCGGACCTTTTAACTGAAGATTGTGTTTGTTTCTATGATTTTGTTTTGCTTTTAGTGTATTGATGTGAATATTGATGTGTATATTGATGTGTATTATTGATGTGTATAGTGTATATTGATGTTTTTGATGTGTATTATTGATGTTTACAAACTGGGTGGTTCGAGCCCTGAATGCTGATTGGCTGACAGCCGTGGTATTTCGACCGTATGCCATTTATTTTTTACTGCTCTAATTACGTTGGTAACCAGTTTATAATAGCAATAAGGCACCTCGGGGGTTTGTGGTACGTGGCCAATATACCATGGCTAAGGGCTGTATCCAGGCACTCCGCGTTGCGTCATGCGTAAGAACAGCCCTTAGCCGTAGTATATTGGCCATATACCACACCCCCTCGTGCCTTATTGCTTAAGTATAGTGTTTATTGATGTGTATTGATGTTTTTGATGTGTATTGATGTGTATGCATAGATAATTTGAGAAAGAGATCTTGGTCTCAGCATGACTCCCTGTAAATATAAAGGTTAAATAAAATTGTATTGGAGCTCTCTAACCTATCCCCTTTCTCCTACACCAGGGGTAGGCAACTAGATCCAGCCGCGGGCCGATTGTTGTCGGAGCGGATGGTCGGGGGGCTGGAACATAATTATAATAATTTCATCACTGCAAATTGACCCCAACTAAGCCCAAAAAGAGATTGTATTTGAAAAGAACAATAATTTCCTACCTTAATTATACGATCACGTCTCTTTTTTTATTCGTGGGAATACTTGGGAATGGATTTCCTAAATTAAACTCATTTTAGCTTAATTCCTGGTGATTTTACTGTCTTTTTTTAAATTACCCAAACTATGCAAGTTGCTCTCTCCCCCTCCCTCCCTCGCTCCCTTCCTTAACCCATTTAATCCCATCACTCACAATAGTGAGAGAAAAAAATTAACTTTTGTACTGTGCCTTCATTTTTAATACATTGAGTCCATGATGCTTTAGGTATATGAAAATATCTTAGAGGTCATATTTGTGACCAATGGGAAAATACAGTGGCTCTACCGTATTATACAGTGCATTCGGAAAGTATTCAAACCCCTTGACTTTTTCCACATTTTTGTTACGTTACAGCCTTATTCTAAAATTGATTCAACACATATTTTCCTCATCAATCTACACACAATACCCCATAATGACAAAGCAAAAACCGGTTTTTAGAAATGTTTGCAAATGTATAAATAAATAAAAACTGAAATATCACATTTACATAAGTACTCAGTACTTTGTTGAAGAACCTTCGGCAGTGATTGCAGCCTCGAGTCTTCTTGGGTATGACGCTACAAGCTTGGCACACCTGTATTTGGGGAGTTTCTCCCATTCTTCTCTGCAGATCCTCTCAAGCTCTGTCAGGTTGGATGGGGAGTGTCGCTGCACAGTATGAGGTCCTGAGTGCTCTGTAGCAGGTTTTCATCAAGGATCTCTATGTACTTTGATCTGTTCATCTTTCCATTGATCCTGACTAGTCTCCCAGTCCCTGCCGCTGAAAAACATCCCCACAGCATGATGCTGCCACCACCATGCTTCACTGTAGGGATGGTGCCAGGTTTTCTCCAGACGTGATGCCTGGCATTCAGGCGAAAGAGTTCAATCTTGGTTTCATCAGACCATAGAATCTTGTCATGGTCTGAGTCCTTTAGGTGCCTTCTGGCAAACTCCAAGCAGTATAATAACTTGACAAATATTTTATGTCAATAAGTTTGTTTGTTAAGTGTCTCTTGCACAATGGTAGACCTGGTTTATCAGACTATTGGGACATAGCCACAGGTGTAAACATGGTTCATGTGGGTATTTGGGCTGAGATATTCAGGTGTAGATCTGGTTTATATTATTATTGGGACTCAGTCAAAGGTGTAGACCTGGTTTATAGGCGTACTGGAACTGATGTGCAGGGGTAGTCCAGGTTTACAGTTTGACTATTCAGGCTTCGGCACATTTAGACCTGGCTTAGTTGACTAATTGGGTTCAAGCACAGGTGCACACTTTGTAGGTATGAAAATTGGAGCTGAAGTACAGGTGTAGACCTGGTTTGTATGAATATTGGGGCTGAAATGCAGAAGTACACCTATTTTTATGACAATTGAAGCTGACATGTAGCAGTAGATCTGTTTGAAAAAAAATCTATATTGAGTTAGATGTGCAGGTGTATGCCTGGTCTGTAAGAATATTGGGGCTGAAGTACATGTGTAGACCTAGTTTGTATGAATGCTTGTGCACTGGGGTTGACCTGTTTTATATGAGTATGCCCATGGATTTACAGTGAGGGAAAAAAGTATTTCATCCGATGCTGATTTTGTACGTTTGCCCACTGACAAAGACATGATCAGTCTATAATTTTAACGGTAGGTTTATTTGAACAGTGAGAGACAGAATAACAACAAAAAAATCCAGAAAAAGGAGGGATTTTGTCCCACTCCTCTTTGCAGATCTTCTCCAAGTCATTAAGGTTTCAAGGCTGACGTTTGGCAACTCGAACCTTCAGCTCCCTCCACAGATTTTCTATGGGATTAAGGTCTGGAGACTGGCTAGGCCACTCCAGGACCTTAATGTGCTTCTTCTTGAGCCACTCCTTTGTTGCCTTGGCCGTGTGTTTTGGGTCATTGTCATGCTGGAATACCCATCCACGACCCATTTTCGATGCCCTGGCTGAGGGAAGGAGGTTCTCACCCAAGATTTGACGGTACATGGCGCCGTCCATCGTCCCTTTGATGTGGTGAAGTTGTCCTGTCCCCTTAGTAGAAAAACACCCCCAAAGCATAATGTTTCCACCTCCATGTTTGACGGTGGGGATGGTGTTCTTGGGGTCATAGGCAGCATTCCTCCTCCTCCAAACACGGCGACTTGAGTTGATGCCAAAGAGCTGGATTTTGGTCTCATCTGACCACAACACTTTCACCCAGTTCTCCTCTGAATCATTCAGATGTTCATTGGCAAACTTCAGACAGGCCTGTATATGTGCTTTCTTGAGCAGGGGGACCTTGCGGGCGCTGCAGGATTTCAGTCCTTCACGGCGTAGTGTGTTACCAATTGTTTTCTTGGTGACTATGGTCCCAGCTGCCTTGAGATCATTGACAAGATCCTCCCGTGTAGTTCTGGGCTCATTCCTCACCATTCTCATGATCATTGCAACTCCACGAGGTGAGATCTTGCATGGAGCCCCAGGCCGAGGGAGATTGACAGTTCTTTTGTGTTTCTTCCATTTGCGAATAATCACACCAACTGTTGTCACCTTCTCACCAAGCTGCTTGGCGATGGTCTTGTAGCCCATTCCAGCCTTGTGTAGGTCTACAATCTTGTCCCTGACATCCTTGGAGAGCTCTTTGGTCTTGGCCATGGTGGAGAGTTTGGAATCAGATTGATTGATTGATTGCTTCTGTGGACAGGTGTCTTTTATACAGGTAACAAACTGAGATTAGGAGCACTCCCTTTAAGAGTGTGCTCCTAATCTCAGCTTGTTACCTGTATAAAAAACACCTGGGAGCCAGAAATCTTTCTGATTGAGAGGGGGTCAAATACTTATTTCCCTCATTAAAATGCAAATCAATTTATAACATTTTTGACATGCGTTTTTCTGGATTTTTTTGTTGTTATTCTGTCTCTCACTGTTCAAATAAACCTACCATTAAAATTATAGACTGATCATTTCTTTTTCAGTGGGCAAACGTACAAAATCAGCAGGGGGTCAAATACTTTTTTCCCTCACTGTACCTGGTTTATTTGAGTAATGGGGTGTAAGGATACACAAGGCTCATACAGGTAATGGGTCTGGATGGACGTCTATTGCCCATTCAAATTCTTTCTGGCAACAAATTTGTGGTAGGAAAAAAGTTAATGGGGCTGGGGCACATGTGTTATACCACTTTACTTTGAGTTTATCTATGAAATGATTAGCCTATAAAAGGTCAGAGGTCATTGGACTTAGATATACAAATAACAGGGTTGGAATGTGCAGCGAATAGCTGAATATAGGTTACTGTTGGTGACTTGGGGAATACAGGCCTAAAGAAAGTAGGTAACAGGGCAGAGATAGGCAAGTAACAGGGATGAGGTGTATTGGCAAAGGAACTAGGGTTTATGAGTAACAAATAGGGCATTTCGGGTTAGGAAATGGGTGTATTTGGGAACAAATGTGTTAATGTACAAGGGACAGTTCCAGTGAATGCACAGTACCCGAGGAGGAATGATGACTATTTCATTGAATAGTTCTGATAGGGGGGATTGAAGATGGGGAGAAGAGAACAGAAGAGAACAGATGGTCTCTGGAGCCTCAGTAGCATCCAGGACTAATCAGCTTCAGGACCTTCTTCCATTAGTCCCTCCCAAAGAGACCCTGCCTAATTACCAAGTGTTCATTAGAGATTTAGAGGGGAGGGGATGGGGCTGTAACTGTACACTGTGCACCATGCACTCACTGCCATTTGCTTCTAAAGCCATTTGGGGCTGCTGGCATGTCACAACACACTGCTTAGCCTCACAACAACACAAGCCCCTTCTGGGGTTCCCTGGCTGCTCTCAAAATCATTACCCAACGCCGCCAAGAACAGATAGGATACAACAAACAAAACACACTAAGCAGCAGTGGAAACCCAGAATGCTGGTGTCGTGTGCATTACCGTCACGACACTAGAGTAGCCCCCCCTCCAGATGTGATGTGACATGGTTCGCATCAGTAGAATCCCCCCCCCCCCCCCCCCCTCCCCTCCTCCTCTTCCCAGTTTAGTGAGGGATTAACCAGTGAAGAGACACACTGGGCTCTGGCCTGCCTGGGCTCTGGCCTGCCTGCCTGCCAAACCGCAATGCAGATAGATGTACTGTCAGGGATTTACCATGGTGACTGCCGGCTACCATTTTGTAATTTACTGTAGTTCAGAGAAAAGAAGTGACTGGCGAGAGAGGGAGAGTGTGTACTATGCTGTATACTGAGAATGGTGTGATCGTGATGTCTGGGAACAGTGAAAGATTTGGGGGTCAAGATTCTCACTGTCCTGATGCCATTTAATTAGGTTGTGGAATTTACTAAATATCCATCATGATAATGGCAATAACTACATGCTAACACCAAACATATCAAGGGTTTAGAAATATCAATTTTTTATGATATATTGGTAGGAAAATTAGATGTAAATTTTTTTTTTTCCTGGTTTCTCTCACTTCCACTGTTACATGAGGTTCCATGAGGTTCTAGACATGCAGTCAGGGAGGGAAACAGGCATATGCACAGTCACATAAAGATATGCTGCTGCCTGTGCCCTCAATCTGGAAAGATGTCATTCCCTTTGTGTGATATGAGTCTCAACATGCCTTAGCTGTGATGCTGGAATCCATGGGGAAATCTGGAGATGTCTACCCTTTCCAACTCACACCTTAAGATATTCTAGGCTAGCAGAGACACATGCACGGAGCACGGTAATACTGGGGGTTTGGAGGGAAGGAAGGAAGGAAGGGGTGAGCTGAGGAACAATCTCATGCACATATTCCCTTTGTGAGATTGAGGGGGGAGAGAGGGACAGGGAGAGGCACAGAGTGCGACCACCTGGGATGCGCACCCCTCCAGGCAATTCTCAAAATGTTGGGATGTTACAAAATAAAGAGAAAAAAAGAAATACTTGAATGATAAAATCAGCAAAAAGCATTTTCCCTGTTGACTTTGTTTTCCACTGATTCCGTCTGAACTGAGCGAAGAAGAGTCAGATTGATGTTGGCTAACATGGAAAAACCTTGCTTCTGAAATAAATAAAGTCTATCTCCTATCTGGCTCCCGTGTTACAGTTCAAGCCTCAGCATTTGAGAGTATGATAGCTCAGGCTCTCCACTTTGTACCAGTTACCTCCTGAGTGGCGCAGTGGTCTAAGGCACTGCATCGCAGTGCTAACTGTGCCACTAGAGATCCTGGTTCGAATCCAGGCTCTGTCGCAGCCGGCCGCGACCGGGAGACTCATGGGCGGCGCACAATTGGTCCAGGGTAGGGGAGGGAATGGCCGGCAGGGATGTAGCTCAGTTGATAGAGCATGGCGTTTGCAACGCCAGGGTTGTGGGTTCGATTCCCACGGGGGGCCAGTATAAAAAAATATGTATTCACTAACTGTAAGTCGCTCTGGATAAGAGCGTCTGCTAAATGACTAAAAATGTAAAAAGTTACCAGAGTTCCTGATTCTTTTTAAGAGCTCATTTAAGCTTGCTTGCTAGCTTCTGACAGCCCGTCGTTTATCACATGGAGGCACATTGTAATAGAACTCTCTATTCACAGCAGATTATACCCAGGCTTTCTGATGATCATTTTATTGCCGTCTTTGTGGAGCATTGCAAACATCCCTCCCATCTTCATTCTGCAACATACTTCTGAACTCTTCACAGATTTGCCTCTCTCTCTCTCTCTCTCTCTCTCTCTCTCTCTCTCTCTCTCTCTCTCTCTCTCTCTCTCTCTCTCTCTCTCTCTCTCTCCAGAGGGGATATACTCAGACTGTGAACTCTTCACAGATTTGCCTCTCTCTCTCTCTCTCTCTCTCTCTCTCTCTGCCCAGAGGGGATATACTCAGACTGTGTTTCTTGGCCAAGTTAAACTGTTACCAGTATGTCACCTAAAGACTGTCACCATACCACTCCAGCAGATGGCCTTTCATCTTGCCCAGTGCCCATACATCGCTGTCTGTATCAGTTCCCTCTCTGTAGCTACCTGTAGCCACTCCCTCCATCATAATGACAGAGCCAGAGGGGGGAAGGGAGGCAGCTAACTGGGAAGATAAATGTGGCGTGTTGTGTCGTTTGGCTTGGCTCTGCTTCCCTCTCCTCTCCTCTGTCCTGGTTTCACTCATTGTGCTGAGGCCTCCAGTCTCCTGTGTCCTCTCCGCTCTGTGTAAATGGGAAGGAAGCGGGAACACTGTCCCCTTGGGATGACCGTGCCTGTTGGTCCACGCCAACAGCAGAACAGAGCAGTTCCACACATAAAGCAGAGCTCTGTCAGAACATAGGCCAACAGACCAACAGTTTAACAGTCCACACGCTTACTGTAGCAATGATGCCTTTCTACCCTGCACCATTCTGTCCTGCTCACATCAAATCTGCAGGCTCATCCCAAAGTGAGAGCCTCACCCTGCAGAGCTACCTCACCTACCCTCACTGCTAATGTGACAACGTAGAACCACACCCCGTTCTCCAATCCAAGCCTCTGGTAGGACAGGGCCAGTATGATGACTGGGCGAGTTTGTCCATTGGCTGCTGTTGCAGTGTCAGCTGGTTTCTCTCTAGGCTGGAGGCCCTGGAGACAGAACAGAAACAGCTGTGGTCTTCCATGACACAGATCAGATGGGCAACAACTGGACCACTGGCTGGACATGGCCACCTGTCCTCCCAAAGCTGCAGGGGATTGTGCTGTACGTAGCTTCTTGTGTGGATTATGGTACTAACCTACTAACTACTAGAAAGCAGAGTGGATTCTACAGGCCTGGATTCCTTTGTTACACAACACTAACACACATTGACCTAAAAGGCCAATCACATTGTCTGTCTGTCTGTCTGTCTGTCTTTCTAGCATGCTAGCTAGAGAGACCAGCCAACATGTCCTGGCCAGGCCACTTCATCTAACACCGCTTGACCTTCAGCACAGCAGTACAGTGGGCGCTAATAGTGGAACTGTCTGGTGTCTAGCTACAGCATCTAACTACACCATGTATTAGAACTGTCTGGTGTCTAGCTACAGCCTCTAACTACACCATGTAGTGGAACTGTCTGGTGTCTAGCTACACCTCTAACTACACCATGTAGTGGAACTGTCTGGTGTCTAGCTACAGCCTCTAACTACACCATGTAGTGTAACTGTCTGGTGTCTAGCTACAGCCTCTAACTACACCATGTAGTGGAACTGTCTGGTGTCTAGCTACAGCCTCTAACTACACCATGTAGTGGAACTCTCTGGTGTCTAACTACAGCCTCTAACTACACCATGTAGTGGAACTGTCTGGTGTCTAGCTACACCTCTAACTACACCATGTAGTGGAACTGTATGGTGTCTAGCTACAGCCTCTAGCTACACCATGTAGTGGAACTGTCTGGTGTCTAGCTACAGGCTCTAACTACACCATGTAGTGGAACTGTCTGGTGTCTAGCTACAGCCTCTAACTACTGGCTACAGTGTCTAACTATCCCATGTGTCTGAAAGGTTGTAGTGGAACTGTTTGGTGTTTAGCTAGTGTCTAACTACACCATTGAGACAGTGAGTGACAGTGAGTGACAGTGAGCGACAGGGAGAAACAGCGAGCTATGGAAGACAGCATCCAGACAGACCGTGCTTAATTACTGGAGCACACAGAAAGATAAATGGGAAAACCCACACTCTTAAATATTAATGGCAATTTAAAGTGCTAATGTTCCTCCAGGCAGACAGAGAGTGAGGAGAATGGGGAGAGGATTCTGAGAGACGTGGGATGAGGCAGGAGGCTGTGGCCCCATGGGAAGATGGCAGCAGAATGGCCCCTGCTCCATGTGCTGATCTGTGGTGAGGAGTCTCAGGCAGACCAGGCGGGCCCGCTGTTAATGAGCCTAATTTACATTTTAATTTTACATTTTCGTCATTTAGCAGACGCTCTTATCCAGAGCGACTTACAAATTGGTGCATTCACCTTATGATAGCCAGTGGGACAACCACTTAACAATATATCTATTTTTTTTTATTATTATTATTTTTGGGGGGGGTGCTGTTAATAAGCCTAATATTATTGTCAGCAAGCGGTGCACCTCTAAAGCAGGAGAGCAGACTAGACTGAGTGCTGAGCGCTGAGCTGGGATGGCTGTCTGCTCCCCTCTAGTTCAACAGGAACTCTGCATCCACCGAATTAGTCATGCAGCCAGTCTACTTCCATAGCACAGCAGGTGGTTTTATCTATCTGGAGCCCACATTTGACAGCAGTGTCCTGTCCCTGTTGATCCTTCCAGATATGAAGGACAGTCTCTTGATTTTTCTAACACCCACGCAAATATACAATGTCTCAGTGCACACATACAGTAAGCAGACACTTGCTCACACACACATATAGTGGGTATCCAGAGAGACTTGTTGGCTATGCTGATTCTGACCTGAACAACTCCCTCAGTCTCTCTCTCTCTCTATTTCTCACGCGCACTCCCTCTCTCTCTGAGGGTGGACGTACAGTTTGTGGGGGTCTCTACAGCCCCTGCCACCCTCTCCAGGGGCTATCCTCCTCTGTCCCTCACCACAGATGGTGGGCAATGTGGCTGCCTGGCAGCAAGGCTCATTATCGCCCACACTGGGCCCATGGAGAGGCTGGGGCACACTGGAGGTGGGCAGGGAGCTGGAGCTAGGAGCTGGGTAGGGCTTCCACGGCCAACTGCCAGGGCCTTCTCATCCCCACACAGGGGAGCCTGGGACTCTGACTATCACGCAGCCCTGAGCACTGCAGCTCACAGGAGGTGAAGGGAGGAGGAAACCTGCATCAATCAGCCCTCATTTAGGTCTGAAACTGAGCATAACTGTACTGTACCTACTGGCTAATACACATCTAAAGAAGTCTAATCTTTTCAATACTTTGGGTGCCTAAATTAAGTCTGCTTGGTTTCATTTGCATTGTGAACATTTCCTAACTCTCCTCTGGGTACACATATACTGTTCTCCCTACATGTTGAGCTCTTCCTGCTTATCCAGTTCCCCAGTTATATTCCCATCCATTCTGATCAACGTTACTCACCTTCTCCTGGTACTGCCGACGGGAGGAGTCCAGAGACTGGATGAGTGCGGTGGCGTGACCCACGAACATGGCATAGCAGGTGGCGCCCACGATCATGCTGAGGATGGTGAGCCACACGTCCGTCATGCCTACAGGTGGGTACATGCCGTACCCGATACACAGCATGTGGCTCATGGCTTTGAACAGGGCGTAGGAGTACTGCTGGCCCCATGTGTCATTCTGGATGGGGGGAGAGAGGAAGAGAAAAGGTGTCAGAGAGGGGAGAGGGATATGGTGATATGGGGTACTGTTCTCACTCTGCCAGATGTCTGGAGGGAAAAGGTCAGCAAGCACTAAGACCACCAGAGTCCTTCTTATCATCATCATAGTCATCATCATCATCATCCTCATAGTCATCATCATCATAATCCTCATAGTCCCCTGTAGCTCAGTTGGTAGAGCATGGCGCTTGCAACGCCAGGCTTGTGGGTTCATTTCCCACGGGGGGCCAGTATGAAAAAAATGTATGCACTCACTAACTGTAAGTCGCTCTGGATAAGAGCGTCTGCTAAATGACTAAAATGTACAAAAATGATAGTCATCATCATCATCCTCATAGTCATCATCCTCATCATCCTCTTAGTCATCATCATCATCATCATGTAAGAAGACAGCCACAGATGTCCTCTTCATCATGCCTCAATAGGAACATCAACACTTGGCTACACCAACATACTGTAGTAATACACTCTTCTATATGTAAGTATTCAGGGACAGAACTGCCTTAGCTGGGCAGAAACTAAACACAACCATGAGAGTGACTGAATGAATGGAGCCCGAGACACAAGAGGCCTGCAAGGCAAAAAAGTAGGTCAGCTATTTAGAAAAATGTGATTTTTCATTTCTCGTTTGTGGATAAATTGCCCTTTTGTCCTTTAGATCCCCGTGGTAGTCCAAGTGGAATCAATATCTGCTCTCTCCCGAGGTGACATGTTCAAATTGCTTTCAAACTCATTTCCACAGCGGTAAAACCTGAGAGATAGGAGAGTTATTAGTGCCTCCTAAAAAGGTAGAAACAGATGACCCAATAAGATAATAGGGCAGCTACTGTAAGGAAAGACAAGAGTCAAGGCATCACTACCCTCTGATTCTTATCAGGCCCAAACTACTCTTGGCTAGAAGAAGACGTGATAATACCATCAGCTATAGTCTAACCCAGAGAAATTATATTTCTCACTGTACTGTGACACATTAAAAAGAAAAGTAATGCAATTCAATTAGCCAGTGAAACAAAACAAAACACATTTCGATTTTAATGAGAGAGCGCAGTTTTTCAGTGATAGAATCACAATCTAAATACCATAGTGCTTGAAGATGGTGTTGTATAATGCAGAGCAGGAGTTTAGGTCAATGCGATCCCTCCCTAACAGTAGACAGCGTGCCATGCCAGGCTGCTGTTTCCACTTACTGACTACTGGCCTGTCTGTCTTTAATGACCTAATTAGAATTTTATGTGATTGTTTTTTATTCACAGATCCCAGATTAATCCTCTTTGAGGGCTGGGAGCTGTTTGCCTGCCTCCTGTGAGCTCTACAACAAATCGAATCTCTCTCTCTCTCTCTCTCTCTCTCTCTCTCTGAGACATGGACCTGCAGCAGCAGTGCAGCTAACAATGTGATGAAATTAAAGAACAGCATGAGTGCTCGCTGGAAAATTGTCAATACTTTACCAATATTGGATAAGGGCTTTCTGTCCTCTGAAAGTCATTATTTCGTACGAGGCCAAGCTCACCGCCTAGCTTTCACTTTCAGAATATAAACAACCAAACCATACTGAGCTGGTGGAGAGAGAGAGAGCTCCAAATAACTGAAGAAAAAAAAAAGCAGCAAATTGAATAACTGTGGGCGAATAAAGGATAAAGGAAAAAAAAACATTCGATTTAGGCGGGGAAATGGACAGATATGCAAGGCAGCCATTTCCCATGATGCTACAGGCTTAGTACAGTAATTACAGAGACAGAGAGATGAGATAACAGGGAGGGACTAATCTGATTTAGACAGACTTGGGCTGCGTCTGAAGTGGCACCCTATTCCACACAGTGTACTTTTGACCAGAGCCCAGTAGTGCACTTCCTAGATATTAGGGTGCCATTTTGGATGCTCACCTAGTATAGGAGCACAGCAAAGCACTACTTACCACCATCTTGTTTTTGGACACCCAGCAGTCCTGAGGGAAGTCCTGCAGCATGGGAACCAGGAACTGCAGACATCCGTCCCAGTGGCACAGCAGCAGCATCATACCAATCAGGTTGACGATACGCACCATGGCACTGGCCAGGTCATAGGTCATATGGAAGATCTGAAGAGCAGGACAGGAAGAGGAAAGGACTGTGTTAGGACATAGGTCATATGGAGGATTGAGAGAGCAGAATACAATACAATAGATTATTGTCCATTTTGTGAGAAACAAAAATGTGTCTTCTGTTTATCGCAACCCCTGAAACATACATGTTGAGAGGCACAGGGTCAGCCACAGAGCAGCGCCCCTGGATGGAGAGCAGAACTGGAGCAGAGGAATTGTGTTAGGGCACGACGGCATGTGTAGGCTGGCTTACAGACAAAGCCCTGGCCTGAATTGTTTTGTATTACAAAGACCCTTTTCTCCAGGGGTGTTGTCTGTTTACTTTGTTCCCTAACCCTTTGATCGATACTTTTTATAGTCAAGGTGAAGGCCAAGCAGTGGATTTCCCATATGCAATAAGTGAGTTGAGTTTGAATCTGAGCGTCCGTTCTAGTTCGAGGCCACATTGTTCTCCATCACACATGCAGGGCCCTAGCCTCAACGTACAGTAACAAAATGAATCATCTTTGATGTAACACTTGTGCTTTTTACAGATGTTGACATGAGTGGTCTGTAGAGGATGGTCCTGATGGCAGCATGGGAATATGGCTTGGCCTATGGGGGCTTGGGGAGGAGGCTTTATTGAATCACTCTAATCAACCACTTAGGTAAGCACACTAATACAAAGCGGATGGAAGGATGGGTAGGTGTGTATATGCGTCCCTGCTGAGTGAGTGTGTGCAGCACGGGCGAGCTTTGTTAATCCTAATGATAAATATACTCATAAGGCGCTACAGGACGCCTACCCTACGCTGGTGTGGATTTTAATGGCTTCAACAATTTAAAGCCACTTAATCCCATCGAGGGCCGCGGTGTGCACTGTTAACTGCTGTTCTCCTTATTAAAAGCCACTCAGCGCCGTTTAAAAGCTTACGGCTGAGAGAGGGATATTCCATCTTTCTCCTCTTTGTTGGCGAATATTGGTAAGAGGAGAGGGGAGAAGAGAAGCCAGCCACAAACAGCCCCAGGCAGACACAGACAGTTGCTCTCCACTGTTCCTCCTGACCCAGGCTAGATCTCTCCGGTTGCCTCCTAAAGCCCAGTGCTTGTTGATCTGTTCCTTTGTTGTTTCTATCTGAGTGGCTGCGTGGAAACAACAGACAGGGACCAGGGACTAGTACTGAGACAGGCTGTGTGACGGGCCTCTCTGGGACAGTGTGGACGCTGGGCCATCACATCAGATCACCTCCGTCAGAGGGGTCTGCCGGGGAGGGGAGAGCCAAAAGTGTCCCCAAGAAGACTTGTTTCTGCTGGGGTAAGACGGAAGCGTCAGGCCGCCAGGCTCCAGAGTGAGTGCATGGCGGAGACATTACAGTTGCAGCGCTGGGCTCTTGTTCAAAGTGTTTAGCCCGGGGCACATTTACATCATCTGAGCCGAGTCATTCACCCGGCTGCGTCCTTCTCTCTTAATCTACCAAACCACTCGCTTCTTCTTCTTCTTCTTCTTCTTCTTCTTCTTCTTCTTCACCTCCTCTCTCACCCTCTCCTCTCCACAGCTGCGCTCCACTCCAAACACAAGGAGGAGATATTGGTTTTTAAAGAGCCCATTCTCTTTCCAAACACAATAATGGTTATGGTAGCTGATACGAGGCAATATATTGTGATGTTGATTCTCCAGCTGGAACTAAATGGCATTCCATAACATTAAAGAGCTGTCAAAAGCCCTATGTGTGTCAATTTAATAAATCATGAACTACCCCATCCAGTCTCACACTTGAGATTGAGATTTTTTCATTTGTAAAATTGTTTTTCCAAGAGGGGAGTGTGAGCTCTCTGATACAGTGGATGCATTTGTAATGTATTTAAATGTAGCAATTTCCTGCTCATTAAACATGGATAATATAAAACATACATTGTTCAAGCCCACAGTATCTCAGTCAAACAGCAAAACATTGAATACATTACCCATTTACATTTCCCGTCTGAGCATCTTATGTCATTTACATGCTAATATTACAACAGCCATGGAGCTGGTCAACATGAAGTGTCAAGCTGCTAGAGCTAAGAAGGTTGCTTATTCTATATATATTGCACTATTTGAGTAGGGCAGCTACATACAGTACCAGTCAAAAGTTTGGACACACCTACTCATTCGAGGGTTTTTCTTTATTTCTACTATTTTCTACATTGTATAATAATAGTGAAGACATCAAAACTATGAAATAACACATATGGAATCATGTAGTAACCAAAAAAGTGTTAAACAAATCAAAATATATTTTATATGACATTCTTCAAATACATTTTTACATTTTAGTCATTTAGCAGGAATTGGACTACTGTGAGGTCATCCTAGAGAACGAGGCTGGCCGACTATCCGTCCTGCTGCTGGATGAAGGGGTTGGGGATGGCTTCCATGCCGTCCTGAGGACAGATGAGTACCACGGACGTCCCTCTACAAACCACCAGGCCCAGCTGCCGCGTGTCCTCGGTCAGCTTGAACTGGCCGTCAGGATCCCGCAAGTACTCGATGGTGCTATCCAATACCAGGTTTAACAGGGGGTCAAACCCCTTCAGAAATTCACTGGCCTCTCAAATAGCCACCCTTTGCCTTGATGACAGCTTTGCACACTCTTGGCATTCTCTCAACCAGCTTCATGAGGTAGTCACCTGGAATACATTTCAATTAACAGGTGTGCCTTCTTAAAAGTTAATTTGTGGAATTTATTTCCTTCTTAATGCGTTTGAACCAATCAGTTGTGTTGTGACAAGGTAAGGGGGGGGGGGGGGGGGGGGGAGTATACCATAGAAATTTCCACCCGTTGTCTGCGCTCCAGCAGGTATATCTCACTGGTCATCCCTCACCGCCATTCCTTCCAGTTCTCTGCTGCCAATGACTGGAATGAACTGCAAAAATCTCTGAAGCTGGAGACTCTTATCTCCCTCACTAACTTTAAGCGTCAGTTGTCAGAGCAGCTTACCGATAACTGCACCTGCACACAGCCATTCTGAAATTAGCCCATCCAACTACCTCATCCCCATGTTGTTATTTATTTTGCTAATTTGCACCCCAGTATCTCTATTTGCACATCATCTTTTGCACATCTATCATTCCAGTGTTAATACGAAATTGTAACTATTTTGCATTATGGCCTATTTTTTGCCCTACCTCCACAATTTACTACATTCGCACACACTGTATATATATTTTCTGTTGTATTTTTGACTTTATGTTTAGTTTACCCCATATGTAACTCTGTGTTGTTGTTTTTATCACACTGCTTTGCTTTATCTTGGCCAGGTCGCAGTTGTAAATGAGAACTTGTTCTCAACTGGCTTCCCTGGTTAAAAAAAAAAAATTATATATATATATATATATATATATATATATATATATACAGAAGATAGCCCTATTTGGTAAAAGACGAAGTCCATATTATGGCAAGAACAGCTCAAATAAGCAAAGAGAAACGACAGTCCATCATTACTTTAAGACATGAAGGTCAGTCAAAAAATCATTAAGCGCTATGATGAAACTAACAGCGCCGGAGAAGATGGCTGCCGTTTTACAGCCCTCTAACCAATTGTACTATTATGTGTGTTTTTCCGCGTTATTTGTAATTTATTTTGTACATAATGTTTCTGCCATCGTCTCTTATAACCAAAAAGAGCTTCTGGATATCAGGACAGCGATTACTCACCTCGTAATGGACGAAGATTTTTTCTTCAACGAGGCGGCCGCGAAGGATATCATACAGACACCCGACAAGGCCCAAATCCCCGTCATTCGCCTGAGGAAGAGACGGAGATATCGTGGACGTAGATCGGGGTGCCTTGTAAGGATCCGACGGCGAGCGAGTAAACTGCCTCTTCCATCAATCCTATTAGCCAACGTTCAATCATTTGAAAATAAATTGGATGATTTAAGATTACGGTTATCCTACCAACGGGACATTAAAAACTGTAATATCTTATGTTTCACCGAGTCGTGGCTGAACGACGACATTGATAACATACAGCTAGCGGGCTATACGCTACATTGGCAGGATAGAACGGCTGACTCCGGTAAGACAAGGGGTGGCGGTCTGTGTATATTTGTAAACAACAGCTGGTGCACAAAATCAAATACTAAGGAAGTCTCTAGGTTTTGCTCGCCTGAGGTAGAGTATCTTATGATAAGCTGTAGACCACACTATTTACCAAGATAGTTTTCATCTATATTTTTCATAGCTGTCTATTTACCACCACAAACCAATGCTGGCATTAAGATTGCACTGAATGAGTTGTACAAGGCCATAAATCAACAGGAAAACGCTCATCCAGATGCAGCGCTCCTAGTGGCCGGGGACTTTAATGCAGGGAAACTTAAATCCGTTCTACCTAATTTCTACCAGCATGTTAAATGTGCAACCAGAGGAAAAAAAAACTCTAGACCACCTTTACTCCACACACAGAGACGCATACAAAGCTCTCCCTCGCCCTCCATTTGGCAAATCTGACCATAACTCTATCCTCCTGATTCCTGCTTATAAGCAAAAACTAAAGCAGGAAGCACCAGTGACTCGGTTAATAAAAAAGTGGTCAGATGACGCAGATGCTAAGCTACAGGACTGTTTTGCTAGCACAGACTGGAACATGTTCCGGGATTCTTCAGACAGCATTGAGGAGTACACCACATCAGTCACTGGCTTCATCAATAAGTGCATCGATGATGTCGTCCCCACAGTGACCGTACGTACATACCCCAACCAGAAGCCATGGATTACAGGAAACATCCGCACTGAGCTAAAGGGTAGAGCTGCCGCTTTCAAGGAACGGGACTCTAACCCGGACGCTTATAAGAAATCCCGCTATGCCCTCCAACGAACCATCAAACAGGCAAAGAGTCAATACAGGACTAAGATTGAATCGTACTACACTGGCTCTGACGCTCGTCGGATGTGGCAGGGCTTGAAAACTATTACAGACTACAAAGGGAAGCACAGCCGTGAGCTGCCCAGTGACACAAGCCTACCAGACGAGCTAAACCACTTCTATGCTCGCTTCGAGGCAAGCAACACTGAAGCATGCATGAGAGCACCAGCTGTTCCGGATGACTATGTGATCACGCTCTCCGTAGCCGATGTGAGTAAGACTTTTAAGCAGGTCAACATTCACAAGGCCGCAGGGCCAGACGGATTACCAGGACGTGTACTCCGAGCATGTGCTGACCAACTGGCAAGTGTCTTCACTGACATTTTCAACATGTCCCTGACTGAGTCTGTAATACCAACATGTTTCAAGCAGACCACCATAGTCCCCGTGCCCAAGGACTCTAAGATAACCTGCCTAAATGACTACCGACCCGTAGCACTGACGTCTGTAGCCATGAAGTGCTTTGAAAGGCTGGTCATGGCTCACATCAACAGCATTATCCCAGAAACCCTAGACCCACTCCAATTTGCATACCGCCCCAACAGATCCACAGATGATGCAATCTCTATTGCACTCCACACTGCCCTTTCCCACCTGGACAAGAGGAACACCTACGTGAGAATGCTATTCATTGACTACAGCTCAGCATTCAACACCATAGTGCCCTCTAAGCTCATCACTAAGCTAAGGATCCTGGGACTAGACACCTCCCTCTGCAACTGGATCCTGGACTTCCTGACGGGCCGCCCCCAGGTGGTAAGGGTAGGTAACAACACATCTGCCACACTGATCCTCAACACGGGGGCCCCTCAGGGGTGCGTGCTCAGTCCCCTCCTGTACTCTCTGTTCACCCATGACTGCATGGCCAGGCACGACTCCAACACCATCATTAAGTTTGCCGACGACACAACAGTGGTAGGCCTGATCACCGACAACGATGAGACAGCCTATAGGGAGGAGGTCAGAGACCTGGCCGTGTGGTGCCAGGACAACAACCTCTCCCTCAACGTGACCAAGACAAAGGAGATGATTGTGGACTACAGGAAAAAAAAGAGGACTGAGCACGCCCCCATTCTCATCGACGGGGCTGTAGTGGAACAGGTTGAGAGCTTCAAGTTCCTTGGTGTCCACATCACCAACGAACTATCATGGTCCAAACACACCAAGACAGTCGTGAAGAGGGCACGACAAAGCCTATTCCCCCTCAGGAGACTGAAAAGATTTGGCATGGGTCCTCAGATCCTCAAAAAATTCTACAGCTGCACCATCGAGAGCATCCTGACTGGTTGCATCACCGCCTGGTATGGCAACTGCTTGGCCTCCGACCGCAACGCACTACAGAGGGTAGTGTGTACGGCCCAGTACATCACTGGGGCCAAGCTTCCTGCCATCCAGGACCTCTATACCAGGCGGTGTCAGAGGAAGGCCCTCAAAATTGTAAAAGACTCCAGCCACCCTAGTCATAGACTGTTCTCTCTGCTACCGCACGGCAAGCGGTACCGGAGTGCCAAGTCTAGGTCCAAAAGACTTCTCAACAGCTTCTACCCCCAAGCCATAAGACTCCTGAACAGCTAATCATGGCTACCCGGACTATTTGCACTGCCCCCCCACCCCATCCTTTTTACGCTGCTGCTACTCTGTTAATTATTTATGCATAGTCACTTTAACTCTACCCACATGTACATATTACCTCAACTAGCCGGTGCCCCCGCACATTGACTCTGCAACGGTACCCCCCTGTATATATAGCCTCCCTACTGTTATTTTATTTTACTTCTGCTCTTTTTTTTCTCAACACTTTTTTTGTTGTTGTTTTATTTTTACTTTTTTGTTAAAAATAAATGCACTGTTGGTTAAGGGCTGTAAGTAAGCATTTCACTGTGATGTCTGCACCTGTTGTATTCGGCGCATGTGACCAATACAATTTGATTTGATTTGATTTGAAACTGGCTCTCATTTGGATTGCCACAGGAATGGAAGAGCCAGAGTTACCTCTGCTGCAGAGGATAAGTTCATTAGAGTTACCAGCCTCAGAAATTGCAGCCCAAATAAATGCTTCACAGAGTTCAAGTCACAGACACATCTCAACATCAACTGTTCAGAGGGGACTGTGTGAATCAGGCCTTCATGGTCGAATTGCTGCAAAGAAACCACTACTAAAGGACACCAATAAGAAGAAGAGACCTGCTTGGGCCAAGAAACACGAGCAATGGACATTAGACCGGTGGAAATGTGTCCTTTGGTCTGGAGTCCAAATTGGAGATTTTGGGTTTCAACCGCCGTGTCTTTGTGAGACGTGGTGTGGGTGAACAGATGATCTCCGCATGTGTGGTTCCCACCGTAAAGCATGGAGGAGGAGGTGTTATGGTGTGGGGATGCTTTGCTGGTGACACCGTCTATGATTTATTTAGAATTCAAGGCACACTTAACCAGCATGTCTGCCACTGTATTCTGCAGCAATACGCCATCCCATCTGGTTTGGGCTTAGTGGGACTATCATTTGTTTTTTAACAGGACAATGACCCAACACACCTCCAGGCTGTGTAAGGGCTATATTACCAAGAAGGAGTGATGGAGTGCTGCATCAGATGGCCTGGCCTCCACAATCCCCTGACCTCAACCCAATTGAGATGGTTTGGGATGAGTCGGACCGCAGAGTGAAGGAAAAGCTGCCAACAAGTGCTCAGCATATGTGGGAACTCCTTCAAGACTGTTGGAAAAGCATTCCAGGTGAAGCTGGTTGAGAGAATGCCAAGAGTGTGCAAAGCCATCATCAAGGCAAAGGGTGGCTATTTGAAGATTCTCAAATATAAAATGTATTTTGATTTGTTTAACCCCTTTTCTTGTTTACTACATGATTCCATATGTGTTATGTCATAGTTTTGATGTCGTCACTATTATTCTACAATGTAGAAAAATAGTTAAAATAAAGAAAACCTTGAATGAGTAGGTGTGTCCAAACTTTTGACTGGTAGTGTAGGTGAGATAGTAATACCTGTCCAAGACTACTAGTACTGTACAAAGAAAACTCTACTGTCAAATCCCTGTACCTGTAGAAGTTCCATCCCACTGGGCACACACTGGTTGAATCAATGTTTTTTTCACGTCTGAAATGACGTTGAACCAACGTGGAATAGACGTTGAATTGACGTCTGTGTCCTGAGGGATGTGCCCTTAAAATACTTTTTGAACTTCTGCACTGAATGGAGAATAAAGCTCTCCTGACTTGCTCAGAATAATGCAATGCAAATCTCCAGATAGTACTGGCAAATGAGACAGTGAGAGAGAGCAGGGGCTTTAAATAGTGCATTTCAGTGGGGATGGTGATTCCTAGCTATATATCTTCCTAGCCTATATCTTCTTTCAGCCTTAACTCAATTACCCCAAAAATATTCCCATTCCCACTAAATGGAAAAAAATCTGTTCCGATATAGGGTTATTATAGGCTTATTATTTTGAGGCTAAAGAAGGAGGAGGACTCATGTATCTCTCTCTCTCAAATAATTTCATACCTTGATTACACTGAGACACGATCACATCTCTCTTTAGCTGAATTCCCGGTGATTTTACAGTCTTTTACTAAAAACTTTAATCACTCTGTTGCCAACCCCTGTCCTACACCAAAGCAAGTTGACCCCCCCAAAGAGACCCTGCCTAATTGCCAAGTGTTCATGAGAGATTTACAGGGGAGGGGCTGGGGCTGTACACTGTGCACCATGCGCTCACTGTCATTTGCTTCTAAAGCCATTTGGGGCTGCTTGCATGTCACAACACGCTGCTTAGCCACAAACACACACACGTTCGCACACAGACACACACACTGCATTGCAGAGTACAGCACATTATAGGGATGATGGATGGCTGGCCTCTTTGTTTTAATTGATAGGGACATACAATAAGCCTGTCTGCATGACTATCTGGGTAAACAACAGAGCCATGAATGATGAGGGCACCCAGACACTCCACAAAGGTATCTTAAGGGCAGGGGTTCTCACGTTGGCAGCCATGTTACCCTAACACCTGAAACCAAGGCTTTTACCACCTAGGTGACCTTCAATGTCCCTTACATTATTACGGTTAATAGCTAGGGAATGTCTACAACAGAACTAATGACATATCTAACTGTTATGTGTCTGTGTTGTGGTCAAGATGATTATGAAAAATATTGCATCACACGAAAATTAATACAAAATTATACCATTTTATATATTCACATGTGCATCATCATTGTCTTCTAAACAAATCGTAAACGTGGAAGGATCAATTGTGTTTTGTTTCTTTTAGATTTAAATAAAGTAATATTGGCCGAGACATTACAGTGAAAAAACAAGGACCCAGTCCAGAAAGACAGACATGCCCAGACAAGACATCCATTTGATCAATAGGGAGACACCTGAATGTGTCAGGAAGTTATCTGGGACACACAGGAAGTCACAGTCACAGCTGCAGAGTCATCTCAGACAGATGGAGGGAGAGAACAGTGTGGTCCAGGTGAGAGAGAGAGAGAGAGAGAGAGAGAGAGAGAGAGAGAGAGAGAGAGAATAGATGCATATGTCTGTAAGTGAGACACAGCCAATGTAATGCTATGCTGAGGCATCTGGTGTTTGCTGTCCAGGCTGCTAATGATGATGAATGCTTGACATCATGTGTCGCCACCAAATCCAAGAAAAATCCCTCACTCCTATTGTTTCACTGATGCCACTTTCACATTGCCACCCACCCCCCTTTTCTGATTTTAGTTCAACATTGGGCTGGATTTCAGTATAAAGGGACAACATGGGCTACACAGTAAAATGCCCTGACAAAATGCCAGACCCTCATCCACACTGTAATGGTAGACAAAGGAGTTGTGTAGATTAAAAAATGGGGGCGAGAGAGAGAGAACCACATGGGGCACTCTTCCATCAGCTGTCTATACAAGCCGGCCTGGAGGGCTTTTGAGGAAGCCACAGAATGCTTTATTCAGCTTCCTACTGAGAAGTATCGATGGGTGCGTGCCGGATTACACATTTTAATGCAGAAATCTTCTAAGGGGCCCTGCTGTGGGTATTAATATCACACAAGGCATATTCACAGACAGCCTTGAGGACCTGTCACTCTTGCTGGCAAGCCTCATTGTGCACTCAATAATACCCCATTAAACCTTTTCTTCTTTCTTATCTGTGAAAGAGCAGTCCTTGGCCAAGGTACGGGTCACCAAGTGGAGGCCTGATTGGCTGATTTGCATTATTTACATATTTTGTGTGTGCAGATTTATTAGGTGGAAAATGAATGGAAATGCTCTCCTTCCCTCCCTCGCGGCGTGCCTGCCTGCCTGGCGACCACGTGGCTCACTCTTATCAAAGCACCTTGGGATTTCTTTCTGTGGCATATCAGATCGTTCCCCCACTCCATCCTGCACACAGCCAGTTGGGCAGAAAAGCCATCCATCTTAACAATCCCAGATGCCAATATTAATAGAGATGGACTCCCTGCCTCCATGCACTCAACAAACACAGATGGTAGTGCTCCAAAGCTCCTGACACCAAGTTCAAAACACTGTGGAATTGTCTGCCATGTTGAAAATGATCCACCGCCGCCCACTAATGTTATTCTTGTTAACTCTTCGTCTGAAAAGTATTTAAGGATGTTCTTTCTCTCTTTCGGCGAAATAAAGTGCAGCTAAGTGCTGACTGAGATAAAAATCCAAATCTGGGGCTTGATGCTTTGGATTTTATACTATTTCCACATAAGGCCGTTGACAATTTTGGCTTTTAAACTATTTCCTCATCAAGGCCCCAAATGCCTCTGCATCCCTGCTAAAAGCAGCAAGCGGGGGGATGGTGATGTTGAAGACATCTGGCATGGGAGCCACTCTCACAGATTAGTCATTAGTGCATTCGTTTGAGGTTGATTTAATAACATGTTGACTAATTTAATTCAAGTCACTGGGTTTGTCTACAGGAGACAACTCCGATGAGGAGGATATTCGGCCAGCGTCTTATTTTTATCCCAATGAAATATGACAATGAGTACAGCCCAGCTGTCTAGACAGATATATATAGGGATAGGAGGACAGACAGGAGAGATGCCATGGCACTGATTGCAGCCTCCTCCCTTTGATATGATGGATATCTGCACACCACTTAGAATGTCATTATCTTTGACAGTGTTATCGCCGCCACACCCCCACCACCACAACCACCAACCACCCCGTTTGTAAGCTGTAAAACACTGTAGTTCACTAAGCCCGCTCGGCTATTATGTCTTGGAAGGGAATCTTAAATCAATGTTTTTATTCTGTAAGTGTGTATTATTGGTTAGTTAATGTTGCGGTGGTTTAATAGATAGCTGTTTAAAACTTGTGATGCTGATTTGATAGGATGGGAAGTCCTTTGTGCCCTGCAACAAAGGGTCATAGTTGACTACGGGCACCAATCAAGACTTGAGAATCTGCCCCTAAACACATGTTACAGTAGCAAGTCATGTAAGCACACAGGTACATGCACACACAGAAAATAAAAACACATGACATCTCCACAGCCAGGGGGTTCATTTAACCCTTAATGTCAGGGTGTGTGTGGGCCTGGATGTTAGAATATAATCTGTGATTAGAGGAGACTAGGGGCTGAGCTGCAATGGGGAGGCATTTATCTTCTGCTCACTATGACATGTGAGAACATGAAGCCTTCCTTCACTCAGCAGGTCAATGCATCAGACGTCTCCAGGACCAACTATGACAGAGCAATGAGCAATGTCACTGTGCTGGGGAAGCAACAGAGTCAACAACATGCAAGACCTTGCAAGTTAAACAGGAAGTACAGTATGTTCTATGGCGCTGTGGATTGCTCTTCAGCTACCAATAGATAGGAATAGTTCAGCTATGAATTCCAGCAATTTAAGAAGATATATTATTCGAAAAGCTCAAATGGTGACGCAGTTTTAAAAGATATGATGTAATTTGAAATGTAGTTGCCATCGCGAAAAAGTCAAAAAGTCAGTCAGGTGGTGAGATGTGGTCGACAAGTTATTCGGAGATGACAGATGACATTTCTGTGGGGTTACCACTGTAGTGTTCCAGCACCGAGGCAGAGCTGGCCTTTGGCAGGGCCTGCCTACCCAGCGCCGATCAGCACGCCTCGCGCACACACACACACAACACACACATTCAAATAGAAGCTGCCTTTGTGACTGGCTAGCCCCTCCTATCAGTTACAGTTCCCAGGTTAACAGGAAGACATAAAGATGGTGATGGTGATGATATTTATGTACTAGCAAGGCTGCCTCTTTGATGTATACATCACAACCTGAGTGGTATGCTGCCTCAAACTGTCTGTCAATGTGGTTGAAAAGCACCTTTTAAAATGCCCCTGGGTATGGTGTGGTTTAGTGTTGTGGTTTGTTTGGCAATCAACCAGCTATTCAAACTCCCCCCATTGTTCATGCAAAGTAAAACTCTCAGGTGAACACACCCAGCAGGGATTTTAAGGCAACTGTGAAAGAGAGAGCCTCAGTTGGTTTTGAGAGCTGAATAGAGCCGTGATCAAAATACCTTATAGGGATGGACACAATCATTCTGTCTAAGTGGTACTGTAGAAGAGAGAGAGAGCGAGGGAACCTGTCCTGACAAACATTTCAATGTTACAAACAGTACTCCACACTGAAGGATGAGACTAAAAACAAAACAAAAGATAACTAATGTAAAATATACCCCCCGATACTCTCACCTGAAAAAGTGTGCTATCTAGAATAGAAGGATTCTTCGGCTGTCCCCATAGGAGAACCATTTGAAGAACCCTTTTTGGTATGTAAATTCACTGTGGCAGTGCCTGGGTCTGTGTGTGCCCTGCTGTCTTGGTGGTGGAGGAGTGTCTCTGTCTCCTTAATGACTGAATGAATGCATCTCCTGCTGGGCTCTGCTGCTTCACTTTGCACCTCTTACTTCTGGGACAGTGCTCAAGGATACACCCAGGGAGGGACGGGAACATTTCTAATTATTATGGCAATTATAATCATCCCTGTATTTCAGCAGCAGCAGAGGCTCTCTCTCTCTCTCTCTCTCTGGACTCCCTTCGTCAGACTGGTAGATAGACTGATGCTGCACAGAACAGTAATCAACGTTTCTCTCTTCATCATCTCACTGGTGGATGAGGTAAAGCAAAAAGCCTCTTCACCTTGCCTCACTAGTGGATCTAATCAGACACAGCTAGCTAGAGTAGCTTCCTCTAGCCCAACCCCAGGGGAAAGGTAATACATTATGGATCTCAGTAAACAACGTTATCTCTCTCCGAGGAGCTATACTCTATAGAGGACAGTCGACTGTAGTAAAGACGGTCTGTGTTCATGTGTAGGTATTCTGTGTTTGGTAGATATACTATGGATTATAATACTCTCACACGCACGTATGTACGAACACCCTCCTACAGTACCCTACCTCCTCCCACTGGTGGATGTATCTGATGAGCCTGGACAGTCTGAGCAGTCTGAGCAGGCTGAGGATCTTGGTGAAGCGGACGATCCTCAGCGCCCGGGCCGTCTTGTAGAAGTCTGAGTCGATGCGCGTCTCCACGATGAGGAAGATGTAGTCCACAGGTATGGAGGAGATGAAGTCCACCACGAACCAGCTCCTCAGGTACTTGATCTTGATCTGTTGTGGGTCCAGGATGATCTCTGTGTTGTCCTCCTTGACGATGCCCGTGCGGAAGTTGAGCACCAGGTCCATGAGGAAGAAGGTGTCTGAGATCACGTTGAAGATGATCCAGGGGGGCGTGTGCTCGTCCTTGAAGAAGGTGATGCCCACCGGGATGACGATCAGGTTCCCCACCATCAGCAGCAGCATGGTCAGGTCCCAGTAGAACCTAGAACAGGAGGAACAACAAAGAGCTTAGAACATGGAAGAGAATAGGGGGAACCACAGAGAGCTTAGAACCTGGGAGAGAACATGAGGAACCACAGAGAGCTTAGAACCTGGGAGAGAACATGAGGAACCACAGAGAGCTTAGAACCTGAGAGAGAACATGAGGAACCACAGACGGCTTAGAACCTGAGCGAGAACATGAGGAACCACAGGCGGCTTAGAACCTGAGCGAGAACATGAGGAACCACAGACAGCTTAGAACCTGAGCGAGAACAGGAAGAACCACAGATGGCTTAGAACCTGAGAGAGAACATGAGGAACCACAGACGGCTTAGAACCTGAGCGAGAACAGGAAGAACCACAGATGGCTTAGAACCTGAGAGAGAACAGGAGGAACCACATAGTGGGGAACCTGATCAACATCCCTATCAGTAGCAGTATAGTCAACTCCAGCAGCACCTGGGAGAGACAGGAATTGGGTAGAGAGGATTTAGGAGAAAAGAAGATCACATAGACTGTACTGTACTGAACTGCTTTATACAGTGAGGGAAAAAAGTATTTGATCCCCTGCTGATTTTGTACGTTTGCCCACTGACAAAGACATGATCAGTCTATAATTTTAATGGCAGGTTTATTTGAACAGTGAGAGACAGAATAACAACAACAAAATCCAGAAAAACGCATGTCAAAAATGTTATAAATTGATTTGCATTTTAATGAGGGAAATAAGTATTTGACCCCTCTGCAAAACATTACTTAATACTTGGTGGCAAAACCCTTGTTGGCAATCACAGAGGTCAGACGTTTCTTGTAGTTGGCCACCAGGTTTGCACACATCTCAGGAGGGATTTTGTCCCACTCCTCTTTGCAGATCTTCTCCAAGTCATTAAGGTTTTGAGGCTGACGTTTGGCAACTCGAACCTTCAGCTCCCTCCACAGATTTTCTATGGGATTAAGGTCTGGAGACTGGCTAGGCCACTCCAGGACCTTAATGTGCTTCTTCTTGAGCCACTCCTTTGTTGCCTTGGCCCTGTGTTTTGGTGTCATGTAATGCTGGAATACCCATCCATGACCCATTTCAATGCCCTGGCTGAGGGGAAGGAGGTTCTCACCCAAGATTTGACGGTTACATGACCTCGTCCATCGTTCCTTTGATGAGGTAAGTTTGTCCTGTCCACCTTAGCAAGAAAAACACCCCAAAGCATAAATGTTTCCACCTCCAGTGTGACGGTGGGGATTGTGTTCTGGGGGTAAAGCAGCTTCCTCCTCCTCCAAACACGCGAGTGGAGTTGAGGCAAAGAGCTCGATTTGTCTCATTGACCACAAACACTTTCACCCAGTTCTCCTCTGAAATCATCAGATGTCATTGGCAAACTTCAGATGGGCCTGACTTTCACCACATTGTCTCTGAATTTACATTCAGATTTCATTGGCACGTCCTTGACATTGACAAGATCCTCCCATGTAGTTCTGGGCTGATTCCTCACCGTTCTCATGATCATTGCAACTCCATGAGGTGAGATCTTGCATGGAGCCCCAGGCTGAGGGAGATTGACAGTTATTTTGAGTTTCTTCCATTTGTGAATAATCGCACCAACTGTTGTCACCTTCTCACCAAGCTGCTTGGCGATGTGCTCCTAATCTCAGCTCGTTAACTGTATAAAAGAAACCTGGGAGCCAGAAATCTTTCTGATTGAGAGGGGGTCAAATACTTATTTCCCTCATTAAAATGCAAATCAATTTATAACATTTTTGACATGCGTTTTTCTGGATTTTTGTTGTTGTTATTCTGTCTCTCACTGTTCAAATAAACCTGCCATTAAAATTATAGACTGATCATGTCTTTGTCAGTGGGCAAACGTACAAAATCAGCAGGGGATCAAATACTTTTTTCCCTCACTGTACCACCACTGACATCCAACCTTTTCAATAATTAATGTGGTTTAGGATTGTGTACACTATGGCCATGTGTCTTGACCAGCCACTAAATCTAAGTCTTTGAAGGCCTTTAAAAAATAATTATATGCCATTTTTAATTAAACTAAATCCCAGATACGGCCAGTTTGAACCTGTGTGACTCATGGCTGTCACAACATGTGTTCACATGGTATCCTACTGTGGCTCTCATGAAGGAGTAATGACACACAGTTGCAGCCTTGCCTTCATCTCCCAGTCTGTCTTGATGCATAACCTATTTGCTTCCTGCTTGTGGTTGCTGGGTGCACATTAAAAAAGGTAAATGAGGCTTAAATGTTGATTACAAAGTGTGGCGTGACCTTGTCCATCTTCCCAGTCGCACAGTTTGGTTATAAATTACACTCTCTGCCCGCTTTGTAATTGAATCCAGATGGTAGTGTTGTATAAGGAGGATATACAGTATCCTTGGTGCTCTATAGATTGCATCGAGGAGAGGGTCCCGCATTGTGAACTGGTTCTTGTGGGTTTGCTAATTATGGTGGAAAATAAGTATTTGGTCAATAACAAAAGTTTCTCAATACTTTGTTATATACCCTTTGTTGGCAATGACACAGGTCAAATGTTTTCTGTAAGTCTTCACAAGGTTTTCACACACTGTTGCTGGTATTTTGGCCCATTCCTCCATGCAGATCTCCTCTAGAGCAGTGATGTTTTGGGGCTGTCGCTGGGCAACACGGACTTTCAACTCCCTCCAAAGATTTTCTATGGGGTTGAGATCTGGAGACTGGCTAGGCCACTCCAGGACCTTGAAATGCTTCTTACGAAGCCACTCCTTTGTTGCCCGGGCGGTGTGTTTGGGATCATTGTCATGCTGAAAGACCCAGCCACGTTTCATCTTCAATGCCCTTGCTGATGGAAGGAGGTTTTCACTCAAAATCTCACAATACATGGCCCCATTCATTCTTTCCTTTACACGGATCAGTCGTCCTGGTCCCTTTGCAGAAAAACAGCCCCAAAGCATGATGTTTCCACCCCCATGCTTCACAGTAGGTATGGTGTTCTTTAGATGCAACTCAGCATTCTTTGTCCTCCAAACACGACGAGTTGAGTTTTATTTTTAAAGTTATATTTTGGTTTCATCTGACATTCTCCCAATCCTCTTCTGGATCATCCAAATGCACTCTAGCAAACTTCAGACGGGCCTGGACATGTACTGGCTTAAGCAGGGGGACATGTCTGGCACTGCAGGATTTGAGTCCCTGGCGGCGTAGTGTGTTACTGATGGTAGGCTTTGTTACTTTGGTCCCAGCTCTCTGCAGGTCATTCACTAGGTCCCCCCGTGTGGTTCTGGGATTTTTGCTCACTGTTCTTGTGATCATTTTGACCGACCCCACGGGGTGAGATCTTGCGTGGAGCCCCAGATCGAGGGAGATTATCAGTGGTCTTGTATGTCTTCCATTTCCTAATAATTGCTCCCACAGTTTATTTCTTCAAACCAAGCTGCTTACCTATTGCAGATTCAGTCTTCCCAGCCTGGTGCAGATCTACAATTTTGTTTCTGGTGTCCTTTGACAGCTCTTTGGTCTTGGCCATAGTGGAGTTTGGAGTGTGACTGTTTGAGGTTGTGGACAGGTGTCTTTTATACTGATAACAAGTTCAAACAGGTGCCATTAATACAGGTAACGAGTGGAGGACAGAGGAGCCTCTTAAAGAAGAAGTTACAGGTCTGTGAGAGCCAGAAATCTTGCTTGTTTGTAGGTGACCAAATACTTATTTTCCACCATAATTTGCAAATAAATTCATAAAAAATCCTACAATGTGATTTTCTGGATTATTTTTTCTCAATTTGTCTGTCATAGTTGACGTGTACCTATGATGAAAATTACAGGCCTCTCTCATCTTTTTAAGTGGGAGAACTTGCACAATTGGTGGCTGACTAAATACTTTTTTTCCCCACTGTATGTGCTTTCTAGAGCAGGGGGACCTTGCGGGCGCTGCAGGATTTTAGTCCTTCACAGCATAGTGTGTTACTGATTGTTTTCTTGGTGACTATGGTCCTAGCTGCCTTGAGATCATTGACAAGATCCTCCCGTGTAGTTCTGGGCTGATTCCTCACCGTTCTCATGATCATTGCAACTCCACGAGGTGAGATCTTGCATGGAGCCCCAGGCTGAGGGAGATTGACAGTTATTTTGTGTTTCTTCCATTTGCGAATAATCGCACCAACTGTTGTCACCTTCTCACCAAGCTGCTTGGCGATGTGCTCCTAATCTCAGCTCGTTACCTGTATAAAAGAAACCTGGGAGCCAGAAATCTTTCTGATTGAGAGGGGATCAAATACTTATTTCCCTCATTAAAATGCAAATCAATTTATAACATTTTTGACATGCGTTTTTCTGAATTTTGTTGTTGTTATTCTGTCTCTCACTGTTCAAATAAACCTACCATTACAATTATAGACTGATCATGTCTTTGTCAGTGGGCAAACGTACAAAATCAGCAGGAGATCAAATACTTTTTTCCCTCACTGTACCACCACTGACATCCAACCTTTTCAATAATTCATGTGGTTTAGGATTGTGTACACTATGGCCATGTGTCTTGACCAGCCACTAAATCTAAGTCTTTGAAGGCCTTTAAAAAATAATGATATGCCATTTTTTAATTAAACTAAATCCCTGATACGGCTAGTTTGAACCTGTATGACTCATGGCTGTCACAACATGTGTTCACATGGTATCCTACTGTGGCTCTCATGAAGGAGTAATGACACACAGTTGCAGCCTTGCCTTCATCTCCCAGTCTGTCTTGATGCATAACCTATTTGCCTCCTGCTTGTGGTTGCTGGGTGCACATTTAAAAAGGTAAATGAGGCTTAAATGTTGATTACAAAGTGTGGCGTGACCTTGTCCATCTTCCCAGTCGCACAGTTTGGTTATAAATTACACTCTCTGCCCGCTTTGTAATTGAATCCAGATTGGTAGTGTTGTATAAAGGAGGATATACAGTATCCTTGGTGCTCTATAGATTGCATCGAGGGAGAGGGTCCCGCATTGTGAACTGGTTCTTGTGGGTAGGGAAGGATGATTTAACCACTCAAGTTTAACTGGCCCCATAAAAATCCATCTCAGAGCAAAACCAATTTAAAGCAGAGACCCAGAAAAAATGAAAAAATATACAATTCTCTATGTTGATGTTTGCTTGGCTGTGATGGCTCTCAGTGGAGATGAACATTCCAATTGCCTCTGAGATCACTGTGCTGCCTGTCTATGGACACATTACATTACTTTGAAATAAACATTAATTACAGGGATATTACACACAGATGTCTAAGACAGTTGAGCCGCATTGTGCCATGGATTATGGTTTACAAAAACCATAAATACACACACACATACGTGCACACACACACACACTCTCTCCCACACACACGCGCACACGCACACACACTGACACACACTAAACCCCCTCTCGCTGACACACTGACACACGAAACAGTGACAGTAATTGGAATTCTTCAAAGTACAAGGGTATCCACGGTTTCAGTTTCTTGTCAAGCAGAGTTATATTTAGAAATACATTTCTGCCACTGTGTTTGCTCATGTTAATATTTAAAGCCCAAGAGGACAAGACAAAACTTCAAAGGAAATAACATGTACACGTGTAATGACATTTACTCTTCGAATTCTTCCCATTCCCTCGTATTCCCCATGTCAGGAAGAAGTGTGTGAGTTGACATCATGAACACAAAACAGCTTGCTAACGGGCTGGAGGTGCACCAACGGCCCTTAAAGCCGCTGCAAACACTATGTGCTAATATATCCATTTATTTTCGTACCAACACCTGCTCATTGTCCTCGCCACTTTTCTGCCAGTTTCATGGTGACCTCAGAGGACTTGACTGTTAGTTTTAAACTAGGTCGTGAAGAAACAAACACAGACATCAGGAAGTAGAAAAAGCCCAGCTGGCAGACTGTCTTGTCTATTTGAACAGAGAGAGAGAGAGGAGGCTGAGAAGAGACATGGGTAGGCTGTGGAGAGGCAGGGGAGGAGGGCTCCTCGACATGCTTACTGGGCCTCAGAGAGAGGGATGGAGGGGTATGCAAGCTACTGTCAGGATCCCCTGAGAGGGCCTGGGGCCAAGAGAGGGGACACACACCTGTGTGAACTCCACCTGTTCCCTAGGATGACGTAATGGGGATTTGTGTTCAACAGCCTTCCCAAGCCTCTGGTCATGTACTGTACATACTATAGCCTCCTACAGACATCAACCATGTGTCTGTCTCCCAATACCTCAAGTCTCTAGGTCTCCTCAATGTCAGAGATTCACAACCGTGGTGATGAAGGTTGTGACCCATGATGGAAATATTGTGGAACAAACAACCACGTTTCCATCCAACCTTGTTATGCGAGGGTCGGAGAAAACATTTCACGACAGGCCCGATGGAAACAGCAAATTTGTCGGTAAACTTTCCAAATGTCGACAAAACAAAACATGCTAGACAAGGTGGGATCTTTTTGTGTTGGTATCATTAATTATGCAAGAAATGGCGTTGGAAATGCCTTTATGAGCAAATATTGATATAATAAGTCAACTTGGAGGCACGCGATGATATGTTGTGTGGTCCTCCCACTACGACTCGGAAAAGCATGCTGTTTATTAGGCTAAAGATGAAATAAGTTATGATGAACTTCACAGGATGGTGAAAGTGCACGGTGATGAGCTTGATGCTCCTTTCCAATAGATATTGAGGGTCTTATTCTGGTGACATGATGATCGATGCTTGGCTGGCATTTGACAAATAAAAAGAATCTCGCTCTTTTGTCCATAATAATCTCATCATGTAGTAGGCTGTACCTGCACTGTTTCTGTGAGCTGTTGGCTAGAATGCGCGTGCCAAGACCAAAGTGGGCACATTTGCTATATAACGCACATTTCTTTGTGTGTCAAAACCATCAGTAGAGTTTAAAATGCGATGGAAACCTATTTAAATTGTGTTTTTTATTCAGTACATGGCAAAGGTTACTTTTATGTGCACTACGTCATCACGCACAGCCTTTTATCCCCAACAAGTCAATTTGATGGAAAATTTGATGGGAAAATGTGCATATTGTTTTTATGCTGACTTTAGAGTATTCCCACTACCATCTGTCTCCAACTGGATGGAAATCTAGCAACTAACCAGGTTTCCATTCAACCTTTTTATGCGAGTAAAGAACATGTTGGATAAAGAAATTCAAGACAGGCATGATGGAAACAGCTAATTTGTCGACAAAACAAAACACGCTAGACAAGGTGGGATCTGTAAAATGTATTATACGAGAAATGCCGGTAGAAACGCCTTTATGCGCAAATATTGATATAATAACCATCATATCGAAGTAAACTTGGAGGCACACGATGATATGTTGTGGCTCAGCCGCAAAGTGGTAGGCCACACAAGCTCACAGAACGGGACCGCTGAGTGCTGAAGCGCGTAGAGCGTAAAACTCGTCTGTCCTCGGTTGCAACACTCACTATTGAGTACCAAACTGCCTCTGGAAGCAACGTCAGCACAATAACTGTTTGTCTGGAGCTTCATGAAATGGGTTTTCCAAGGCCGAGCAGCCACACACAAGCCTAAGATCACCATGTGCAATGCCATCGGCTGGAGTGGAGTAAAGCTCGCCGCCATTGGACTCTGGAGCAGTGGAAATGTGTTCTCTGGAGTGATGAATCACGCTTCACCATCTGGCAGTCCGACGGACGAATCTGGGTTTGGCGAATGCCAGGAAAACGCTACCTGCCCGAATGCATAGTGCCAACTGTAAAGTTTGGTGGAGGAGGAGTAATGGTCTGGGGCTGTTTCTCATGGTTCGGGCTAGGCCCCTTAGTTCCAGTGTACAGCATACAATGACATTCTAGACGATTCTGTGCTTCCAACTTTGTTCTAACATCTAGTGGAAAGCCTTCCCAGAAGAGTGGAGGATGTTATAGCAGCAAAGGGGGGACCAACTCCATATTAATGAACATGATTTTGGAATGAGATGTTCGACGAGCAGGTGTCCACATACTTTTGGTCATGTAGTGTAGCTATTGGTATTTCTATTCAAGAATCAATTACACATCTGGTTCTGTGTAAATGTGCATGACTTATCTCTCTCTGTGTGTGTGGGTGTGCTATTTTTCAATTTCACGCTTGCTATTGCGTTCTAATGGAGGTCAGCCCACCTAAACATAGCAGGGATCCATTTACTGTGTTTTATTATGCATTGGGATCCTGACATAGAGGAATATTGTTCTATAAATATAGCAGTGAGCGCAGGGCTGGGCAGGGTGGTGGACGAACATTGCAAAGGCACAAAATCCCTATCTCTATGTCTGTCTGTCTGAATTGTGGATTGATAGCTTTTCCCCTTTATAAAACAAAAGGCAGCGTCCTTCATGGTGATATCAGTGCAGGCAGCGGTACACTGCTGCGGTGTAGAGAGAGAGGGAGAGAGATCGAGAGAGAGAGAGAGAGGGCGAGAGAGAGGGAGAGAGAGAGGGAGAGAGCCACAGAGAGAGGGAGAGTTTGAGGGAGGAGAGAGAGAGATCCAGAGAGGGAGTTGCATAGCTTACACCTGAATTGTTATAGTGCTGGGGAGGGACTGCTCACTGTCATGACGACAGACCCGTGACATTTCCATGCCTGCTCGTCTAGAGAGACAGAGGTACGGTACACACCACACCATCTGCTCTCCTGGGAAGTGACCAAGGACTGCAGATCCATGTTTTTACCCTCAGAGTGCCTCCTGCTACAAGATAAACCTCTCTCCCACTCACCACCCTGTCCTGGAGATAGCTACCTGGGGCCACAGTAGCCCATCCTGGTGTCACCGTCATACTGGGGCTCTGATATCACCCACAGAGGGCTAGAGTACTGGACGTATTCACACTCCTATCACCCAATATGAACATGTTGAAAAGGCATAAAGGTGTGTGTGTGCGTGCGTTGCCCGCGGGGTGCCGTCTCTACCTGTTGGCAGACACGCTGGGAGAGTGATGGCAAGGCATCCAGGTAGGTTGTCTGTCATGTCAGATACACTAGCCTTGCAGACAGAGACAGCCATGAGGAGCGGTGTGTGTGTGTGTGTGTTTGTGTGTGTGTGTGTGTGTGTTTGCTCCCCTTCATTCGGCATGGCGTCAGACTGAATGAGGACAGCAGAACAACAATGTGTTCCTGTTCCTCCCCGCTCTTCCTTCCCAGAGAGCAGCACCACAATCATTCACTGTAAATGTGATTCTGGCTGATTGAATGATTGATGTTGATCTATTTATGAATATGAAAAGTAGTTCCCCTCTTGAATAATTCATTTCCTTGTTTTGTGTGGTTTTTCTCTCCTTTCCCTCGTTCTTGTGAGAGGCTGTTTTGTGTGAGGATGAGGAGTCCTCGTCAGAAGTGCTGACTCACCATCTGCCTGAGGATATTGCCCCATGTCACATGAGACCGCCTGCATCAATTTGACCACTGGCCACTGGGTACTCTAACCCATCTTAGGGGTGTCACTACTGTACTATGGGGACAGTGAACAGTTGGCTTGACTGTGTGTGTGTGTGTGCGCGTGTTTGTGTGTGTTGGTGTGTGCAGTGGTGGGAACACATTAACCCTTAGGCCTCTTCTGACAGGCGAGTGATGAGTGAAAATTAAGCATGTTAGTCTAATACAAGGACAACACACACACACATAGCCATTGTGCAAGACAGTTCTCCTTTGGGCCAGTTGGCACACTATGAGACAATAACACGAGGAAATTGAAGTGTCCAGGAGAGAATCGGGTTAAAAGGGTTAATCCTATTTTTGTTGACACCCCGCTCCGATGAACTGCCATGACGGCACTGACTTTGCTAAGCACAGCCGGCGGGCTCACTACGAGCACATCACTGACACTGGGGCTACGCAGTCGAAGGTGGCTATTTTTAGGTGAGACGGACCGTTTTTTTATCAGTCCTGAGCACTGCCGCTATCGTAAGAAGAATTCACCGGAGAGAAGCACCAAATCTCCTCAACCTTGGAGTGAGGAAAAACAGACCATTTACTAAACACCGACATGGAGAATAGAGAATGGGGGAATCTAATGAAAGGAACGGCCCTTTCCTAATACTGCAAAACATATGAATAACACCATTAATAAGATTACAATAGCCAGGTGATGATGGACCATTGCAGGATTTTCATCCAGCTAAAAAACCCTGTTCTGTAAGAGTCTCCCAGCTGCTCCTAAACTCCAGAGCAGAGACAGGTTTGACCTCTGCTGCTGGAGCTGGTAGAGATCTATACTGTCTAAGGCCTTGTCTATATTAAAGTCAGAGTTAATATATTCTGGGATTCGACAGCTAAGAAGAGTCCAATCCTTTTGCATATAGATTGAGAATGCATTCTGGTAACTGTCAAGCGCATAATGACCTCCACTGTGACCAGTGACTGGAAAACACATGCAATGTACCGCTTATTCATGAAAAATGAACCACTTCCAAAGAGAAATACTAAGACCCCATAATAAAACAAAGCTACACAACAAAGCTAGACAGCAAGCAATAAGCCCATCCAAAATATTTATCACGTTTTGGATACTCAATCTTTATCTCTTATGAATAACAACAATCTAATCGAAGAAGCCACTCTGCAGAATAAACAGCAGTACAAGGGAGACTGAATGTTTGAAGGAGTCGGAGAGGACTTTCTCCAACGCCCAGCACCCCAGTAGCATATTACTATTTCTTTCCTATTAAAGGTGCTGCTGGCTGGCGCCACCAGTGGAGAGAGGCACAGTGTCCCTGTCCCTGTCCTTGTCCCTGGTCGCAGCTCACAGAGTCCTTCACACACTGCTGAGTCCCTCCCCAGAGCAGAGTATAGGCAGAACAGAGCATGGCACGTTAGTTACCTGCTCGGGGGAATAAAAGACTCCACAAGGATACTCCACAGGCAGCACAGTCAGCAACTCACTGTGCCCTCCACAAAAACAAAAGGACCACTGTGCACAGTCCATAGGCCTACCAGAGGAGAACACAGGGCATCCGAAATGGCACCCTATTCTATATAAATAGTGCACTACTTTCGACCAGGGCCCATAAAATAGTGTGCCATTTCAGATGCACCCACAGACTGCTCTCCAGCCTGCTCTTATCCCCCTGACTACATGTAGCTGGATCTCCATTCTCTACTTCCTGCCTGCCTGTCATTTCGCCCCCTAATTGCATCCATCTTTATTATCATGACCCATTGTTATCTATGTACTGTATCTCCCAGGAGGACTTGTTGGATGTCATGTCTAGGGGTTTTCTATCAGTCAACCACTGAGTGTTGATGTGGGAGAGAGAACAGCGCACAGTGCTGGGTGCCTCCTATATACATATCACCCTGTTTCCCAGGAGAGAGAGTGAACAGCTGTCTCCTAAACCAGATGAAGAGCTAACCTAATGTACTACCATAGCTGCCATTATATTAGCAGTCAGTCACATTGTAGGCTACACTGTCACCTTGCAGCTCACTTCCCCAGCCCCCAATCTCAGCCCCCAGCCCCATGTAGCCCCAGCCCACTCCCAGGCCCCAGCCCTATACCCCAGCCTCAGCCCAGCCCCCCTCACACCTCAGCCCTAGCCTAGCTCGAGCCCCAGCCCTCCCTCCTACCTCCAGCCCCCTCACTCCCCTAGCCCTGACCCTGTCAATTATCTTCCCCAACCAGGTGATGTAATCAGCAAATGGAGCAGCAGGAATGAAAGCCTTTATATCCATCTCAGAGATGTTGATCCAGGGTCAGAGTGAGAGAGAGAGAGAAAGGGTGAGAACAAATGTGAGAGGGAACTGAGAGTGAAAACAAGATGGTGCGAAACAAATGAGTGGGAGAGAAAGGTTGAGGAGAGAATGAGAGGGAGAGAAGGGCGGAAAAAGGAGGGAGGAAGAATTCATCTCCTTATATTCTGTTCAGTGGATAAAGCAGCACATAATCTCTCTTCTTTTCATATACCGAGCCCTGTTGCTCGAAACTCCACAGAAATTGTAAGCACATTTTAGCACATTTTATCCCACCCTCCCCCCAAAAAAGATAAGGTAAGAGGGAAAAATATAGCCAAAATTAATGCAGCTTAAAACCCAGCAGTTTATGGAAAACCCTTACTAAGAAGTAGTTTTAAGCATAAAATGAAATAAAAATGTGGGGCGCGATGCAGAGTTGATCTGGTTTTTGCTGGTCTGCGTGAGAAGGCAAAAGCAGAGGCTTATCTGACTGTTAAACCAAATAGGACCGGATTTATCTTGTTTATTTGTTATTTCTGTAATTTCTTGAGTGTATGTGCTAAATAGTGCACATGCATTTGATTTAAACATATTTCCCTGCCACCACCTTTCCTATTCAGTCTTCCCTGGCAGGTGCTAACAATAGCCTGGGAAAATAATCTAACTGAATTACAAATAACGGGGAAGAAGAGGTCTTTGGAGATGTGGAAGAGATGCTAGACTCGTAAATCACAATTGAAAGCAATTTAGTCAACATTACCACCCTCCACCCAAAAAAGTTACGGTTCAGGCGGGAATCTTACCAATTTTCGGCAGTTCGCCAGTCGTTCGTTCGGAAAACCTACTAAGAAGTTTTAAGCTAAATGAATTTAATTTGGTTGGCGTGGTTGAATCTGGTTTCCTTGTTGTGTTAATATGAGCAAAAGCGTGCTTTTTGTCTGTTATGGGTATTTATCGTATTTTTGATTATTTCTATTCTTGATGTTGTTGTAATGTGAAGATTGTTCGCACAGTTTTGCCTTTGCACACCTTTCCTACAGTCTTGCTGAATTTCGCTAACCAGTCCTTGGTACAATTTTGCTACCTTTCTACACTAAAGAGTAGTACTTGGACTGTGGAGAGAATGGAGATTCCACCACACTCTCACTAACCCTACCAGCCATTTGTCTGAGTCTTCTAGTCAGACGGCAAGCGCAGCGTGAGGGTGGGAGGAGGCCAAACACATTGCGGCTGGGGAATGGGGAAGTACTTCCTGTGAATCATGGCAGCCACACAGACAGGGCTCTTTATTCTGCTGGACTCCACTCAGGCCCTCCATAAGTGGAGAGGTTGTTGCAGTGAGTGGGAGCCCCACTGGTTCCCTATGGTTTAGTAGTGCTATAGCAGGCAGCACTGCTACTGCTGCCAACGGCCTGGTGAATAGAAGCCACGTCTGTTTCTCAAACATCACTGGCCTGAGAAAAGGCATGTTAACAAACATTTTGCAAGAAAGTGGGCACTATCTATAGACACTATTTATAGACATTATCTACAGACACTCACTATCTACAGACACTCACTATCTATAGACACTCACTATCTACAGACACTCACTCTCTGTAGACACTCACTATCTACAGACACTCACTATCTACAGACACTCACTCTCTGTAGACACTCACTATCTACAGACACTCACTCTCTATAGACACTCACTATCTATAGACACTCACTATCTACAGACACTCACTATCTATAGACACTCACTCTCTACAGACACTCACTCTCTATAGACACTCACTCACTATAGACACTCACTATCTATAGACACTCACTAGCTACAGACACTCACTCTCTATAGACACTCACTATCTATAGACACTCACTATCTATAGACACTCACTCTCTACAGACACTCACTCTCTATAGACACTCACTATCTCGACACCACTCTCTATAGACACTCACTATCTAAAGACACTCACTCTCTATAGACACTCACTATCTAAGACACTCACTCTCTACAGACATCACTATCTATAGGACACTCACTCTATCAGACACTCACTATCTATAGACACTCACTATCTACAGACACTCACTCTCTACAGACACTCACTAGCTACAGACACTCACTCTCTATAGACACTCAATCGCTATAGACACTCACTATCTATAGACACTCACTATCTATAGACACTCACTATCTTCACTGAGTGTACAAAACATTATGAACACCTTCCTAATATTGAGTAATATTGAACACCTTCCTTTTGCCCTCAAAACAGCCTCAATTTGTCGGGGCATGGACTCTACATGGTATCGAAAGCGTTCCACAAGGGATGCTGGCCCATGTTGACTCCAATGCTTCCCACAGTTGTGTCAAGTTGGCTGGATGTCCTTTGGGTGGTGGACCATTCTTGATTCACACAGGAAACTGTTGAGCATGAAAATCCAAGCAGCGTTGCAGTTCTTGACACACTCAAACCGGTACGACTGGCACCTACTACCAATGGCACACATACACAATCTCTCAATTGTCTCAAGGTTTAAAAATCCTTCTTTAACCTGTCTCCACCCCTTCATCTACACTGATCGAAGTGGATTTAACAAGTGACATCAATAAGCTGTTCTCAAAAGCAAAATAAAAAATAAATTATATACAAAATTGCCTTTTTTTATGTAATGTTTTTTCTCAATGTGTCACATCTTTTTATGCTCAAAATCCCAAAATGTGCTAAAACTGCATCAGAAGCTCTTGTCGATCTGAGCCTACCTTCCCATCCATTCAAATCGTTGACGTGCCGCATTTCCTGACTGCAGTCATGTTGATGGACAGGGTAGGTATAGGCCTCGCTGCTTATACTAGCTTACTTCGTTGCATTGTGCAGATTTCATATTTTGCGCATGCGTATTGCCTTTAAGGCTTAAACAAGCTGTGTGGGAAAAGCACTGCTTATTTGGGCGTGTCTACATAATTTGGCGCTCATCTCGTAAACTGAGTAAGGAAGCTAGATAGCGAGTAAAAACAACCTGACAAAATGGATACTATACAGCTGGCTTCCTGACCTTCAACAGAGGAACGGACAGAAAATCATCAGATCGTTTTAAACAGGAGTGGTATGAACAAAAACACTGGCTGTGTGGCTGCGCTTACTGTTTCCCTTGCCTGCTCTTCTCATAATTTCATATTCTGACTATCTCTGAAACTCACTTCGATAATACCTTTGATGATACAGTGGTAGCAATACATGGTTATAACATCTACAGAAAAGACAGAAATGCCAATGGTGGAAGTGTTGCTGTTTATATTCAGAACCACATTCCTGTAAAGCTTAGAGAGGATCTCATGTTAAATACTGTTATATGGCTACAGTTTTATCTGCCTCACCTAAAGCCCATTCTTGTGGGAAGCTCCTATAGACCACCAAGTGCTAACAGTCAGTATCTGGATAACATGTGTGAAATGCTTGATAATGCATGTGATATCAACAGAGACATATATTTTCTGGGTGATTTAAATATTGACTGGCTTTCATCAAGCTGCCCACTCAAGAAAAAGCTTCAAACTGTAACCAGTGCCTGCAACCTGGTTCAGGTTATCAGTCAACCTACTAGGGTAGTTACAAACAGCACAGGAACGAAATCATCAACATATATTGATCACATCTTTACTAATGCTTAGGAAATTAGCTTGAAAGCAGTATCCAGATCCATTGGATGTAGTGATCACAAAATAGTAGTCATATCTAGGAAAACCAAAGTTCCAAAGGCTGGGCCTAATATAGTGTATAAGAGGTCATACAATACGTTTTGTAGTTATTCCTATGTTGTTGATGTAAATAATATTTGTTGGTCTGTGGTGTGTAATGAGGAGCAACCAGACGCTGCACTTGACACATTTATGAAATTGCTTATTCCAGTTACTAATAAGCATGCACCCATTAAGAAAATGTTAAATCCCCGTGGATTGATGAGGAATTGAAACATTTTATGGTTGAGAGGGATGAGGCAAAAGGAATGGCAAATAAGTCTGGCTGCACAACCGATTGACAAACGTACTGCAAATTGAGAAATCATGTGACTAAACTATACTATGAAACAAAGATAAATGATATAAAGAATGATAGTAAAAAGCTCTAGAGCACCTTATATGAAATTCTGGGTAAAAAGGCAAACTCAGCTCCATCATTCACAAAACCCACTGATGTTGCCAATTACTTTAATTATTTTTTAATTGGCAAGATTAGCCAACTTAGGCATGACATGCCAGTAACAAACGCTGACACTACACACCCAAGTATAACTGATCAAATTATGAAAGACAAGCATTGTAATTTTGAATTCCATTGTCTATCAACAATGACAAGCCACCGGGGTTTGACAACTTAGGTGGAAAATTACTGAGGATAATAACGAACGATATTGCCACTCCTATTTGCCATATCTTTCCATTTAAGCCTACTAGAAAGTGTGTGCCCTCAGGCCTGGACGGAAGCAAAAGTAATTCCACTACCTAAAAATACTGGCTCAAATAGCTGACCAATCAGCCTGTTACCAACCCTTAGTAAACTTTTGGGAAAAATTGTATTTGACCAGATACAATGCTATTTTACAGTAAACAAATTGACAACATTCTTTCAGCATGCTTATAGGGAAGGACAATCAACAAGCACATCACTTACATAAATTACTGATGATTGACTGAGAGAAATTGATAATAAAAAGATTGTGGGGGCTGTTTTGTTAGACTTCAGTGCGGCTTTTGACATTATCGTTCATAGTCTGCTGCTGGAAAAACGTATGTGTTATGGCTTTACACCCCCTGCTATATTGTGGATAAAGAGTTACCTGTCTAAAAGAACACAGATGGTGTTCTTTAATGAAGCCTCTCCAACATAATCTAGGTAGAATCAGGAATTCCCCAGGGCAGCTGTCTAGGCCCCTTACTTACTTTTTTCAAACTTTACTAACGACATGCCACTGGCTTTGAGTAAAGCCAGTGTGTCTATGTATGCGGATGACTCAACACTTAACACGTCAGCTACTACAGCAACTGAAATGACTGCAACACTTAACAAAGAGCTGCAGTTCGTTTCAGAATGGGTTGGCAAGGAATAAGTTAGTCCTAAATATTTCAAAAACTAAAAGCATTGTATTTGGGACAAATCATTCACTAAACCCTAAACCTCAACTAAATCTTGTAATGAATAATGTGGAAATTGAGTAGTTGAGGTGACTAAACTGCTTGGAGTAACCCTGGATTGTAAACTGTCATGGTCAAAGCATGTTGATACAACAGTAGCTAAGATGGGGAGAAGTCTGTCTATAATAAAGCGCTGCTCTGCCTTCTTAACAACACTTTCAACAATGCAGTTCCTACTGGCCCTAGTTTTGTCGCACCTGGACTACTGTTCAGTCGTGTTATCACAAAGAGGGACTTAGGAAAATCCCAATTGGCTCAGAACAGGGCAGCATTAATGATATGCATGTCAATCTCTCATGGCTCAAAGTGGAGGAGAGATTGACTTCATCACTACTTGTTTTTGTAAGAAGTGTTGACAAGCTGAATGCACCGAGCTGTCTGTTTTAAACTACTAGCACACAGCTCAGACACCAATGCATACCCCACAAGACATGCCACCAGAGGTCTCTTCACAATCCCAAAGTCCAGAACAGATTATGGGAGGCGCACAGTACTACATAGAGCCATGACTACATGGAACTCTATTCCACATCAGGTAACTGCTGCAAGCAGTAGAATCAGATTTAAAAAACATAAAAATACACCTTATTGAACAGCGTCGACTGTGAAGAGACACACACACAGATACAGACACACGCATACACACACGGGCGCTAGCACACACACTCTACACACGTACATTGTGGTATTGTTGTATGGTGGTATCGTGCATTTTGTGTTGTGGATATGTAGTGGTGTAGCGATGTTATATGATGTACTGTTTTATATTTTGTTTTATGTGTAATGTAAGTGTCTCGATGTGTTTTGACCCCAGGAAGAGTAACTGCTGCCTTGGCAGCAGCTAATGGGGATCCCTAATAAAACACAAATACAAATACAAACTGGGGACAACAGAAGGCTGCTACTGTCACATCAACAACCTGATGCCCTCATCAAACACGAAAAATCGGCTTCCCACATCCCAACACCAGATCACCCTAACAACTTTGGGGAACACACGGCTCGATCTGGCATTAAATGGCAAGAACAACAAGTGACCATGCACAATGCTAACCCACTGGGCACACATTGGTTGAATCAACGTTGTTTCCACATCATTACAAGGAAATTACGTTGAACCAATGTAGAATAGACGTTGAATTGACGTCTGTGCCCAGTGGGTAGGTAGCCTAAAGGAAAACCGTGAGATTTTGAAGAAGGACCTTATTATAGCAACATGCTTAGGGAAACAAGAGTTAGCATTTCGGGGTAATGATGAACCCAGACACTTGAAGACTTCCACTGTGTTTTTGGGTAGGCCTACATCAAACAGAATACAGAATGATTTGATTTAAACAGTCAGCGATGTAAGGACAGAGGAATGGACTTTATTTAAAAGTAAAGGTAGGCCTAAATGCATTTTCGTTTGCAATTTGCAGGTTAGGCTACTGTTGAATGAACATGAGAATAATTGTTTATTAGCCTTTACAAACTTGTAAAATGTAATCAGTGTGTGTGAAACTAACTGTGCCCACAAACCGTCGACTTGCCTGTCCACAAACGGTAAGAATTATAGCTGGCTAGACAGAGGTGCTGTCCATTGAGCACCACAGAGTTAACCTGCCCGAGGCACTGTCCATTCAGCAGTGCTAAATCCTGGTCACGGCCTCAGCTACCTTTATAAAATACTTTCTTCTGAAGCTCATTTTCGTCATTGTTCCAGCCCATTCTCTTATGGAATACTCAAGGAAAAAATCCTGAAGTATCCCTTTAAGTTTAAACCTATCCCTAACCTTAACCCTAACCATTCTGAGTTAATGCCTAAACTTAAGTTTTAGTTTCACTTTTGCAGAGTTTGACTGACAGCTAAAATACGGCACTACATGGCATAATTAAAACGTAACGCAGTGTCTTAATTCTGTTACTGCAGTTACACCACAGCCTGAGGTTTCATTTGGAGATTGGCTTGCATTGTTCGGTCGAGTGGAGTAATGTGTCACTGGAACCTGCAGCAATTGTAATTACAGCTTCAGCTGGCCTTGATGATTACAAATCAAACTTGTCTTTCTTCAAGAAAACGTGCTGTTAATTTCACAAGGCCGCCATCATGTCCCCAGATTAAGAAACATCACCACAATGATATCTGACCGTAATCCACATAGATTTTAGTCCGAAAATCTATACTCCTTTTTCCTTTTCCTCCACCTATCTCATGTGGGAATGTTGGTTCATTCTATATTCCCCTATCACAGGTCTTTTATCCAAATGGCCTGGGGATAGATATGTCTAGCAGGCTGCAGCAGGCAGGTCTGCAGAGCTCTAGGTCACCTAGATGTCACACCAATGGCACACACACACATACACACACACACAGGGCTTGAGACTTTTTCCTTCACTGTAGGGTGATGAATAGAGAGAAAAATAACTTTTTCACATCACACAACACTCCCCCTGAAACGTTGAGATAAGTAAAACTGACATATTTACCACTGGTCCGCGGGACAATAATCACAGACGTCTAGCGGCAAGAAAAACACATTTGATAGTGAAAAGTGTTAAAAGAAGAAAAACTTGTGAATGGATCTGGGCTATCTGGGGTTGTGAATCCACCTGGTGAGATTATAAATTGATGTTGCAGAGGACAGAGCAATGGGAAGGACACACAACGAACCAACACAGCATTTGCCAGGTGACAAAAATACATCAAAAATACTAGGAGGATGAAGGATGACATCTATTGTTACCGGGGAAAGGCAGAGCCAGCCTTTTCCCATTTAGAAAATGTATATCAATCAATATAATCTCACCCCCGCAGATTACCATCACTATGCCAAGGTTACTTTCTAATTAAATGACATTCTAGGAAAAAAATACATTGACATACATAAAAATACATATATTCTCAAATCAGTCGTTTGCTTTGCATGTCACGCTCCCACAAGTGTGCTGAGGTCACACGGTACATTTCAATCACTCTGCCGCCGTGCCATGTTGACTGGCAGCCCTCCCCCCACGGCACGGCCCAACCTCAGCCTCTCCATCCCATCCTCCCACCATTAAATAAATTGTGTTGTAATAATCTCCTGTGATGTGATGTGTGCTCCTAATATTGGTGGATGGACACGGCAGCAGCCTCTTTTGATTACCCCACTCTCAGGCTCAGCCAGATCCAGAGCTCTCGCTAATCCTGTGCTTTACCTTCACTAAATTAAAAAAGGGTGCAATGACTCCTCCGGCCGCACCCATTTCCCCACTATGGCACCCCTACTACATAGGCTATTAGCACTGTACTGTAGTGTGCCGTGCAGAGGAGAGGAGAGACATGCTCCATGAGGGCTGGCTGGGGGCCGGACCTGGGGGAGACACTCACTCCCAACACCCACCAATAGAGCTGGAGCAGTCAGTCAGAGCCTATGGCTGCATGTGGCCACCATGCAGGGTGGAGAGACTGCATTATTTCCTCCCAGATCATTTTCTATAAATCACCCAATGACAAACTAGAGGTCCCGCAAGACCCAAACAAATCAATATGAAAACGCACCCTCAAATCAACTGCAATCAACCTGACTGAAAGTAGACAACACTGTCATCTGATCCCACCCCCTCCCTTTCTACCTGAGCTACGAGCAAGTCAAGAGAGAGCGAGAGAGAGAGAGCGAGTGAGAGAGAGATAAAGTGTGTGTGTGTGTGTGTGTCTACTAGAGCATTGCAGCCATGTATTACACCTGTATAATTTGTCATTCAAATTCCAATTTTCCCGAGAGGGTTTAGTACCCTGTCACTATAGTGTATTGAAACAGTCTGCTGTACATTGATATAGCCTATAGTTTTCCCAACCTATGAAACATTCAATGATTGAACTGCCAAAGCTGTATTTCTGTATGACAAGCTGTTGGTTGTGCTTCCAACAGACACATTTACAAAGCACTGTCGCAAGATCAATATGACCAGCCACCATACAAACACAATTATGCTTACATTCAATGTGCAATCTTCATTTACGTACTGAAATAGAAATGGTGGAGTCATTTATAAGACCTCATTTTGACCTGGGATACCATTATTGTTATGATGAACCAAAAGGGGATACAAACTGAAGCCTTTATACACACAGAAGACTTGTCCAGACTGGAAAACAAGGGACATTTCGTATATTTCCTTTCCTTTTGAGCTGCTGAAACATTTCCATTATCAGAGCAACAGTTTTGATTCAGCAGCAAGCATCCCCCTTTAGTTTGATAATGACAAGCACAACTCTTATCCCATTTTTACAGGCTGATTGCTACAGTACATTTCCAAACAGAGATGTATTTTAGAAACAGGATAATAACCCTGTCATGGGGAGTTGAAGCAAGCTGAACTAATGAGTGTTACAATATGCATTCAGAAGGAAGTATTTCTGCTAATGCACATTTGGATATAATGGTGTTTCTTGGCCCTTGAAATGCATTCAACCCTACAGTAATGTGCATTTTCTCTTCTAAATCTGCTCTACTTCACTTTTCTTTAATGTATTCCTCTGGAAAGGTAACAGGAGGAGAAGGAACTAGAAGATTTCTTTTTAGAGGCCTTATTTACTGCCAAGTGAAATCTCTTTGGGGAGATGGCGATGGTTATGCAGGATGAATCAAAAAGCCTGGTGAGAAGTGGGGTTTGAAGGTTTGAACAGGGAATCTCCTGGCAGAGGTTGAGGCGGAGGGAGGGAGTCGACTGATTGACAGACACAGCAGGGAAGGTTAACCTCCTCTCCTGATTGGGTTGACAGCACTGTTTTATGCTTAATAGAGTCTTTAAAACCAAAAGAAGCTTTCATGTTAAAAGTCTTGTCTTTTTCCAACTCCGTGGGGATACGGCAGTATTAAATAGTATACTACTACTGATGATGCATAATTCAGGGTGCTGCTGAATTACATTTTACATTTACATTTTAGTCATTTAGCAGATGCTCTTATCCAGAGCGACTTACAGTTAGTGAGTGCATACATTTTCATACTGGCCCCCCGTGGGAAACGAACCCACAACCCTTACAAGGTTATTAATGACGCATCATCTGTCATTAACCTTGCCAAATCTCTCACTGATTCCCCCCTACAAATCACCAATCAATCACCTCTGCTCTGCTGCAGGCTGGTTGGCTGGCTGGCTACATCACTTCCCCACAGGAAGGAAGAAGACGCATGTTCAGCAATGAGCAGAAATTAGGCTGTACAGCTTTGGCTCTGGAAATGAGCCTTTAGATTGGATTACGATGCCATTTTTAAGCTGTCTTTTCCCCTCAGAAGATGTGCTGTGCTCCTCCCCTCCCTCTCAACGTTATACAATAGTTGACAAGGAAAAATATTGCTGAATTCCAGTAGTCATGACAGTGTGTGACTCCCAGTGACACTTTAATTTCTGCTTATTATGACAATATTAAATAGCAAAGGCAGGGAAATAGAAACTCAATCACAGAGTTCCAACCATGCCCATAATTTGTTTTTACAAGATCCTCCTTCATCTCCTTCTATACTTTAATTTCAGCCATGTGCTATTTCTGTCTCTGATTCTAGTCAATATGCCTGCCAGTGGCACTATTTTCTGTTTATTCTATGGCAACAACACAGAAACAGTTTCCTCATGATCATAATCCCCCTAATTTTAAAGCTGAAATATGTTACTTTTTGGGCGACCCGACCAAATTCACATAGAAATGTGAGTTATAGATCTGTCATTCTCATTGAAAGCAAGTCTAAGAAGCGGTAGATCTGTTCTATTTGCGCCATTTTCTATGCTTCCAGTTCTTAGGTTTCGTTTTTGCGTGTTTTACTTTCGGTTTTGTACACCAGCTTTAAACAGCTGAAAATACAATATTTTTGGTTATGGAAAATATATTTCACAGCAGCTTAGATGGTACAATGATTCTCTACACAATGACTGCTTGTTTTGTCACATTAACTGAAATTAGGCTAACTATTAGAATTTTAGCAACCAGGAAATGGCAGAGCGATTTCTGCATATTGCACCTTTAACGTCACATTTCCAAGTAGGTTTGAAAGGTTCTACAAATAAAAAGACTACCTTTACTCTCATCTGACCAAAAGCCTGGCTGAATAGTATAAAGATTTGAATATGAATGTAAACAAAATCTCAACAGAGACACATCTACTGTTAACTGCATGGGATGAGGGGTGGGCCCTCTCTACGTCAGCTCCTCCCCATGGTCTGACATATCCTTACTTGGCTTCTCCTCAAGTAATCAACCTGCTCCCATTCCTTAATAATGACAACTAGAAGAAACAGGAAACGTCTTACACAACCTACTGTGCAAACAAGAATGAATCCCATCTCTCACACAAGTCTGTCTGTGACAATACAACCTGTTAGTGGAGGGAACAAGGTTATAGGCTACAGCTAAGGATGCTTAGTGGGATGACACAATGCAAAAAAGTAGTTCGTTTGCTCATCTCATGTACATTTAGACAGCTGCACTCATTAGCTAGTATCAAAAACCCGACCCTAGGCAACACAGTGACTATGGTCTGGTTTCAATTATGGACTCTTTTGGCATAGTGAACTACGTCACTGCCTACGTCGATAAGGGAAGAGAAAAAAATGGTCACTCCCAACAAATCACGAGGCAGACAAGCCAGAACGTCGCGATTCATAACCAAAGTTTGCAGTCAAAACCTTAACTAAAACCAATGCAAACTAGCCACTTTATTTTTTATTTTTTTCACTTGGGATATGCACTCATTCAAAATAGCCTCTGTGATCTCCATCTTGCTAGCAACTATTTTGTAGTTTATTTAAGCTGATAAAGTAGTGACGTAGGCAGTGACAGTTCCTCTATGCCAAAAGAGTCCATCATTGAAACCAGACCCTAGTCACTATTGCCTAGGGTCGGGTTTTCAAGACTACTCATTAGTAGAGTATTGTACTTCAATGGGGACACTTAAGCATGCTGAAGCACAGAATGTTCAGTGTGACCTATGTTAATGGTAAAGGCATCAACTGGATGACTAAATTATAATGATAGCAGACCATTTAACAATGAGTCAGGACTGAAAGAGATTTTTAATTGCACAAGTGAGAGGAACGTCCCATATAATCACAGTGAACTGATTTTATAGCGTGTAAACTGCTGTCAGCAAGCCGAAATGTTTCAAATACAATTATGCCGATATACAGTAATACCCTCCCACACACACTGAGCGAGGCAAGTGATTGACCTGATTGTCATGCCACTTGGCAGGCATGGCCACTGGACATTAGGATGTGTTGGATGCCAGGGGGAGTCAGAGGTTGTAGCTACCGAGGGAGGGGGATATACTAGAACCGTCAGACTCCTGTACATACAGTAACTCTCGTCTCACTTCTTTATAAGGGGAAAGAGGGGAGTTGGGGGTGTAAGTAATTATAGCAAGAGTGGGAGGCAATTGCAGGTGTGGGAGACAGAGGAGTGACTTTGGTGTAGGAGGTGCTAACTGTAGTGGTACAGGTGGGAGGGGTGACATTGGGAAAGGAGATGATGGTCCTTGTGGTGGGAGAGAGGGGTAACAGTCAGATAATTGATTGCAGCATCTGTGATCTATCCCTCACTGAATACCAATACTCCACACTGAGAAACAAATCATCCAATAACCTTGGTATGAAATGCGTAAACATAATCAGAATCCTGACAATAAGACAAAAGGAATCCAGTGTTCCAGTTACTGAATACAGTGTACTATGAAGGTTACTCAACACTGTTGGAATATATTCCTGGATGAAACAAAACAAAAATGATGGTACAACAAATCGTATGATTCAACTCCCAACTTACTCAGATATGCATGTATACTACTATATACTGTCACTGTCACTTGCACAATGCACACACCCACCCACCCACCCACACACACCCCACACACCCACATACACTTCTTGCAAAGGCAAAGCAAATGGCCTCTCATTTCTTTTCTTGGCAGCCTGAGCTAAGTAATCCAGGCATCTGAGAAATGTGCACCATCCTGTGATGTAAAGGCAACAGAATGTCTGTGTAGATTCACAAGACCAATGGGTAAACAAGCAGATAAATCAGTCTGTTTTCCATGGAGAGTGCCTTCCTTTCCCTGAGCCCTTCTCTCTCTCTCCACAGCCCTGGGCTGTGTCTGCCTGCCTGACACTGCTGCCTGCTCCCTCTCTCCCCCTCTGGCCGCCAGCATAGCCTGCCTGTACACACTCGTCACACACACTTGTCTCTCACAAGCGAGACAAACCTGGTCTTGTTCTTGAAGCACTACTGTTATGACACACCTTCTGCTTGTGTGACAGGTGATGGGGTTGGATGTGGTATTACTGTATATCATTATATCAGTGTACAGTAGATGAACCAAAGATAAACAGGCTGGATCAGATCCAATGTCAAGGAAAGGGAAAGATCTGTCGGGCAATTAGGCTTCTGCTATTGTCTTTCACAATATATATTTTTGCATTTAGCGTTAGCGTTTCGTCTGGTAACAATAAAGGCATTAGCCAACATGTAAATAGTTGGAGGCTTTTATTTTAACTATATGATTAGAGATTGTGTATGTCCAGTTGATCATTTAATGCCACCTCAAAACAATAAGGTAAGCATGAGGCCAGATGTCAACTAATTGACTAACTGTTTAAAAGGTTTTCATTAGCCATTTCAATGTCCTTGAAACCCTGATACAGACCTCCAATATGGCAGCCAGAGACAAACTGTATCAATGACCTAAATATTTTTGAACGTATCAGAATACTGGAAAGCATGATGATTGGGTAAATTAAGATCACCTCTCAAAAATTTTTTATGTATTTGAGATCATTTGGTTAAGCATTCATGTATATTACTATAATTTGTCTAATGGGATCAGATAAAATTGTGTTAAATGGTCTTATAGTTTGATATAATATAGTATGATATAATATTGTACAATATATTTACTATTTAAATTATGCATAAACAAATATTCCAATTGCAATATCAAACTTTGTATCTGGTTGCTGCAATACTGTAATCCACTTTCGGAGTAAAAACATTATTCCTTAATAAAATATTCACTCCTAATCTATCCTATATTATATGTATGAGATGAATGATTACAATCCACTATATAAATTAAGCCTGTGTAAGAGGTTGTTATTAACTTAATTACATTATTGGGATTATAAAGATCACTGCTTATTTTGAAAATGAGTGAAGATGCTTTATAAATGCAGACTACATTCATATTGGTTTATACTGTATATCATACTTTCTGTAGCTATGTTTCACCATAATGTTTCACTCGTTCTCTGGATATACATTAGAATTCACTGTATGTTTTTGGACATATGGCAGGTAGGCCCTTGAGGTATAGCATCAATAATGGACAATATCCATAATGCTGGGCAATCCTGTGCTTTACATTTGAAGCCATGCATCAGATGCATGCACTGTACTGTATAGCCAATGTCACAGTCAAGGGCAATACTTAATGAATAACAAGAGAATGAGGCTGCACTTCCATTTAGACCTCTTATATGAAAACTTGAAGAATGGTACTGGTAATTTATAGGTAGAACTGGTTATTATAATGTTGAACACATGAAACCTGAAACCTTAAATACAAGTAGTGTGTGTGTGTATGGGGGGGGGGGGGGGGGGGGGGTCTAATTATTCAATCATTGGCACATACCCTCACATAAAGCCAATAGAGTTGCTGTACATTGATTAGTGATAAATAATTTCCCTGAGTATGATTTAATGAAAAAGAGAGAACATGGAACATTGGTGCACTTCTGTTGATTCTGTTTTAAACGGTGATTTATCCCGTAGGCCTGCAACTGAACAGACACCTTTGAGAACCATATTTGTGTGTGATGTGTGGCCTGTTCCTGCCACACATTATTCTGACGCCATGATTTGTATATAGTAGCCTACATTACATTTATTTGACTTTATCGTTGTATTTCCAATGTTTAATAAGTTATAGTTATACTATATCTGATGTCTAATAAATACATTTTAAATGACGAGTTAAATTATTTTAGATTCGTTTTCAATTCATAAAAAAATTGTTACACACATTTACACACAGAATTAGGCCTGAACCAAATGTATTCTTTTATATCCGAGATGACTGCATTTTCTGATGCCATCACTAAATACCCTATCACTAATGCATGTGCCATTGAGCCTGATTTTGAGATAGTGAAAGTATCAGGTGACAATAAAGTACACATTTCATTTGACTTGTAGGCTAGGTGAGTGTGTATGAACACATCCTTCCTACACTTCATCGGCGCATGACGCTCTGACGTCTGGCCAGAGCCCAATGGAGTTAGTTACCTGAAATCACTGTAAGGGTGAATTATCCAAAATCCGGCGGATTTAACCCGCTCTTGTTCCCGTTCCACCGCCTTTTCGCTCCCAAACATCCTTAGGGAGAACTTGTTGACCCCCGGTTGCAGCATTGCCCCAAACTGCCTGTGTATGAATCCTGCCTGGTACAATCTCTCGTCGTCCGGCGAAATTTGATCAATGCCATCCAACTTTATGAACCCTGATTCCTGGTCAAGAGAAGCATGTTGGGCACCACCAGCACCACCACCGCTGGCGCCTTGCGCACCCTGGTCAGCCCCGCCGCCAATAGCTCCAGGGGGGCTCTCCTCGCTCGGGGTGACGTCCCCCTCGGTGATGAGGCGCCTCTCCTCCGCCGAGTCTGAGTCGTGCACATGCCGACTGGTGATGGAGGAGAGACTGCCACGAAATCTCCGACAATCTCCATTTATGCTGGTCTTCAATGGTCTTCCAATGTCCGTCTCCATGATCACCGTGTCCCCACTTCTGGTCTCCCCGATGCCTTTGAAGCTTCCTCTGGAGGTTGGTGATGGCAAGGGTTTCATCCTAATACTCTTCCTCCGGGTGTCCTTGTCGCCGTCTTCTCCTTCGCCCATGATAGAAGCTTTCTGTCCAATATGCTGTGGCAAACTGTAGAGCCTTTTACGCATGGAGGAGTGCAACCTGTCCATTATGACATTGAGACGGAACGAACAATTTAAAATGCAATAGATGTCAAGAATAGGATGGTTATTGTTAAGAAGTATTGCCACGAACCCCACAGCTCCCTATCTGTGAGTGAGAGCGACCAGTCTGGAGCTAATCTCAAACCCTGAAAGCATTACACTGATGCACATGACACGGGCTGCTGTGGCTCTGTTGGTGCAAATACAGGAAGAGGCTCCTCTCTCGATCATTACCTGACTGTTTACATATGCCTTCTCGCGCTGCTTTGACAGTCCGCTTCACCATAACACTCCTGGTAGGCACGTACGATCCAACCGTGTGCGTACCAAGTGGGGGGAAAAATCTGGAAGAAGCCACCTTAGCATGATATGTAAGTTACGTGCCGACAGACAGAGAGGAGATGAGGAGGTCATGAACAGCGCGGGGAGGGATGCTCTTTTCCCCCAGATTCGTGTCAACTGCCTCTCAATAATAAACAATGCAATGTAATCACGCACCATAGGCTGCATCAGCAGCAGCATCCAAGGACCCATTGACATCTATTGTCCCAAGCATTCTGGTAGTGTGAATATTCATGAAGCTGATGGGTTGCCATAGGAGCCAACGTGGTCTCCGAGCATTTTGTATTATACCTAAATCCGAGATATTACATTTAGTATGATATGTTACCTTTCGCATGGTATGTATTAATTTGTGGATGTCCATCATCCATTTTGTATGATATGTTACAAATTGCTATATGTTACAACTTGCAATTCCTATAATATGTTACGATTTTGCAAAAGGTATGATATGTTATGAATTCCAATTTGTGGTGGCTAATGTTAGCTAGGTGGCTAACGCTAGCTAGCGTTAGGGGTTATGGGTTAAGGTTAGGGTTAAGGTTAGGAGATAAATTCAAGTTAGGGTTAGGGGAAGGGTTAGCTAAAAGGGTTAAGGGTTAGGGGAAGGATTAGCTACAGTGCTTGACTTGGGCAGGAGCTCACCGGAGCTGAGTACCGGCAACTTAAATGTTCTACTGCTTGAGCTCATGTTCATCTTATAGAATATTAGCTCAAAAGTATTGTGGAGCTCTTGCACCTAAATATAAACAGTACCGGCACCCAAATTGAGTATCGGCACCTATTTCAGGCCAAGTCAAGCACTGGTTAGCTAACATGCTAAGTAGTTGCAAAGTAGCTAAAAATTAGTAAGTAGTTGCAAAGTTGGTAATTAGCTAAAATGCTAAAGTTGTCCTTGATGAGATTCGAACACTCCGTTCGTAAATACATCCACCTCGACCAACCACCCTCTTTTCGTTTTTGCCTTAAGTAACCTATGTAACCATACCAAACGTAACATACCATACTAATTTGATGGTCCCGGATTTACATTTACTATGTTATGTCTAGTCTATGAGACCAGTCAGTAGGAGCGAGAACTGCAAATAAGCAAAGCTCTCCACAATTCTTAAATAGCTATCATGTCCTTTTAAGTTATATCCCCTCGGGATTGTTTTATGCCAGCCCAGGCTATGCGTGTCCAAAGGTGATATTTAGGCTACTATGCCATTCCTCATGCTTTTGTTCATCAGGTTGTAGGATATACAGACAGCAGCTGTGGTAGAATGATCATCTGGTAAGGGAAACTGCACACTAATTTAATGTCATACTGGTGATTTATCAAGATAACTTTTACAGACCAAATATGTCCACGTTTCTTCAAAATGTATATGAAATAAACGTGGTTAAAGGGTTAAAGAAATGTATTTTTTGTCAATTTTTCTCAACTTTAACAATGCCTACATAATGCAAATTAACTATGCAAATAAAATCAATAAAATGCATGTTCAAAAAGGATATACAGTGGGGGGAAAAAAGTATTTAGTCAGCCACCAATTGTGCAAGTTCTCCCACTTAAAAAAAACTATGACAGACAAATTGAGATTTTTTTTCTCCAGAAAATCACATTGTAGGATTTTTAATGAATTTATTTGCAAATTATGGTGGAAAATAAGTATTTGGTGACTTACAAACAAGCAAGATTTCTGGCTTTCACAGACCTGTAATTTCTTCTTTAAGAGGCTCCTCTGTCCTCCACTCGTTACCTGTATTAATGGCACCTGTTTGAACTTGTTATCAGTATAAAAGACACCTGTCCACAACCTCAAACAGTCACACTCCAAACTCCACTATGGCCAAGACCAAAGAGCTGTCAAAGGACACCAGAAACAAAATTGTAGACCTGCACCAGGCTGGGAAGACTGAATCTGCAATAGGTAAGCAGCTTGGTTTGAAGAAATCAACTGTAGGAGCAATTATTAGGAAATGGAAGACATACAAGACCACTGATAATCTCCCTCGATCTGGGGCTCCACGCAAGATCTCACCCCGTGGGGTCAAAATGATCACAAGAACGGTGAGCAAAAATCCCAGAACCACACGGGGGGACCTAGTGAATGACCTGCAGAGAGCTGGGACCAAAGTAACAAAGCCTACCATCAGTAACACACTACGCCGCCAGGGACTCAAATCCTGCAGTGCCAGACGTGCCCCCCTGCTTAAGCCAGTACATGTCCAGGCCCGTCTGAAGTTTGCTAGAGTGCATTTGGATGATCCAGAAGAGGATTGGGAGAATGTCATATGGTCAGATGAAACCAAAATAGAACTTTTTGGTAAAAACTCAACTCGTCGTGTTTGGAGGACAAAGAATGCTGAGTTGCATCCAAAGAACACCATACCTACTGTGAAGCATGGGGGTGGAAACATCATGCTTTGGGGCTGTTTTTCTGCAAAGGGACCAGGACGACTGATCCGTGTAAAGGAAAGAATGAATGGGGCCATGTATCGTGAGATTTTGAGTGAAAACCTCCTTCCATCAGCAAGGGCATTGAAGATGAAACATGGCTGGGTCTTTCAGCATGACAATGATCCCAAACACACCGCCCGGGCAACGAAGGAGTGGCTTCGTAAGAAGCATTTCAAGGTCCTGGAGTGGCCTAGCCAGTCTCCAGATCTCAACCCCATAGAAAATCTTTGGAGGGAGTTGAAAGTCCGTGTTGCCCAGCGACAGCCCCAAAACATCACTGCTCTAGAGGAGATCTGCATGGAGGAATGGGCCAAAATACCAGCAACAGTGTGTGAAAACCTTGTGAAGACTTACAGAAAACGTTTGACCTGTGTCATTGCCAACAAAGGGCAATGATGAACTTTTTGGTAAAAACTCAACTCGTCGTGTTTGGAGGACAAAGAATGCTGAGTTGCATCCAAAGAACACCATACCTACTGTGAAGCATGGGGGTGGAAACATCATGCTTTGGGGCTGTTTTTCTGCAAAGGGACCAGGACGACTGATCCGTGTAAAGGAAAGAATGAATGGGGCCATGTATCGTGAGATTTTGAGTGAAAACCTCCTTCCATCAGCAAGGGCATTGAAGATGAAACGTGGCTGGGTCTTTCAGCATGACAATGATCCCAAACACACCGCCCGGGCAACGAAGGAGTGGCTTCGTAAGAAGCATTTCAAGGTCCTGGAGTGGCCTAGCTAGTCTCCAGATCTCAACCCCATAGAAAATCTTTGGAGGGAGTTGAAAGTCCGTGTTGCCCAGCGACAGCCCCAAAACATCACTGCTCTAGAGGAGATCTGCATGGAGGAATGGGCCAAAATACCAGCAACAGTGTGTGAAAACCTTGTGAAGACTACAGAAACCGTTTGAACTGTGTCATTGCCAAACAAAGGCATATAAAGTATTGAAAACTATGTTATTGACCAATACTATTTCCACCTATAATTTGGCAAATATAAATGCATTAAAATCCTACATGTGATTTTCTGGAAAATTTTTTCTCAAGTTGGTCCTGTCATAGTGAGTTTGTACATATGATGAAAATTACAGGCCTCTCTCATCTTTTAAGTGGGAGAACTTGCACAATTGGTGGCTGACTAATACTTTTTTCCCCACTGCGAAGAAACTGTGTATACCATACAATAATTCATATACTATTTGATCTTGGATTTACATTACTATGTCTGTCTAGGAACGTCCGTGAGCAAAAACTGCCACTATCCTGATTGGCAATGAGTGGCAATAATGGTTCACGCCTGAGCCCCTCAATTTGGCCCTTCATGCCCGGTCCCATACCCAATTTAATTCTGTAATTCTTGTGACTAACTTGGTATACAGGTAGACAGGAAAAGCCAACATCTCCCTGACTTGGACAGATGAGTGGCAACCCTGAGTTTAGAAGCACCTGCTGCTAACTCAGTTGTTCCCTATAAATGCTGTTTTGAATTTAAATAAAATTGTACCTACGCACTGAAGAAGGCAGTAAAAATAACAAAAAAATCTAAAAATGAAGTAAGCTTTATGCGACATCTTTTTGAGTGTGGACCTATTATACCTTTTATTATAGCTTTTGCCTATAGCCTAATGACATAGCCTAATGATGCAATGCAGGAAATGTAAAACTTGTAGTGTATTTGAGGTTTAAATAGGCTTATGAAGTTTGAAATGTCCACTTTGAAATTTCAGACTTGATTTTCCCTTATGAAAAATGTATTAACCCCTACAAAAAATGTCATTTAATTATAATCTACATAATAATTCACATTTCCTGTTGCTGCAGGATTATTTTCCTGATGTTGCAAACATGGCTTAAATCAAGATCCTACATCTGTACACTACACTGACCACAGTCACATGCACACCAATATCCCATTATTATTAGGGATACTCAAGTATTCCGTTTTTTAGTTGACACATAAACATCATATTCCGTTTACAATAACCCGAAAAAGCTTGTATCTCGGTTATGAGAAACCCGGATAAGATGCCTGGGATATGCAGATCTTAGACGGGATACTGAGGCATGTAAACATCGTATCACCTTTACTGTTGTTTTTCACAGTCTGCGCAGGCTAGGTTTCGGATAACATGGGTGGCGATGTTAACATCTGATTATCAAACAAATCACTTCAAATAATAATTATTTATTTTGCAGATAATCTGTACTGGACCGTATAGCCTGGCTACTTTCACCCCTAATTTTAATTGTTTCTGCTTATAATTTCTGCCAATTGGTAGTCCATATTATAATTTCAGACATTTTGTTGGACATTTGGTAGGCCATTTGTATGTCAACTATAGTTAAGATACATGCAGCTTCTCTTCTTTCATAACTTGTTGCCCCAGAAGACTAAATAAAGTAGTGCTCACCAGAATAATGTCTTACATTGATAGAATGAATGCATTAGTAATCTAGGTAACAATAGTAAAGTTGTCTGTTTTGTTTAGGGACCGGGAAGAAAACGCAATTACTCCAAAACAGTTGAAAGATTGGTCCTGTGCAAAGTGTCCAAATGTCATCAGTTTGACCAGTTTTAAGGAAATGAAAAGCTGAGAAAACGATTAAACAAGACTTCAGTTGGTCTTGGGTGCATATTTTAAGTGGCTCAAAATCAGTGGAGGCTCCTCAGAGGAGGAAGGGGAGGACCATCCTCCTCACTGAATTTCATAAAAATAAAAATAGTGAAACATTAAAAAAGTTACCCTTTTTAGATAAAACTAGGCCTATACTAAATATATTCACTTCACCAAATAATTGATTAAAACACACTGTTTTGCAATGAAGGTCTACAGTAGCCCCAACAGCACTCTGTAGGGTAGCACCATGGTGTAGCCGGGGGACAGCTAGCTTCTGTCCTCTTCTGGGTACATTGAATTCAATATAAAACCCAGGAGGCTCATGGCTCTCACCCACTTCCATAGACTTACACAGTAATTATGACAACTTCTGGAGGATGCCCTCCAACTTATCTGAGCTTTTGCAGCATGAACTGACATGTTGTCCACCCAATCAAACAATCAGAGAATGAATCTAGTACTGAAAGCATAAGCTACAGCTAGCTAGCACTGCAGTGCATGGTGAGTAGTTGACTCAACGAGAGTGAAAGACAATAGTTGAACAGTTTTGAACAAATGTATTGATATAAAAATGAAGGAAAAGCAAGAGAGAGAGAGAGAGAGCTATATTATGCGGTTATGATATGAAGGTTTGGCTTGGAAAGGTTTTTTCACCTGGTCACAGACAGCTGATGTGTTGTTCACTGAAGTCCACAACGGAAAAGGTGAGAGGAAGAGAGCGTGTAGATGCGAGAAGGAATTATACAATGTTCAGAATGTTCATGCTGTTTGTATGTGGTTGCTATGAAAGTGAACTGTGTTTGCGTGTGATCAGGGGTGTATTCATTCCCCAAATTCTGTTGAAATACAGTTCTTAAACAGAAGCAAACGGAACGAAATGGGGATAAACATACCTGAATTTGTCCAATAGAAACTCTCGTTTGCAACTGTTGGACTAACGATTACACCCTAGATCAGCTAGATGCAGGCAAGAGTGTGCAAGGCGGTACTGAATGTGCCACTGTCTGTCACCTTGATTACTTACATTTTTCTCTCGACCTGTGCACCTAAGTTGTAACTTTCATTCATAGGCTAGGTTGTACCAACCTCATGATGGGGTATTGGGAAAATTTGAGTATCATGTAGTAGTAGCCTAAACCTATCGATGTTACATTGAGCGGTGAATGGAATATGAATGACCGTCATCCAATATGCTGTAATAGAAATAAGGCAATGCTCATAAATGCTCATAAAAAAAAGATATCATCCTCCCTATTCTTAAACATCAGCAACCACCACTGGTGAAATACTGTCTGCTTGCATAACAGAGGCAAACATAACACATTTTATTACATGCTCATTGGCATTTTCTCAAGAGATGCTGAAAGAAAAATCAGATTTCTCCACTCCTGTTCCCGAGACAAAATAAACATTTGTTGTATAATTTTACTGCAAAAAAAAACGAGTTAAATTATATTAGGTTATTGGCCTACAGTCAGTATCCATATTTCAGTTACTATTCCATATACATTTATGAGGAATATTATATTTATTCATGGATACAGGGATACTCGTGAGCGGGATATCAAAGGTGCATGTAAACACCTTATGCCGAATAAGACCTTAAACGGTATATGAGATATGACTACTGTGCTCATGTAAACGTGGTCACTATTCTAATCCAGCACCACTAACACATCACTCAGCTAATCAAAGGTTGAGCAATGGAGCCTGGGGATTAGGTTAGAGTTGAGTAGGTGCAACTGCTGTGGTGTGCTGTGCTGGCACAAAAAAAGTGCACTTCTAGGATCCCCAGCCAGAATCCAGCGCATGCGCGCACCCAGAAACACAATCCACCTGGGCGACTCATGAGCTCGCAAATTTCTGGTTTTCCCGCGCTCATCGCGGCAAACAAACGTGGCTAGCTAGATAGCGTTAGCTCTTCTGAGATATATATATATTTTTTACAAATGGCAATTGTACATAAATCTATATGGAGGTTGAAACGCTTTGGACGTTTTTTGCCTGGGACCAAAGAAGACGGCGGTAATCCATGGAAGGTGACATTAGTTGTCTAGTCGGGAATTTTGCCCAACATCTGTTTTATCTGTGATAACGCTAGCTAACGTTAGCTACCTAACGACCCTTGCTAGCTAGGCTAACTAAAAGTTTTTTACAAATGTTTAGGACATTAGCAAATCAAATTGTTATAGGCCTACACTTTACATTATGGTTATTGAATGAACTTGCCTCAGATGTGATGTGAATCATCTAGCTGTAGATGTTGAAAAATGTGTCTTAACTTCTCTAGATGTTTGAGCCCAGTGAAAGTGCGGGTGAATTGGTGCTCACCATTGTGGAATCCGGTCATATGCTGGTGTCCCAAGGCCACTATCTTCTGGTAAGTGAGTTGAGGTCTGACTAAATTAGATGCCCTTTGATGTCCGAAAGTCAAGTCATTCCTGGATGGATCTGGACCTAGTTTTTACAGTATTTGATCTAGGCCAAGTAACAATGTAACGTTATCCAAATAAGCTTATATAGCCTTTAAATATCCCCCAATATATTCAGTAACTCATTATTATATACCAAATTATTGAAATGTACACCCCATAGACATAATAGCTGTTATTGTCCAACCTGCACTCATTGTTGGTGTAATTATACACGGAGTTTACAAAACATTAGGAACACCTGCTCTTTCTCTGACATACTGACCATGTGAAAGATATGAACCCTTATTGATGTCACTTGTTAAATCCACTTCAATCCGTGTAGATAAGGGGAGGAGACAGGTTAAAACATGATTTTTAAGCCTTGAGACAATTGAAACATTGATTGTGTATGTGTGCCATTCAGAGGGTGAATGGGCACAACAAAAGATTGCAGTGTCTTTGAACGGGGTATGGTATTAGGTGCCAGGTGCACCGGTTTGAGTGTGTCAAGAACTGTAACGCTAATGGGTTTTTCACGCTCAACCGTTTCCCGTGCGTATCAAGAATGGTCCACCACCCAAAGGACAGCCAGCCAACTTGACACAACTGTGGGATGCTTTCGACACCTTGTAGAGTCCTCCATGCCCCGAAGAATTGAGGCTATTCTGTGGGCAAAAGGGGGTGCAACTCAATGTTAGAAAGATGTTCCTAATGTTTTGTACACTCAGTGTATAATGCAGCACTTGTGATTATTTTTAAATGTATTAACAAATAGTTTGCCTACTAACTCTGGCTAGTCTAAGCTTAGATCTCCACTGTTAGGCTTATAGGCAGATAGCCTAGCTATGGATACAATTTTATGTGTTTGCAACAATGTTAAAAAGTGACCCCAATTTTAGTATTCAAATTACTTGATTCCAAGTCCTTGGAAATACAGGGAACTAGAACAAATACTGAACACCAGCTATGTTGCTGCTATACACAGAATAGCGCCTGTGTTAGTGTGTAGTTCATCCTGTGTCTTCTCAAGATTCACTGCCAGACTCTGTGTGCAGCTGAGAGACTCAGATATCTTAGCACAATAAGCAGGATTTGCTGTAGAAACACAACGGCCGTAGCTGCACTATGCCACATTGAGTACTGCATGGAAAGTGGCTACAGCTATCTTGCTGAGCCAGGGTGCCAGGCAAGGCTACATGCTTATTCAGGTCAGGACACAAAGTGCTCTCTGACAAAAGGGGATAGCGGTCATTGATAGATCGGCGCCCTTAATTGATAGATCGGCGCCCTTAATCTTAATGCTCTTGAGTATCTTTCAATACAGAGAGATTACAGTAGGACACAGTGGCTGAAGCCAGGGGAGTCCCAACTGAATGATGATGCCATATTAGGATGCACCATGGTAGAGGAGAGAGGGTTATTGAGTGTAATCATTATCCAGATTACTCCTGATCCAAGATATCGTTTAATGGGGGTTTTCTCTCAGTTTTTGGAGGAAGGAGGGGGGATTGGGATTATAGGAAATGGAACCTCTCAACCTGACTCAGATAACTAACCATGTCTCAGAAAACGACTTGCTGTGCCTCACAGAATTACTTGAAGACAAGTCTTGTTCAAATTATGTCATGTGATTCCTTCCTGATATGATAATTTGCAACTAAAAATAAGAATTTGATCTAATCCCTTCGAAACATCTCAGTGGAGTAGGAAAATTGAAATCTGTTTTGAATCTGGAAGTATGGAGCTGAAATGTAATGTTTTATGTAACAGAGCTGAGTAGAGTATCCATCCCTCCAGTGCGCTGAAGTCCATTTGAAATGGGGAAAACATAACTTTCAGTGTCTTTATCACTAAGAAGGATCTGTTGCTATGGTAAAATGTTATTCCAAATATAATGTCATAAAGCTAGCATTTCCCAGTGCTCAGGCCAAGGTCTAACACATTTTCTATCATTATTAATGTGCATAAAGCAACTACTGTCTCCTGTCAACACAGCAGGCAGCAGGTATTATTGGCCTATATTTCACTGGTACATTTCAACGCAAATTCTAAGACTGAAGAAACTATACTAAACAGAATAGTGTTTAAATAGATTTAGACTTTAGTTGATGTTAAATAGTTACAAATTGTAAGGTGTCAGACATAATTTCAAAGTATTCAGTGTATTCAGGGTAGTGTAATTTTTCACTTGGTTAGAAAAGTGCTGATTCATACATGGAACTAAACTAACACCTGTTTTTATTCATTGTAGCCTAAACATGGAGAGATTTCTACTCAAGAGACTATGACTCTATCAAAACTAATATTTAGTACGACAACATTCAGCCTCCAACAGCTGGTTGTTTGAGATGGAGATGGAAGTTATCTATCCAAATACATACTGATGGCATGCTGCTGGTCACAGGGGCTGGATGGGTTTCTGAGTCAATAGAGCCCCCTGGAGGCGTGCTTATGTCATTTCAGATCATTTGAAATTGCTCCTGCTCCTGCTAACCAAAAGTAGAGCTGTGATTGCTGAATGCTCGGTCTGATACTGTTAAATGGACTTGTATGTCTCATTGAAGACATGAGGTTTAGCTGTGTGCCCTATCCAATTTGACTTTGGTTTTACTACTATGACTTTTGACTGTTGTTTGTTTACCATTGTTTGTCAGTCTGATTGTTGTGCTAGTGCATTTTTCAGGATGGGTTTTCCTTGCTTGATGCTCCAAGCTTCCTCAAAGTTCAGCAGAAATCAGATACCCTGCTGTTCCGTCTGACTGTTAAGGTGGGTTGCTAAAGTTATATTCTTGGAGATATGTCATAAATGGATTGCAAGCCTTTATTTGCTTTTAGAAACAACACCATTTTTTAAATAGAAGCTAGCTACAGTATACAAGAGTCTACATACCAAATTGTATTATTATTCTAGCACCTACTTTTATATGAAACTTAGGCTAATGTTGACTACAAGGCAACACTGGAATTTTACAGTCGGTAATTTCCCCACAATTTGTATAGTGGCAGCTTTATTTACCATAGCCAGATTTCACATTGACATTAGTGTGGCAGAGCCGATGTTTGGCAGGGGTGGCTGTGCTGAGACAACAGTGTAATTGGTCATTAAATGGCCTGAATTAAGGGGATCTGAGGCCTGACACGATGCATTTTGAACAGTCTTGGCACAACTAGCTGGCTGTGAGTGGTGCTTTGGCTGTCCATATTCTGCCAACGGCCTGGCTTGTGAGTGATATGTAGGCTAAATAAGTGTTGTAGGTAAGTGCGACTGTGATGAATTGTAAGTGGCATGTCAAGCTTGTAGTCTGCTGGTCAAGATTGCCTCAGTAGCGGTGAAGAGGAGATATAGGCTAGCTCTCAAACAAAACATTGCTGTGTATGTGCAGGGGGAGAGCCGTCTGATGAGGATGCAGTTCAGTGGTAGCAGCAGGGCTGAGGCTCTGGAGGAGTGTGGCAGTGCAGTACTCAGACTGAAGGAGTACCTGCCTGTCACCACACAGGGGGGGCCCCCCACCACCACCACTCAGCTGCCCCCCAACATCCAATCAGCCCCCTACCAAGACCACTGCACAGGATCAACAGGTACTCAACAACACATACACTGAAAACATGTAGCTACGTATTGCATCATGAAAGTGTATTTTGGAACATCTGAATTGGAACAGCTCCTGCAATACATTAACTAATTGAAATGAGTGCAGTGCGTGTTTTTTTTCTCCACCTTTGTTGCTGTTCTTATGTTAAGAATGTTATTCTTCATAATGTAAACTAGTTAATGAGGGACTAAAGTTGCTGTTGTTACAGTAAGAATCACCCACTAGATGGTGCTATTTACAAGCATGAAAACAATATAGCTTGTTTAATACTGGATGGCACTGGAACAAACTAGGTTAATATGGATTTTATGTATGAATCAATGACAATGTGTGATATGTTAATCCTTAACCTCCCGACACAGAAGGGGGAGAAATTAAACCAACGATAAACACCATCACACACATTTGAAAAAGCTCTCAGTGAGGATGAAAGGGCCGTGGTGACTGAGGGAAATCTTTTAATAAATGATGAAGCTATGATGCAGTTTAACCTCCCTTGGTGTGTTACCCTGTAAAGTCCTGTGGCAGTAGTAACATATTTCTTTTTAACCGTGTGTCATCAGGCGGGTGCTGGGGAGGCTATGGCTACTGAACCCGAGGTCGTCCAGGGCTCTTTATCCATCAAACGTCTTACCCAGGTAGGTTGGTACTGACACCACACAGTGATTAGATAGATGACTGATGAATGCTGAGGGTGATGATTCATATGATGATCACTTGATGGAGGTTGATAATCGCGCAAGCTGAATAAATAGTAGCTATTTAACATTCAGGAGTGTGATTACGGCTCCCACCCATGGAGCTTGAATGTAACATACACTTCATCGGCTCTTATTTGTTGTTATTCCCCGCCACTACTGAAGTGTAGGGTAGGCCACTGAAATAATTAACACCTAACTGACTTGGGCGATTATAATTAGCCAATATAAGTCTCCCAAGTGGCGCAGTGGTCTAAGGCACTGCATCGCAGTGCTAGCTGTGCCACTAGAGATCCTGGTTCGAATCCAGGCTCTGTCGTAGCCGGCTGCGACCGGGAGACCCATGGGGCGGCGCACAATTGTCCCAGCGTCGTCCAGGGTAGGGGAGGGAATGGCCGGCAGGGATGTAGCTCAGTTGGTAGAGCATGGCGTTTGCAACGCCAGGGTTGTGGGTTTGATTCCCATGGGGGGCCAGTATGAAAAAATAATAAAAAATGTATGCCCTCACTAACTGTAAGTCGCTCTGGATAAGAGCGTCTGCTAAATGATGTAAATGTAAAATCATGGATTTAATTATATACAAACAAATGAACAGATCCCTGGTCTATCTATTTTTCCTCAGCACTTCCTGGGCGAGCATGGTCTGTCCTTGCCCCTGGTGTACCGCCACAGTGCTCTGTCCCGTGGGGAGCTGGAGCCCTTCCTCCGCCTGTGTCTCTTGGACCCCAGCTTCCCTGCCTTGGTGGAGGAGGTGGAGGGGGAGCTGAAGAGAGTGCTCCAGGACTGAGGAGCTGAAGCTCATCAACACAAACAGCCAGAGGGAGACAGGTCAACTCACTACACACGGTACACATGTGGGTGGGAGGTGGGTTTTGGAAGAGTTGGGGGTTGGGTTGTTCTTCATGCTGCTGATTGTGGAAATGTGTGCTGGAACATAGTGGTCATTGTGTTGTAGGAGGATATTTAAACCGGCACAACTGTTGTGGTTTCTAGAAAGGATTTTCCAGGCAAAAAAAAACGAAATGTATTTTGGAGCCTTTTATTTTCAAAAAAGTATTGGTCTCGTATGTTATTGGTCTCATATGTTTTATCGTGGCTAGAGATACCGTAGCTCCTTCCATTCCCACCCTAATGTAGGTCCATTTGCACTGCAACACACATGGATACACTGTATTTATAGGAGAGTAGTCATGCAGCTACAGCAGTGCATTTTGCTATACCAGCTTCCAAGTGATCCCACAATATTAAAGCTTCACTGAGAAAAACAAACTGCCCCCAATATATCTATATATGAATACATATTGCATAGGATAATAGCCATGCTGTACAATTTCAGAAAAATAAAAATGAATGAATTAAGTTGGGAAATATAAAATGTATTTTTTTCTTTACATACAGTATTTGCTATCATTTGAACACTCGTACCTCAACATATACAAGACATCCTAAGTTACTCTGAAAAATAAAAATAAACACTTACTTGTCATTTTATTTATAACTAGATAGATTATAGTAGTCATTTTCTGTAATCATTTTCAAGTAAATACTGCCAGACATTGAATCCCTTGCATCACATTTTCACTATAATGGCTGTTAAGAGTGGACTTTCCTTTCACTAAATCAAACATCGTTTAATGACAATGAATCAGCTGTACAAAGTTATTTTAAGAATATAACAGTATTTTTCAGTTCAGGACAATTTCATAAAAAAACATAATTCATTTGGACGCAAAATAGCCACACAGACATGAGGGAAAACAACAAAGTCTATTCTGGGCATCCTATTGCGTAATAATTTGCATGCGTTTTACATGATATGTAATACAAAAAGGATCACCTCTGGTTGGAGGACATGATAAAATGAATAAAAGAGACATCAAACGGCACACAAAAAAGATGTGCACACCTTTCGTGATGGAATTAGTCATCTTTCCGTCCAGGACTGTTCATGTAAGACTGAATAAGGCATGCTTAAGACAGCCATCTTGTTCTTTTCTGCCAGTGTTACGCTGTTATTGTTTTTTCTCATAAGAGAGACGAGATATGCTTCATTAAAAATTGCCTGGAGCTCCCTCCTCAGATACCTTCATATGGTCAAGATATGCAGTTAGTCATCTGTTAATGAAAATCGGGGGAGGAAGGCGTTAGTATACCCTGTGCACATGATCACATTCCTACAGTATATCACTTAGTTCCCTGTTGACTTCCATATGCCTCAGATTCCTTTTTCTAAAGTCCAGAATACTCACTACAACGAGTAGCTTCTCATTGTATAAAGGCCAGAATACTTACTGCAACGAGTAGCTTCTCATTTCGTATTCCTCTGGCGCACGTTTTTGTCTTTGTGGTTGTTTGTCGAATTTGTTTTCCTAGTGAAGAAATAGAGTTTAGTCAATTCCAGGGGGAAATTATGAGATGTATGTATGTATATACAGTGAGGGAAAAAAGTATTTGATCCCCTGCTGATTTTGTAAGTTTGCCCACTGACAAATACATGATCAGTCTATACATTTAATGGTAGGTTTATTTGAACAGTGAGAGACAGAATAACAAGAAAAAAATCCAGAAAAACGCATGTCAAAAATGTTATAAATTGATTTGCATTTTAATGAGGGAAATAAGTATTTGACCCCCTCTCAATCAGAATGCTATGCTCAAGAAAGGATATACAGGGCCGTCTGAAGTTTGCCAATGAATATCTGAATGATTCAGAGGAGAACTGGGTGAAAGTGTTGTGGTCAGATGAGACCAAAATTGAGCTCTTTGGCATCAACTCCACTCGCCGTGTTTGGAGGAGGAGGAATGCTGCCTATGACCCCAAGAACACCATCCCCACCGTCAAACATGGAGGTGGAAACATTATGCTTTGGGGGTGTTTTTCTGCTAAGGGGACAGGACAATTTCACAGCATCAAAGGGACGATGGACGGGGCCATGTACCGTCAAATCGTGGGTGAGAATCTCCTTCCCTCAGCCAGGGCATTGAAAATGGGTCGTGGATGGGTATTCCAGCATGACAATGACCCAAAACACATGGCCAAGGCAACAAAGGAGTGGCTCAAGAAGAAGCACATTAAGGTCCTGGAGTGGCCTAGCCAGTCTCCAGACCTTAATCCCATAGAAAATCTGTGGAGGGAGCTGAAGGTTCGAGTTGCCAAACGTCAGCCTTGAAACCTTAATGACTTGGAGAAGATCTGCAAAGAGGAGTGGAACAAAATCCCTCCTGAGATGTGTGCAAACCTGGTGGCCAACTACAAGAAACGTCTGACCTTTGTGATTGCCAACAAGGGTTTTGCCACCAAGTACTAAGTCATGTTTTGCAGAGGGGTCAAATACTTATTATTTGATATACGTTTTTCTGGATTTTGTTGTTGTTATTCTGTCTCTCACTGTTCAAATAAACTAATTAAAAAAATTATAGACTGATCATGTCTTTGTCAGTGGGCAAATGTACAAAATCAGCAGGGGATCAAGTACTTTTTTCCCTCACTGTATGTATATATGTGTGTGTGTATTTGTTGTAGTCTCGAGAGAATTGAATATTTATCAGATACTTACGTTGGTGCGGCTGGCTCATCATCTTCATCATGAGGGGAGAGAAGAGGGGAAAGAGCACAGAAACAATGGAATATTAGACAACATGGTCATCCTTCAGAAGTGGCCAACACACTGCTCCCATATTTTCTTTCAAATGCAGATGTTGACATCTTAACTGTAATGAAATATCAAATGGATTAAATTACATGATTGTTACATGACTGTAGCAGTTTAAAATGCAGTCACATCACGTCAGTGTGAAGTATTGCAAATTTGCAACTGATGTTAACATTTTAAATGTTCAGGTTTTCTTCGAGTTCACTTGTGGATCCCACAGTATGGGTCTTTTGCATGGGTTGTTACCAAGTTCCAGTTGTCATTACAGAATACAGAAGTTATAGGAATAAAGTAGAAACATTTTTTATTTTGCCCCTTTTTCTCCCCAATTGGTAGTTACAGTCTTGTCCCATCGCTGCAACTCCCGTACGGACTCGGGAGAGGCGAAGGTCGAGAGCCGTGCTTCCTACGAAACACAACCCAGCTGATCCGCACTGCCCGCTTAACCCGGAAGCCAGCCGCATCAATGACCGTGTCAGCGTGCACAGGAGTCGCTAGTGCGCGATGGGACAAGAATACCCCTGCCGGCCAAACCCTCCCCTAACCTGGACGACGCTGGGCCAATTGTGCGCCGCCCAACGACAGCCTGGACTCCAACCAGGATCTCTAGTGGCACAGCTAGCACTGCAATGCAGTGCCTTAAACCACTGCGCAACTCGGGAGGCCTAAAGTTAACTATTTGACGTCTGTAGGTCTGCATTTTTTATTTGACTGAGTCTGACAATAAAAGCTCTGAGTTGTGTAAGCAGGCTTTACGTGTACATGAATGAGCAAAAAAATATGTTTTAGTAGAATAACGTTTTTAGTGTAGAGTTGAATTACACAGCAGCATGCAGTGTGAGTGGACATCATCGCACATTAGGGTGATTAGCTAGTTAGTATAGATAACCACTCTTTCAAGGTGCCACGGTGGCATGTTTTTGACCACACACGAGAAGGAATGGGTCAGTAGGTCAGTATAGTAAACATGGAGAGTGTAAGTGTGTTCAGTAGCATGCAACCAGAGATCTGGGGCATGTATTCATAACCCATTTCAGAGTAGAAGTGCTGATATAGAATCAATTTTGCCTTTTAGATCATAATCCGTAAGATTATATAAAGACGGGGGACCTGATCCTAGATCAGCACTAAACTATGAGACGCTTTATGAATACGGGCCCAGAGAGCAGCAGCATGCCATTGGCAGTTAAATGGGGGTATGGTGGTCACAATGTGAGATGGGACAGCATGGCTGCATGTGAGACAGTCTTGGGGACAGAGGGGGCACATCTGTTCGTCCGTGCCCAATCCCCACCTTTTTCCACCCCTACACTACCATCTGAGTTCACTCACAACTAGCCCCTGGGTGCAGAGTTATCCAGTCGGGCAAAGATAATGTGTAGAATATGTGATTCAAGTCATGAAATTGCAAACAAACAAAAACACTGACTTTTACAGTGTGGAGAATATTAAGAGTATAGCCAGGGTAATATCAATGTATTCAGCAAGTTCTTCCTGTATGCCAATGGGTTGATAAGCTCTGCATTACATTTTTACAGTTTAGTCATTTAGCAGACGCTCTTATCCAGAGTGACTTTTCACCTAGTCGGTTCGGGGATTCGAACCAGCGACCTTTTGGTTATTGGCTCAACGCTCTTAACCGCTAGGCTACCTGCTGCCCTACATTTTGCATAATATAATCTTTCCTGGTTGTTCCCTAATGATCCCACACAGTAAAAGAAAGTGGAACCCTCACAACAGGTTCTTTAAATTAATTTGCTCTACAAAAAATCTCTACCTTTGCTTCGGATCACTTAGTAGTGCATTATCAGTATTGATACACAATTTAGCCATCATGAAGATGTACACCTACATATAACAAAGCTCTTGGGGATAGAGGATACTAAAAGGAGATTTCAGAGCTGGCCATCGGCACAAGTGATGCAGAGTGTGCTGCATTTCTGATTCGGTTGATATGACCATGGCAGATAATCTACCTTCATCTACTTGTTGGGGGGGGGGGGAATCACTCTGTTGCTAACCCCTGTCCTACAGCAAAGCAAGTTTCTCTCTCCCTCTCTCTCCCCCTCCTCCTGTAGATAAACCCTTGCCAAACTAGAGGCCTTGCCTACAGGTGCAGGAGATTGGTTGGTGTTTGTCAAAGCACTACACTCTTCACACTGTACACAAAGCCAATGCTTACTTTATTGGTGAATTTGCATAATTTCTGTTTAGTAGTGTAACAAATTTACTGACATATTTAACGCTGATACCATAATGGGGAGGATTATACAGTGCATACACAATTCAGACTTCAGAAATAGAAGTATGCATAATTTATCTTTTTAATCTACCCTGTCTTTTCTTTTCAGATAGCATCTACAGGATATCAATGCCTTGGGGAACCTAGAGTGCATACTATCTCTCCTCGTGTGTGTGTGGCGGTTTAAGTGATTTAACACTCCTATAGAAGACAAGTGAAGAAGACTTGTATAAAATGTATACAGTTATAAACAAGACGTAGCAGTGCATTTCAGTAGGCTGATAGCAATATGTTTTAAACATCAGAGACCACCACCTATACAGGAGAAAACATGTCAAACTGCGTTGGCCCCTCTAAATTGAAATGAATACGAATGGAGTAAATACATAATTTCAACATATATATTGTCTATACAAAGACACCAAACAACTTGTAGTCCAATAATCGGATAAACGGGTGTTGACATCGTGGTCTGGATGGACTGTAGTAGAAACGGATCAAATAAAAAATCATTCTCTGAAAACATGCAAGATCTCTCACTTACCAACCATTTAGATAATGATGCCATTTGGAGAGAGGGGGAAAGAAGTCATAGTAACCAATTAATTCATATCTTGCTGATATCCTGAATAAAGTTGATAGAACCATAGGCGGGTGAAGCCTCAACTGCCTTTTTGGCTTTGACTCTACACTCAAATGATTTTGTTTGACTCTACACTCAAATGATTAAGCCTTTGTTTGACTTTGACACTTAAATCTAGGTTTAACCGTTTATATTAACAGTTTATATTATTGTATGTTATTGAGTAGTTCTGTTATTAGACTGTTTGAAAATGAACAGATATTACTCTGTAAAAGTAGTAACTAGTTAGTAGTTACCAACGTAGGCTTCTTTGAGAATAACTTACCTGTGGGTGTGACAGGCTTTGATTGGAGTAGGGTAACAGGGATTTTAGATTCTCTACGTTAAGCCCTCAGCCATAGGCAGAACTTGTAGGGCAAAGCCAAAATAACACATCAAACTTCCCCTGATTCCCTGTCTCAAGTTATTGTCAATGAAATGAATTCATCAGTTCTCCAGATGGGTGATAAAATGGTCCCTGGTTATCATCATTAGCGAGACCGCAACGGTACTTCAACTCTTTCATTTAAAAGGTTAGCTGTGGACCCCCTCCTGGTTTCCTAATGTGGAGCATCTCTAAAGGTCATATTATCATGCAGCTAATGTGTGGCGCTGCGCTGTGTGGCAGGCAGCGGTGTCTCTGTCTCCCTTCTCAGTACTGACGGAGCGTCCAGGGAGCGTGTCCCCCGACAGAGGTCAATTATTCACAGTGGGTCTCCACTGCTACTGCTAACACAGCAGAGTCAGCGTCATTAATATTCAGCACCGTGTCTATAGCCTCCGCAACATGTTCACTTGGTAACAGTGTAATGTGTGTGGTGATGGTAGATGAACCCTGTTTCAATTGGTTCTTGATGGCTGTTGAACTTCTAGCCGAGTGCAGGCCCGTAATCAGATATTTCAATCATTGTGAGAATGTCTTTGTATTGTTCCAGGAGCAGCAGCCAATTTACTGGGTCATAATTCCCTCACGACGCCAGGACAGCGGAGTCACTCACCACCTTCCGGAGACACTTGAAACCCCACCTCTTTAAGGAATACCTGGGATAGGATAAAGTAATCCTTCTACCCCCCCCCCCCAAATTTTTTTTTTTTTAAATAAAAAATATTGTAAAGTGGTTATCCCACTGGCTATAAGGTGAATGCACCAATTTGTAAGTCGCTCTGGATAAGAGCGTCTGCTAAATGACGTAAATGTAAATAATTCCCTCTCCCTCCCTGATTTTACCCCAAACAGTACATACTCCCCTGCCGCTGTTAGCACGTTGGTCTCTTTAAGGTGAGATCGAGAACCCTTTTTCCTGTTAAGGTAATGTACTGTACAGTCATTTCAATGACAGCATCCAGTAACGCTGACAAGTATAATAATCAAACAGGCCTGACGATGACAACATGGCGAGAGGTTGTCTGTCTCCCCAAAGAGATACAATATAATACTATATTCACACTATATTTAATGTTGTCTTACCGTCCAACACATCGTCTGGCCTCTTGCGTTTTTCGTACACTACGATGATGACCACCAGGATGATGATCTCCGCTAGCACCCCCAGGAAGGGCCAGAGGGGTGCCAGGTGGCTGCGCACCCGCAGGATGGACGACACGGACTTGGTGCCAATGTGGTTGGTAGCGTTGCACTGGTATTCACCAGGGTCCGAGGTGCGGTTCAGGTTGACGATGTTCAGCTCTGTGTAGTTCTCTTTGTTGGTGATGAAGAAGCGGCCAGAGGAGTTGTCGATTTCCTAGAGGAGGGTAATTTAGCATATCAATTATTTATATGTTACAGACAATTTTACGATCGCATACCAGACAGTGATCACATTAAGTTATACACCATGCGGGGTCGTGAGCGTCACCTGATATGAAAATAGGGTCGTGGGAGAATTTCCTAAATCTCCCCCCCTCCAAAAAAAAAAAGTTATATGTCCCAAAGATATATATATACATATTAGAATATCATCTTTGTATCTCAAAATCATTGTAATGTGGTTAACCTTAAAAATCTAAATGAAAATTCTTCAAATCTAAAATTCAACCAGAGAGCGCCCTTAGATCATGGGAAACGGCCGCACTTGACCTTTGCACTTCAATCATTCCGACGGTGAATGACTAGGCCCGCTACGCTATGAAACCACACACTATTGCAGGTACTCTGATATTACCGGAGGCAATTGATATGGTGAAAACAATGTGTGGGGAGGCAGAGGCACAGAAACTCACATCAATACCTTTGTCAGATAACACTGTTAAAGGATTTATGCTTTTGCTAGCAATCAAGAGAGTACTGACTGAACGACTCAAAAACTCCCTAGCTAATGCTCTCAAATGGACACTAGCTGTGAGGGCTGAGATGCCCATGCATGACTTTTGTTCGCTATACATGTCGGGGGATGCTATTCACGCGTACATATTGTTCTGTCTCTCGATTCCCGAGCATGAAACTGCACAGGGGATGTTCAGTGTGCTGTGTGGCTATATTGACGAAAAACAGATTCCATGGGATCGAATGGTGGGCTTTTGCACAGATGGGTCTCCATCTATCAGGTAGGCCTATGCACTCTGGTTATTAATGTGTCTCCCTCTACCATATGGACGCATTGTATGATACACCGAGAGCAACTGGCAGCAAAAGAGCTGAACACAGAACTCTGAGATATACTGCAGCGGGTAACTTAGATTGTACTATGCTGAACAAAAATATAAACGCAACATGCAACAATTTCAATGATTTTACTGAGTTACAGTTCATATAAGGAAATCAGTCAATTTAATCTATGGATTTCACATGACTGGGCAGGGGTGCAGCCATGGGTGGGCCTGGGAGGGCATAGGCCCATCCACTTGGGAGCCAGGCCCACCCACTGGGGAGCCAGGCCCAGCCAATCAGAACACATTTTTCCCCCACAAAATGGCTTTATTACAGACAGAAATACTCCTCAGTTTCATCAGCTGTCCGGTTGGCTGGTCTCAGACGATCCCGCAGGTGAAGAAGCCAGATGTGGAGGTCCTGGGCTGGCGTGGTTACAAGTGGTCTGCGGTTGTGAGACCGATTGGACGTACAGTGATCCCTCGCCACTTCGCGGTTCACTTATCGCGGATTCGCTATTTCGCGGATTTTCATAATGCATTTTTTTTTTTTTTTGGTGCATTGTGCTCTGCATTCTGATTCGCTAAAAACTCACTCCCGCTTCTTGTATCAAAACATGCTACGAATTGTGCTATCATTTTGTCGTCTCGTGCAGTTATGTGTACGTACATAAAACAGCTTGGCAAATTTACATTAAGTTGGCCAAATTATCTTGTAATTTCGAACATCTTCTAAACCCATAATGTCGACGAAACGGCCTACACGTGAGTCACTGTATTTGTATACATGTAATAGTTGCTAATTGTAAAAAAAAAAAAGTTTTCTATTTCGCGGATTTCACTTATCGCGGGTCATTTTCGGAACGTAACCCCCGCGATAAACGAGGGATTACTGTACTGCCAAATTCTCTTAAACGACGTTAGAGGCGGCTTATGGTAGAGAAATGAACATTAAATTATCTGGCAACAGCTCTGGTGGACATTCCTGCAGTCAGCATGCCAATTGCACGCTCCTTCAAAACTTGAGACATCTGTGGCATTATGTTGTGTGACAACTGCACATTCTAGAGTGGCCTTTTATTGTCCCCAGCACAAGGTGCACCTGTGTAATGATCATGCTGTTTAATCAGCTTCTTGATATGCCACACCTGTCAGGTGGATGGATTATCTTGGCAAAGGGGAAATGCTCACTAACAGGGACGTAAACAAATATGTGCACAACATTTGAGAGAAGTACGCTTTTTGTGCGTATATGGACATTTTCTGGGGTCTTATTTCAGCTCATGAAACATGGGACCAACAATTTACATGTTGCGTTTATATTTTTGTTCAGTATACATCAAACCACATCCACTGCACACACACCTGTTCGCAAAACTATGTGGAGATATGGGATCAGAGCATGACAATGTTCTATTTCACACCAAGGCTTGGTGGTTATCGAGGGGGAGTGTTGGAAAGATTTTTTCGCATTGAGAGAGGAACTGTCCGTGGGAAACGAACCCACATCCCTGCCGGCCAAACACTCCCCTACCTTGGACGACGCTGGACCAATTGTGCGCCGCCCATGGGTCTCCCGGTCTCGGCCGGCTGCGACAGAGCCTGGACTCTAACCAGGATATCTAGTGGCACAGCTAGCACTGCGATGCAGTGCCTTAGACCACTGCGCCATCTGGTTTGCGCTTAGTGGGACAATCATTTGTTTTTCAAAAGGACAATGACCCAATACACACCTCCAGGCTGTGTAAGGGCTATTTGACCAAGAAGGAGAGTGATGGAGTGCTGCATCAAATTACCTGGCCTCCACAATCACCCGACTTCAACCAAATTTAGATGGTTTGGGATGAGTCGGACCACAGAGTGAAGGAAAAGCAGCCAACAAGTGCTCAGCATATGTGGGAACTCCTTCAAGACTGTTGGAAAAGCATTCCTCATGAAGCTGGTTGAGAGAATGCCAAAGAGTGTGCAAAGCTGTCATCAAGGCAAAGGGTGGCTACTTTAAAGAATCTCAAATATAAAATAAATGTTGATTTGTTTAACACTTTTTTTGGTTACTACATGATTCCATATGTGTTCTTTCATAGTTATGCCTTCACTATTATTCTACAATGTAGAAAATAGTAAAAATCAAGAAAAACCCTTGCATGAGTAGGTGTGTCCAAACTTTTGACTGGTACTGTACATTATGTCAGACTAATTTGCAATTGACTGTCATAGCCCCACATTAAAAGTATGTGATGGTGAGTTGAGAAGACAATCAGAAATACTGTTAGGATGTTTTTCAATTGACTGCCATAGCCCCAAATAAAAACGTAAACATTGGCTGTTAATTACATAATTACAAATATTTTCACATGGTTGAGGTCACGAGAATTTTCAGATATCAAAATGGGGTCGTGGGCAAAACATTTTTGGGAACCCCTGATCTAGCATGAGTTATATAGAGCTGAGGAAGAGGACACGTACCATGTAGTTTGAGCCATCCAGTTTACGCCACGTCCAGATGGGAAAGGGGTAGCCAACAGACTTACAGTACAACAGAGCACTCTGCCCCTCATTCTTATTGTCACTGCGCTTGTGGCCCGTGATCTCAGGTGCCGCTAAAACAAGGGAAAAAGGGAGTGACATGCATTTGAATAAAAATTCAAACATTTTATGCAAGACGTTCCATGTTTGTGTCAAAGGTGTTCCTCGTCGGCTTCTCTAAATAACAAGACGTCAGATGATATAGTCAAGTCTGTCGGGACCCATTTTGATTACGGTAACTAACATTAAGATGAACATGAAAGTGATGGTAAATTAAGTAAGGATTTGGGGAATTGTTCTGTGATTTAGCTGTGAGGCACTGACTTCCCTGGAGATGGACTTACACTGGAATCAGTGCTTTATCACCACAGTGATCGAGGCAGGGACACATTTAGCTGTTTTATTCAATTGCCACGTTTCTTTAAAAGGTAGAGCTCATGGTTTGCTGTTGCTTACTTCCAGGTCTGCCTTTTGAAGGTGTAGGCCTACATATCTTGCAGAGTTTCAGTTCATAGACGCCAGTAAACGTATGACTGAGACTTTCTTAAAGGTGAGATTCTCCAACCCAGCGACAGCCTGGGTTTTCAGACAGAATCCTCAGTTTAACTCGGCTCTGGAGCCGAGAGACAACTGCCACAGCCTTTAGCTAATCCTTGAAATTACGGTAATTCCTTCCATGCAATTAAGCAGGATCAGGGGAGAGGCTGGCCTGGTGCTGCAGCGTTTTCTGCAGTGCGCGGCGGCCGTTATCGTGGAGTATGATTGAGCAGCAGTGGCTTGAGCTCAAAGTGACATCATCCTTCCTACTGTAATTATGGTGCACACGTGCTCTCTGGCTAGTGGGGGAGGGGCCACGTTTATCTCCGTCTTCGTTATCCCCAGCTCAATTCCACTGTGACTGACTGACAGCATGGAGACTGACTGCCCTCTGAGTGGCGCCAAAACAGGCAGAAATCTTCCATTTCACACCCCCAGCAGCTTGTGTGATTACTGATCTACAGTGCTGCTGGGTGGATGTGTCTGTCTGTGTGTCAGAAAGATATTGAGAATGAGACACCTTCTGGTAGTCTCTCTGGAAGAGGTGATTAGACAGTCAGATTTCTATTTACTGTATTTGATACCGCCCATCTCTCCACTGAATTTAAAGAGCATTTGAGCTCAAACGTGATGATCATGTGGAATTAGTAAGGGATAATCAATGAGGGGCTATGCGTTCTAGAAAAGACGCGGAACTAACCTTCCACTTAGTTGCATTATTTTCCAGAGAATGCATAACCCCGAGATGATTATCCCTTTTATACCATGGCTATAATTTAACACATTTACCGCTAGAAATTTGTTAATTTGCAGGTAGAAATGTGTTCAACATCCACTGAAAGAGCTAGCAAGTTTACTAGATAGCGACAGTAGTTGCCTTGGTAACCAAACAAACAGACTTGCTAGTTTAGTTAACCAAACCATCAGTCCCAGCTTGCTATTATGAAAATCAAATTAAACAATGCCAATAATGTTTTCAATTAGACTTTTGCTTTCAAAAGCAGCTCAAACATAGAACATGTAAGAACTATAGCCATTGAATTCTACCGTGCAAATATACTGTGCGTTATATGGAAATAATGCACGCTCTAGAATGCCCTTCAAGCCAATCAGAAAAAAGTATTCAACAATGCCACGGTATAAAGAATTATATGACACATTATCCTGTGGGCCTGTACTGTGCGGTTGACATAAAAATAGGAATTTGAAAAAAATCTAGATCTGCAAAATGCATAATTGATTTGATTAAATCAACAGGGTGTGTAGAATTATCTCTTTAAAAAATGTGTAAATAGCACACAAAAAAATTGGATATATAAAAATACAAATATAATTGGGATGTGCAAAATATGCATGCTCAGGACAGCAGCTTACTGTATCATCGTAGACAATAAAGTCCTGCCATTACAAATGGCTGGGAGCAGATTCTGAGCCTTAATCCCACACCACCATCACACAAGCCTCCATCTGTTGCCTCGCTCTGAGCTGAGAGCTGGAGAGATGGGAGCGCCAAGGACACTGCAGCCGGAGGGAGCTGGGGGGAGCTCAGAGCTCAGCTGCCAGGAGCATAGAGCACACAGGCTGGCCTGCATGGGCCCCTCTACCATGCTTAATGTATGGGACCTGGTGGTACGACCGAGTATGGGTTTAATGGTATGGGACTCAGTGCCCTTGTATAAGGCAGGGCAAGACTAATTGGATGCAATTGGTCACAACTATCATGGATTTCTGCTTAGAATGATCATTCTCTTTAGCTTTTATTGAGGCTATTCCTCAATCGGTCCCTAACTGTAACAATTAACAGGAAAGCCTGCAAAAGTATCTAAATCTATCTCAAAAAACGATTGTCGTGTCCATGCTTCCTCCAAACCAAGACATCAGCATCCCAAATGCAACTAACAGCATCTGTCAACAATTCAGTTAATACTTCCAGACAGTAATCAATAATGTTCAAAGGCAGTGCTGCCATGGTGTTTGTATGTCCAGCAAACGGTGTGTTGTGCATGCTCTAACAGCCAGGGGCAGCAAGCCTCCCTGCCTGCCTGCCTCCCCCTTCAAACGACCCTAGGGTCAGGACGCTGAGGTTTGATTGGAGATGAGGCCTGTCATCTCTCTGGCTGTAGGAAGCAGCAGAGCTGCAGAGCATACACGGTCATCACCCGCGTTACGCAACCAACCAACCACGCAGGCTGCTAGCGCTTAATACTGCCACGGCAGGCATAACAGTCAATGGCAAGCTCAGTATACACCACCATAGCAATGTCACAGCAAATTGGCTTAAGCACTGTATGTGTAAGCAAGCTTCTCTAGAACAGGGTTTTGCAAGTCCTTTCTCACCCAGAGGAAAATCCCTTATTCCACTTGAAGGGTGAGCTGTCAGCTTCTATCTCGCTAGGGTGTCAGTTTTTCTATAAGCGTCTTTCACGTCAATGAATGATCCTAACAGTTATGAATATGTGCTTTCAAATGTGAAACGATGTTATCCAACATATACCGTACAGAATAAGCCACTAATTCAAATGAGTGACATTATTTGACACATTATCACTAATTATCATCATGGTTATCCTTAAAAATAGAACAAATACGACACAAATACGATACCCTTGGTCCTGTGTCAATTATATGTGGTAACTGGTGCAAAATGACTGATAATCTTAATAATAATCTGTCTAATAAAAATAAATAAAGTAAGTCACTGTTAGACCAGTGTGTACAGAGGAGACAGTAGCCTGAAGGAAGGTGTGTCTGTGTGAATCGAGTGTACAGAGAGAGCAGAGAAGACAGGACTCTGTCCCTCCCTTCAGCTGGCCTGTCCTGCCCTGTCCTCTCAGTGAGTGGCAGCAGCCTCCAGAGGCCAGCCTGTCAACACCACAACACATCACCGGACCAACATCTCAACGTCTGTCACTGGAAGGGGATCTGTTCACAGGAAGTAGCTCTAGATTGTGTTATCCATCAAATCCCTCATAGGATAACTTTATCTCCCTCTTAGGTATGGCAGAGGGTCAAATGACAGTATGGATTAAAGTGGAGGCCAATTATAAAAATCAACAGTGTATCTGTCATTTGTTTATACCGTGAGTGAGATCTGGTGGTCGGGGAGTCTTACCTTTTACCTCAATAGTGGCGTTGGCGTTGGGAGCCATTTCAAACGTGTAAACACACATGTACTCCCCTGCCTCATCTGACTTTGGTTTCTTGATTCTGCAACAAACCACAAAATATCAGTTACTCCATAACTTGAGCTCAGTCAAAAATAACATACAGTACCAGTCAAAAGTTTGGACACACCTACTCATTCAATGGTTTTTCTTTATTTTTACTATTTTCTACATTGTAGAATAATAGTGAAGACATCAAAACTATGAAATAACACGTATGGAATCATGTAGTAACCAAACAAGTGTTAAACAAATCAAAATATTAAATATTTTATATTTGAGATTCTTCAAATAGTCACCCTTTGCCTTGATGACAGCTTTTCACACTCTTGGCATTCTGTCAACCAACTTCACCTGGAATGCTTTTCCAACAGTCTTGAAGGAGTTCCCACATATGCTGAGCACTTGTTGGCTACTTTTCCTTCACTCTGCTGTCCGACTCATCCCAAATCATCTCAATTGGGATTAGGTCGGGGGATTGTGGAGGCCAGGTCATCTGATGCAGCACTCCATCACTCTCCGTGGTGGTATAATTGCCCTTACACAGCCTGGAGGTGTGTTGGGTCATTGTCCTGTTAAAAAAACAAATGATAGTCCCACTAAGCCCAAACCAGATGGGATGGCGTATCGCTGCAGAATGCTGTGGCAGCCATGCTGGTTAAGTGTGCCTTGAATTCAAAATAAATCACAGACAGTGTCACCAGCAAAGCACCCCCACACCATAACACCTCCTCCTCAATGCTTTACGGTGGGAACTATACATGTGGAGATCATCCGTTCACCCACACCACGTCTCACAAAGACACAGCGGTTGGAACTAAAAATCTCAAATTTGGATTTCCACCGGTCTAAAGTCCATTGCTCGTGTTTCTTGGCCCAAGCAGGTCTCTTCTTCTTATTGGTGTCCTTTAGTAGTGCTTTCTTTGCAGGAATTCGACCATGAAGGCCTGATTCACACAGTCCCCTCTGAACAGTTGATGTTGAGATGTGTATGTGACTTGAACTCTGTGAAGCATTTATTTGGGCTGCAATTTCTGAGGCTGGTAACTCTAATGAACTCATCCTCTGCAGCAGAGGTAACTATGGGTCTTCCATTCCTGTGGCAGTCCTCATGAGAGCCAGTTTCATCATAGCGCTTGATGGTTTTTGCGACTGCACTTGAAGAAACTTCAAGTGCAGTCGCAAAACTGGCTTGCTCTTTTACAAAATAGGGCTATCTTCTGTATACCCACCCTACCTTGTCACAACACAACTGATTGGCTCAAACGCATTATGAATGAAAGAAATTCCACAAATTAACTTTTAACAAGGCACGCCTGTTAATTGAAATGCATTTCAGGTGACTACCTCATGAAACTGGTTGAGAGAATGCCAAGAGTGTGCAAAGCTGTCATCAAGGCAAAGGGTGGCTATTTGAAGAATCTCAAATAAAAAATATATTACTAATAACTCTGGATTAGAGCGTCTGCAAAATGACTAAAATGTAAAATGTAAATGTAATATATTTTGATTTGTTTAACACTTTTTTGGTTACTACATGATTCCATATGTGTTATTTCATAGTTTTGATGTCTTCACTATTATTCTACAATGTAAAAAATAGTAAAAATAAAGAAAAACCCTTAATGAGTAGGTGTGTCCAAACTTTTGACTGGTAGTGTATATGCAAAGACAATACTCATTTTCTCTAATTCTGTTGTCTATCATTGTGCATCACCCAATGATGCATGTTGTGTGGAAGTCCTTAGAGTACATTGTTAGCACTGTGCTGTGTTTTAGGCAGCCAGGAGAGAGGAGAGGTTAGGACGGGGCTGTCTGTTCTGGGGTTAGCCATTAGTAGAGTACTGAGATGTAATGTGACAGGAAGGGAGCTGCCCAGTGGTCTCATCATGTAGCGGGAGATGTCTATGGGGGTGTTGTGCAGTACAGGGGCTGGCTGCTCTGCTCTAAGCTCAGGGGCTGCTCTGATGGCTATGCCCTGCAAGGGATGGAGCTGCCCAACAACTGTTTGTGTCTGGATGTCTTCTCTGTGTCAATGTTTTCACTAAAGGACTTGGCAACATTGCTGTTATTTCCATCTCAGGGTGATTGGTCTTAGTGTTGATCGTCTGTGTGACAATTAGAAAGGCTTTGTTGAATGCTCTAGCAAGAGAACTACAGAATACATAAGGACTAACATGTACTCTGTGTTCTTCTGCTCATTCCGTGTGTCTGTGATCTCCACTCCATTTTTCATCCAGAAGCTCTCTTGTTGGCCTTCGTGGGCGTTGGTCAGGTTACACTGCAGGGTGACAGGGGGCCCTTTGGTCTCCGAGGGTAGGATGATCTGATCTGACGCATTGATCTTGGGCTCTGAAACACACAGAGAGACAGCAACCCCTTATCATTGAACCAGGGCTCAACACTATACCAGAACCTGTAACTATACTAACTATTCCCCACACACAGATCTGGGTGGGAGTTGAGGCAGGAACATAAGACAACAAAAACACACATACATAAAGATAAACACAACATGGAGCGGCAGGAAAATACATGCAACACTAAACCCTGTATCTGTCTTTGGTTCTGTTGTTACCATACAATAGAGGGACTCACAAAATGAAGTCTGTAAAAGTAAAATGATGATTAGTCTCCCTACAGACCTATAGTACCTCTGTAGTTCCCTCTCCCATTTTGAGATGATAGATAATCATATTGACACTACATTTACATTTTAGCAGACGCTTATCCAGAGCGACTTACAGGAGCAATTTGGGCACATCGACAGATTTTTCACCTAGTCGGCTCAGGGATTTGAACCAGTGACCTTTCGGTTACTAACCCAACTCTCTTAATCGCTAGGCTACCTGCCGCCCTACATACTCCTCTGTACACGCTGGAACTAACAGTGACTTACTTGACTTCCAAATAACTGCTGTCCTGTCATTCAAACCAAAACCAGGAAGTGAATAACGTATAATCTTCAGCAAACCTATGGGGTGGTAGTAGAATCAATAGCTAAACAGAAGAGGACAAAGTATATAACCGAGGCAAACAAAAATGAGATGAACAACAGCTTGACTACTGCTGCACTACACTATAACAATCCCTAGCTCTTTGTTAACAGAGCAACACAAGGGTCCATTTCTCAAGGACATAGAGGGAGGCTCAGGCAGGATGTTTCATCAGAGAGTGCAGGCAGGCAGGCAGCCTTGGGTAGTGAGGAAGCTCCCCCCACTCCCTCCCTCCCCCAGGGCGGGCCAGCCATGGCAACCATGCAACCCCACTCTAGAGGATGGAGGAGTATAATAATCTTACTATTGGCTGCTGCTACAAACTTCCTAGTAGAGAAGGGGGAGGGGAGGGGAGGGGAGGGGGAAGGAGGAGGGTCTCTGGGCCCTGGCTAGTGACTTCTATTAGCATTCATGGCACCTACTCCTGCAGTTCTGTATACCCAATAGCTAGAGGGAAATCTCTCTCTCTCTCACTCTATTGCTTTCTCTCTCTCCCCCTCCCTCTAGCTCTCTCTCTCTTTCTCTCCCTCTATTGCTCTCACTCCCCCTCCCGCCCTCTCTCTCTCTCTCTCTCTCTCTCTCTCTCTCTCTCTCTCTCTCTCTCTCTCTCTCTCTATGGCTCTCTCTGTCTCCCCTCCTCTCTCTCTGTTTCAGAACCCCTATACAGACCACTCAGCCCACATAGTGTGGCATCCTGGGAATATACACAGACTACACAGAAATAGTTCATTCAAGAAATGTGCATTAGGCATTAAAGGCACAGTGTTTTCCATAGGAGGTTTCCTCAGCTCAAAAGAAGGTCATTTGTAGGACACCTGCTCAAAAAGAGAATGAATCAGTTATGTCATGCACAGCACACAGGCACTGACCCACATGGCCACTTCTGTGTCTAGGATTGTAAAAGCATCATTACATTGACACTGTTACCCACTCATAACAGTGTAATACATTATATTCCATTATGACCTGCATCCAGTCCTAGAGGATGGTGCCATTAATGGCTATCTCTTGCTGACATAGGGAGGATGTTTGCCCACTTGATCGGTATGTTGAGCCAACCCAATCCCCCCCCCCCTTCCCTCACTCCCTCCCTCCCTCCCATGCATTAAACAACTCAGCTATCAGCTATAACACAATACAGGTTGGGAGAGGATCAAAACCAAATCACACTGAGGCCTGTATCGACTAGTTCATTTACTGCAATGTTGATTAAACTGTTACCTAAGCTAAGGATTTTATTACAAATGTAGTAACTATATGAGTTAATTTAAAAAACGGCCTTGACTTTGGAATGGATCTCCAGATCAATGCACAATCACAAACTAAACGGCTAAAACAAGACAAGCACATATTTGAAAACATTCATGAAGGACTGTTATATACATGTCATATACACATATTATTACATGTATATAAGAAGAACGTTGACACTCAGTAATGACAGAATATATTGGATGACAAAAGGTCTAACTCAATTATTAGAACATGTACTGATTTTTTTAGGAATTAATATCTGCTCATTTTAGGAATGAATATCTGTCTTTTAAATAAGAAAATTCCATGTTCGCTTGATGATGGAAACATTTCTACAACCAGTAAACTGAGATATTTACTGTAGACCTACTGTACACATCTCAAGCCAGCTGGTGGAGTGAAGTGTAATGGGTGTGAGATTAGGCAGTGTGTACATGCAGCCCTTGCAGTCAGATAGTAGTCAAACAGCATGATAAACACTGTGTATGACAGACAGATCAGTAGTTAATGCTCAGGAGATGAAGGAGCTGACTCCGGTAGTAAGCCTCTGAGAGTATCTGGCTGCATGGCTGTGACTAACAACATTCCACATCTCTCTGCTCCAATGGGCTGGGCACTCACTGGAGCGTGCACTCATTAAAAGGGTCCAGTTGACATTCAGTATGTTTGTATGCAATACAGCAGAGAGGGGAGAGGATATAATGTCATTACTGATTCACGCTCAAACACTTAATAACGGCTAAGAAGGCACAAGGTCATACAGTACACAGGCGAGTCCAGAGAGAGACTGTCTGTCTGCTGTAGCAATGAAACCAGCTCTCTCAAATCTAGAAAGGAAAAAATGAATTTAAGAACCTCACTGGGTTCTGTCCTTTATTGGATTAGGGGGAGTCAAAACAAGGGCACGCTTTACACTTGGACAGCTCCCTCCTTGTGTCTTCTTAAGTCCCATCTACCCCTTCCCCACTACCAGATGCTAAAATAAGCGGCACAACTTCAAAGCGCTGCGATGCCTAGGCTACATGGTGCAGACAGGGCAGAATTACACTGGGCTTTGAAGTAAATACAACAACCCACACAACACAAGAGATGAGACAACATTTCAACTGAAAAACACAAATCACAAAATAAATACAGAAATAAATGGATGAAATTAGGATGGTTTTGAGAATAGGGAAAGAAACGGGACAACTGTCGAAGGTCACATGAGACAGAGGAGAGGGCCAGAATGGCCAGGATGGGCTATATGTGGGGAAGGAGAGGTTGGTGTTGGAGGAAAGATGGGGTAGGTGGACAGAGACTGGGGAGGTTTCTGGGTTTGTGGTAATCTACAACAAAAAAGGCAGGAAATCTACGGAATCCTCAAATTCTGCAGGGGGAGGGGGGAACACTCATAGGAGCTATCAACATAATATAATAAAAACACAAAAGGTAGTACTTATAGGATGAAATAAAATACAATGTCTTCCAATTTATTATACAGAAATAAAACAAAGACAAGTCTTTGAAATGAACAAATAACAAGGTGGTGGTTGGTGTTTTGTTTTATTTCTGTCTTTGCCAGGGACAGCTGTGGTGGAGGTGTGAACTCAGTTTTTTTACGGAGTGGGGTGGCGGGACAGGCAGGGGGTTGTTTGTTCATTCACCATCTAGGTACTACAGGACATAGACCACTCACTCTGAAGCACTGAAATGGTGGCCTGGGCGCGGATCCAGGTGATGGCGGGGTTTTGGCGCAGGTCGTTGCGCCGTGGGTCGTTGCTGGCCCGGCACTCGTAGGTCCCGGAGTCCTCCAGCGTGAGGCGTGTGATGCCCAGCACGCTCACCCCGTTGTTGCCGTAGGCCGTGTTGATGGACACGCGGCGCTTGCGGGCGCCATCCCACAGCTGCTTGAAGGAGTCGGCGCGGTTGATCTCTGCGTACCACCACTGGATCTCCGGGGTGGGGTTACCGACCACGTCGCAGTACAGCTCAAAGGTGTCCAGCGTGAGCTTAGTCTCAGACATTGGCGACTTCACAAACCCAGCTGGAGAGGAAAGGTGTGTTGGGGAGGAGGAGAGGGGGGTAGAAGAGGGGTTAGAGTGGAAGAGGGAGGGGATGGAGAGGCCAGGGGATGTAGGTAGGAGTAAATCAAAAAGGGATCAGTTGGAAACAAAAGAAGAGGATGATTAAAGGTAAATCAAGGAAAAAGCAAGCTACAAAGCATAAAGTGGCAGGAAAAAGTAGTTGAGTATAAGACAGTTAGTTTATAAAAGAGTAAGATATTTGTGTGAATGAGAAACAGGTTAATGGCCCCTGAAACCCAATGTATCACTATCCAATGTTCCTCTATCATACCTGGACCAATCATGGCCACACGACCTTCAGCTGAGGTCACAGCCAACCAATCACAGTCTCTGTCATCAAGCCACCTCTTGGATCTCACCAGGGTTTAGGATGATATTACTTCCTCAATATTCTAGATCACGGCTCTCTCAAAGCTCGTATTTCATTCCCTACAGTATTCAAATGGCAGAAAATAATTAGCTGCGCTTTCCATTATAATGGAATAATACAAATATTTAATTTAGCAGTCTAACAAATCAAGCGGAATTCAGCACAGTATATTTTCTGTGTAAACAAATAAAATGGATTTACAGTGCAAAATATGTTGACTACTCACACCATTGTGAAATGTTTAAAGATTTGAAACTACTAACGTAGAACAACATAGCAAACTGACATGCAGTAGAACTACGAGTAAATACATTTTCACATATGGACAACTTAGTCAAGACATGTTTCTTCATCTCATCAATAAGTGATATTTTCTTCCTATCTGTCAACCTTTACATTGCATGCAGAGATTACATTCCTGCCCCACAATCCACTTAAATAGATTCAATATTATATCTGACAGTCACTGAAACACACAGAACTATACCCCTGTGAGTTTCTGAACAGATATTGCATTATGGGAAGCCTTTGCTTTCTTGTATCTCTTTGATGTTAGATTGAAATGACAACTGACTACAAAGCTCTCTGTTTACGGAAGTGTTTAGTTGGTTTGCCACATTAAGGAAACTCATGTTGTGTGATGTGACAGTTATGTCAAAGGGCACTGCTTGAGCTGATGGAAAGCCATGTGACTACTTGTAACATTGGCTGAGTATAATTTCTGTCGAGCCCTATGAAGCCTTGATGAGGACCTTATGTACAGGCCATTTTGAGTGCTTTATTCTGGTCAAATGAGAACTGAAATTGGGAACTGCTCTAACAGCCAATCTGGTTCGGAACATAACTGACTCAGTCAGGAATCATAAATGTGTTGAAATGCATTGAAGCTGAAACAGCAGATGTTACATGTGCTTTGAACCCCACGCCTGATGACTAGTACTGTAGTGATTTATTCTTCTACAGCAAGACATGCATTCTGTCTGTTTTCAATCTGATACTTTCTGTGGGTATATGCTGTAGTTGGTAACTTTAGAAATGAGGTCACCCATACTGTGATTCACTGTCAACTGGAATCATCACTGTGTGTGTGTGTGTGTGTGTGTGTGTGTGTGTGTGTGTGCACACCATTCTCATGACATGAATCATACTACCACTACACATCAATGGTCAGCGCCTACAACCATATGCCAGCATTCTAGCACAGACCCAATGCACTCATCAATCTGAAGCCAAATCACCTGGGCTGTGCCTTAGGGTTCAGGCCTGTTGCAAGGCCTCCATTGTCTGCCTGCTCTATGCCATGTGTCCTCGGATGAACCACAGAAAAGGACCGCCACACCCTAACCCTAACTCTGCCTATGCTGAAGGCAAGAGAGACAGGAAGAGATAGCAGAGCAGGACGGTCTCTCTGTGGTGCTATAGCCGTGTGTCTTATTACAACAGATTACAGGCCCTCCCAGAACAGCCCAACTTGCTCAACAGTAATGTACTGTATCCTCAGCACATGAGCAGATAAGCTGCCTAGTGGGGGGAGGTTACTAGGCGCCTACGCATAGCTGTCAGTATTGCGTTAAAATGAGCTGTGCCTAACATTTCATTATTACAATATAACCTAGATACTTAGCGTTTTGGTTGGGCAAATAATGTATTGTTCTGTATCAGTTTGTAACCAAGAGACAGAGTTTATACTGTAGGCTATAATTTTCAATTTGAGGTCAAACACTTCTAGCTATGCAGCCACTGTGTTTCCACAGCTAGAGCCAGTGTGTTCTCTACACAACTGAAGCCAAACACTCTTTGGTCTGGTCCACCCACAGCAAGATATTCCAGAGACTGAACAATAAATGCATGGAAATCATACCGTCCCATACCCTGGCAGCAACAGTTAGAAGGCAGCTGTAAATAATAAGGCAATAGGAAAAGGGTAAATGATTTGGGTGTGGACATGATCCAGCCTACCCTGGCCTGATTTACACAGACCAGAGCCTACACAGACCTTGTGCCATCTTGCCTGAAGCCCAGATACATGCAGAGTAATTAGTGTTTGTGTCTTTCTCCTGAAACATCTGGGCCCATCTAGCTTCAGCCTCCACCCCCCATGATCATCCCCCATCACAGAGGCTAAAGCCCAGCCTGGACGCCCACTGACTCTGCTCAGGCTGCCTCTGAACTAAAGCATCCGCTGAGATCAAAGAACTGGACCAGCCTCACATCCTCCACTCTTTTGAAGGGCAACAGAAAGTGATCGGGACCAGGAGGTTTTCATGGAAGAAAGTAGCCTGTAATGACGTTAAACGGATACTATCACAATTACATAGGTGATGTGAATGAAATGATACAATATGAGGAAGGATTCATATACAGCACAGACTGAATCACAACGATCCATTAATCTCTGTTTATTCTGTAAGGCACTTCATTATAATGTCATATAGCATCATGTAGAGGTTACTGTGGTGAATAGATCCTATCTGAGTCTGTGTGGTGGCCCATCACACATGTGCCCGGCCCACTGAGTGAGTTGGGGAGCTCTCTCCTCTGAGGACTGAGAGCAGAGCACACACATCACCAGGCAGGCAGGCTGTGGCTCTGAGTCACCTGCCTGTATCCTGCCTCCCAGTCCCACAACACAGACACACTGCAGCTAGAAAACCCCAAGGGCCACTGCACTGGCTACGTGCAGGGCATTTATTTATGTTTGAGCAGGGTGATACGAGTATCACCTCTGTGTACTAGTGTGTGAGGACATCTATAGTTGGATAAAATACAAACAAACTCAAAATGGGGTATACAGTGAATGTTGAATTTGATATTGAAATCATGGGCATTAAAGAGCTAGCTGTAGTATCAGTATACTGTGGTGTGATGCTCCATTGTCTTAGCTAGTATATCTGACTTTTGTAGGAGAGCCAACTTAGCTGGCTTCCAAGCATCTGGTTAAGAGGTGTTACACTTGGCCGATTGCCCAAGGTTTCAAAAAGCCTTCTGCTCTGACAGTTGTAAATGAGTCGCTGCTGTGGGTTGAAGGATGATGTATTTGTTTTTGAGCTGCTCTTAACACATCGATGGGTGGGCGGCTATAGATTTCCTCATTCGTTTTAACAAATCAACAATAAACCTTGATGCCTGCATGCATTAGAGTGGTGTTGTGGATAAATGGCAGTTAGCAACAGGGAGGAGGTGACCTCTGCCATCTTACTGTAACTACTCAGGGACAGCCATTCAGGTCTTAGAGGGGAGCCACAGCTATTTAATGAGAGTTAAATTCCAACCCCCCCCCCCCCCCCATCCCCGGCTGAAATGGGCTTATCCCCCTCAACCAGCAAACATTGCTCCCTGATTAACCCTTTCAGGGGTCAAGATGACAGACAACCCGGGCCCTCTGTCACTGTTCAAAGCTAGCATGGTTAAGATAACATATGCCACAGGACTGGCTGACACTCATCAATGTCACCATAACAGTTTGTGACAACAACTATCAAATGAGGGGTTTTCTTCACTGGACACACTGTGATAACACATATTGTAACCACAAACAAATCTCCCAGAACGAATATGCCACACAACCACATATCAACCTTAAGTCTTATGTCTCCATTTTGTTTAAAATTTCCTCTAGCGTCTTCCATTTGGGTATCATCATCAGTAGCTAAAGTATGTCTGGTGTGTACTGTGTTGGAGGCTGTGGGATGCATGATGCTGTTGCCATCGGTGCAGTATGTATCATGTTTCACAGTTGGCTGGTGTGACTCAGTGGAAGAACTGGCTTACGTCCCACAGCACATTTTCCGGTCTCACAGATGTGTCCTTTACTACTCAGAACATGGGCAGTGATACAGCATGGACTTACAATTACCAAGCTACACTGTACCTTGCAGTTACATTGATTGAATCCCTTATTAATTGTAAGAGAGATGCCATTTTAGGTTTCTTTTTATAATGTTGCCTGGCCCTGGTTCAGGGGATTTGATCATGAAACATGTTTAGTGATAGAAACTGGGACGACAAACTGTCTGTGGCTTTGAGCCACACAAACCTACTAATACTGTACTACATGAAGAAATAATGAGAGGTCGTAGCTCTCTATCTTATAGTAAAATAACAGACATTGCATGTTTTTAGAGCAGCATTTTGTTGATGCTTGAGTTTATGTTTCTATTGGTAACTCACATCAAAGGATTTCACATTGTGGTCTGTATTCTATGTCAACTCAAAAAGAGGATATTATACACATAAATGTCCTGAACTAGAGTACGGCTGTTAAATTGTTCATAGAGGGAGATTATGCATGGTGCATTGCCATAAGCAGCATCTTCAGGTTAGGGACAGGAGAGAACCCCCCCTTCATATTCCTCATGCATAAAGAACAACGCCCTTTAAGAGCTTAAATAGTTCACATGCATCTAGTGAGTCTTCAGAGAGCCAAGCAGCTGTGCACAGGGATGCTGCTGTCCATTAAGAGTTAATGGACTCACTTTCACAAAAGGACATTAAAGCCACAGTTCTCTGTGCTAGGGGTGCTGTGTCTCCGCTCTATAAATAGCAACTGGCAGCAGAATGGACCAATGCTATTTACAGTCCCCCAGATATCTGTTGCTGAATCTCAGCCATCTATGGTTGGTCGGGCTCCCCAAGCATATAGAGGCATAATGGCCTCAGCTCAGCTCCCACCACTGTTTCACACATATTGTACTGTGATTAAATATCCTGCTCTGTAATTACACTTCTTTACACGTCATCGCCCCGAATCTGAAATATTGCTGATGAAATCAAACGTGACATAGTGAAGCCTGCCACGTTACATCACTCACACTAAATCCAGACTGAAATATTAATTAATTTGTTTGGAGGGTATACCCATATTTGTGCGACCAAATAGCATCAGTATACCATCCATGAAAATATGATTACTGTATTTATATAATAGCCTCATAAATGTGTTTTACAGTATCTAGCTACAGAACTGTATCTCACTAGTGTCTAAGGAAACCTGACATAAACAATAATAAACAGTAATAAATCAGTAGGCTAAAAAAGAAAGCTGTGATGTATCAGTCTTCACCAGTTACAGTGACTCTCAGACAGACACAGAGTGACAAGGTAGCACCAGCCTGTCTCCCACAGCCCCCTGGGAGTCTCAGCAGAGCCCATAGTGAAGTGCCACTATGAGACCCAGGGAGTGGGCACTAACACTGGGCAAAGACTGGAATGCATTCACTTGGGCTTTACCAAACAATAGGAGGGCTTAGATCTGACTTTGTGGATGGGGACCATCAAAGCGTGTCCTCATACACACATAATTCATCCACCAGATCAATGAATGAATGTACACTGAGTGTACAAAACATTAGGTACAACTGCTCTTTCCATGACATAGACTGACCAGGTAAAAGCTATGGTCCCTTATTGATGTCACTTGTTAAATCCACTTCAATCAGTGTAGATGAAGGGGAGGAGACAGGTTAAAGAAGGATTTGTAAGCCTTAAGACAATTGAGACGGATTGTGTGTGTGCCATTCAGAGGGTGAATGAGCAAGACAAAATATTTAAGTGCCTTTGAACGGTGTATGGTAGTAGTATGGTTTGAGTGTGTCAAGAACTGCAACGCTGCTGGGATTTTCACACACAACAGTTTCCCGTGTGTATCAAGAATGGTCCACCACCCAAAGGACATCCAGCCAACTTGACACAACTGTGGGAAGCATTGAAGTCAACATGGGCCAGCATCCCTGTGGAACACTTTCGACACCTTGTAGAGTCCAAGCCCCAACGAATTGAGGCTGTTTTGAGGGTAAAAAGGGGTGCAACTCAATATTTGGAAGGCATTGCTAATGTTTTGTACACTCATTGTACACTAGTAGTAAGCAGGGTCGGGGTCAATTCCATTTCAACAAAGTCAATTCAAGATTGAAACTGAAATTCTGATTTTTAGTAGAAATGGAATTAGATTTGGAATTTCCGTTTACTTCCTAAATTGACTGAATTTAAAAGGAATTGACACCAACCCTGGTAGTGAGAATAGTAGAGCCAATGATGGATTTCTCTATTCCGCTTTGAGTTACTATTGCTGTACAACTTCATATTACAATCTTTCTGTGTTCTCAGTGCTAACAGTCCTTTAGTAGATGCTCTTATCCAGAGCGACTTACATTAGTGCATTCATCTTAAGACAGTTAGGTGAAACAACAACATTTCACAATCGTAGCAAGTACATTTTCCCTCAACAAAGTAGTTATCAACAAAGTCAGTGCTAGCAGGAAAAGACTAGTGAATTTTAATTTGCTTTCTATAGGCCTATAACACAATCGAAAATTGCTACTTTTGTCATTGAAACAATTATTGTTGTAAAATATACCAATAGCTGGTAGTAGCTCAGCTCTGAGAACATGCATTAGCCTGTGTTTTGTGTAGAGGCTGCCTCTGATTGGTGTGCCCCCTCTGGGTGACAGAAGTGATTCACCGGGATTGGCCATCCATCAGGGGCATGTCAGGGAAGGCAACCCTTAACACGCAATGAGGAGGCTCAGACATCCTTCATGTCAAGCAAATGATGCTTCCCTCAATCCTGCCCCTTGTGACTGTGTGTTCATCAAATACTTAAATAAATAAACTTGGATGGCCCATGGAGAGACAATTTAAATCCCATGGAGAGACAATTTAAATCAGTAAAATGTGGAAACAAATTGGTGATAATAATTTGAAAGGTTATCCACCATATTGTGGAATAAGATATTATAACCTTCAGGCTACAGACAGATAATCTAGATGTGTTTTGTTGAAAGTTGTGTATATGTTTTGAGGTTATCAACACTCTGCCTTGAGCCAACAGTGGGATTCAGAAGCTTCAATTATGTAATATAATCTCAACTCCACTGACACACAGAGAGAAACTAATGGGCCTAAATATTACCAGAAAACCAAATATGCTGTTTACAATCATGCAGATTGTATTTTGGGGGCAGAAAACGTGTCATGACCTTTCCAAATATCAACACATGAGATGTAGAAATGACACACACACACACACACACACACATAAAGTGGAACGTTGACCTCTTTACATATGAAAGCCCGATGATTTATTTGTTGTTGTGTTCTAGCCAGAGAGAGACTATGGGCTTAACAGTCCTGAATCGTGCAGACTGTTTGGCAGGTTCTTCAACAGTCCACTCCATTACGCTACGAATGCACTACGCTGCTCTTCTTCACAACATAACAATACGTACATCCCAAACACGAAATATGCTACAATCAAAGCGTGTCAACAATCTGTTTATTCAGTAATCTATTTATCAATGAAGACAAATAATTCAAACCCAGCTGACTTCGTGGAGACTAAGGAATTCCAATGTATCCATCAAATAGTAATAATATAATACTAACTCCAAACATAACGAAATAGCTAATAGAGCATATATTAGGAAACTCCAAGCAAACACAACTATGCTCTCGTTTGCTGTACCATATTTATGCTCTGCTTTGCACTAGGATATTCATCTAGTTTCAATCCATTTGCCTACACTATTAAATTGAGAATCGTGTGCGTAGGGAAATGGTCGTAGAAAATATGAGCACCCTAAATACTGTGAACAGAGTTATGTAAACGAATTTGTTCTAAATAAAGACTATATTGCGATGCGTAAATGCGCCCATGCCCCTCATATTTGACATTATGTCAAATGACAGACGCCCCCTTCATCAAATCTTAAAAAAAAAAAAAAAAACATGTTCTCGAGTCACACTCATTGGAACAATTAGCAAGACATTGTGTCTGACTGCGATTGTGTACAATCCCAGGCATGGTCACATCTTTATTCTTACCGTTTTGAGCCGAGACGTAATGCAGCATCAAGTTTCCAAAAAGGACCACAGCCAACATCACTGCATTGGGCTGCATTCTTGGGGTTCGATGAGAGGACCAAGCAGGGACTAGACAAGGTGATTGTAGGAGATTAGATATTGATCGCCGAAATTAGAGATCTGGTCTAAAGGTGCATAGCAGAGTGGATGCGGAGTTCTTTAGAATGATCTACGAAGGCTATAAAGATAAAGTCCTCCGGAAAATAACAAAATGAAGGCAGCAAGGAATGGTCCGGGACAGGCCGGCGGCTCCGTCAGGGATGCTGATGTAGTAGGGCCATAAACCGAGCCTCCTTCATCGGATTGCGGAGGAGAGGTCTTTCGATGTCAGTGAGAGAGTCCACGGTTGTAGTTCTGAAGGATCATAGATGCGCAGACCGATGCGCATTTGCGCTCATAGAAACGAGGCCCTTTAGTGCCCAAAATAAAGATGCACATTTGACAATCATTCCGAACATGCACGAATTATTGCCTACATCAATTTGATTTATTTTGAACGTTTATTGAGTCAATAATTTTTATTGACAGACAGTCCATTGACATGGAATTTTAGCATTGAAATGTGGCGCAGGAAAGCTTCACAAACGCGAGCAACCACAAACGCTCGGGCGCAAACACACACACACACACACACACAGAATGAAAGTGGTCACTTCAGGTGGTTTATCTCTGAGTAGACCTCTTGACCAATGACAATTATAGAGGCACTGATAATTGCTATAATG